ACTCGCTGATCCTCCGATGTCGTCGTGTCGTGTGCAAAACTGGCTCAGGCATTCGCCAATTGCCGGCGCGGCGCGGGGTCTGGCAGAAGCCCATGGCGATTGCTGGCAAGAGTGGCGCAACTGGCGAATGGTATGTCTTCATGCTCGGAGGCGAGAAAGGTTCCACAGTGCAACTACAGATCGAGATGATAGCAGTGACCTCAGATCCCACTTCCCCGGAGCTTTCTCCTTGTCGTTGTGTATCCCAGCTTCCTCCGCCTCGCTGAGGGTACAATGCCCTTCCGAACATTATTAAGTTGATCTGGGTCATAGACCTGGATTTTTTCGTCGATCAGAGAATATAGGTCATGTTCGCCTGCGTACTCAAGTTTGTTGATAGCTTGAGTATAGGGGAGGCAGCTAATGCTGGGTTGCGTGAGAGACTTTACCTCAGATAATGTGCTCAGAGTCTGGACTATGCCTGACCCTTCCGAGTTGCGCCAGCAATCGCCATTCGCTGTCGCTGCGCCAAGTGGTGCGCGCCAATCGCCGCGGCTGGCGCGGTTGGGCGCAGTTTTGCCTTTCCAACAACTCTACCGTGCCGCCCATCCGCTAACCAACCCCCGACCACACAGCTGGCGCGTCACCGAAATCAGCCAGATCCTCCTCGTCCTCCTCGACGCGCGCTGCCCGCTCCTCCACTACCCGCCCGCGCTCGCCGCGCACCTCGCGACCGCGCCCATCCGCACGATCCTCGTCCTCACCAAGGTCGACATCGCCGGCCCCGCGCGCGCCGACGCGTGGGCGCGCTTCCTCCACGCGCGCTTCCCCGGCGTGCGCGTCGTGCAGGCCGAGGCCTACGCGCACGGCGAGCCGGAGGACGCGGAGGCGGGCAAGGGCAAGGGCACGTCCGCGCCGCGCCTCCCACGCGCGTTCCGCGAGACCCTTGTGAGCGCCCTGCGCGACGCGCACGCCGAGCTGCTGCAGCCCCGGGGGGACGTCCAGGACGATGCGGAGAGGGAGTGGGAATGGAACCCGCGCGTGCGCCGCGAAGTGGACTGGGAGCAGGTGCTCCACGCAACGGATGGGCAGGCGGGTAGTGTCGTGAGCGGCGCTGCGGCTCCGCGCTCGCACCGGGATGCTCCTGACGAAGAGGAGGGGACAGAGGGCAAGCACGAGGAGAATGACGAGGACCCTGAGTTCCTCACGATCGGGCTCATCGGTACGTGCTGACACAGGCCATGCCTCGCAGCTAAATTGAATTCTACACAGGCCAGCCTAACGTCGGAAAATCATCTCTACTCAATGCGCTGTTCGGCACGCACAAGGTGAAGGCATCAAAGACCCCGGGAAAGGTTCGCGTCCACGAATGCCACATGCCTGCCACTCATCATTGACGGATTTCGCGCAGACAAAACACTTCCAAACGCTGTTCTGGACACCCGAGGTGCGCCTCGTCGACTGCCCCGGGCTCGTGATGCCCAACTTCGTGCCCATGGAGATCCAGGTGCGTCCCGCCACACGTCCGTATCTCCTCCGCTGATCTCACCTACCCATGTCCAGGTCCTCAGCGGGATCCTCCCCATCTCCCGCGTGTCCGCGATCCCGCTCTGCATCCACCAGGCCGCGCAGCTCCTCCCCCTCGAGCGCGTCCTGGGCCTCACGCACCCCGCCCTCGCGGACGCGCCCCCGCCGGACAAGCGCACCTGGCGCGCGGGAATGGCCCCGCGCCACGACTCCGCGCCGGACGCGCCCGGCGGCGCGCGCACGTGGACCGCGATGGACGTGCTCACCGCATACGCGCTCAAGAAGGGCTGGGTCACCGCCAGGACCGGCTGGCCGGACGTGAACCGCGCGGGGAATGCCGGTGCGTTGTGCTCTCCTTCCCTGACCTCCCCCCCCCGCTGCTCTCATCCGTTTGACACACGCGTTGCTCACATGGTGTACACAGTCCTGCGCGCGCTCGCGGAGGGCAGGCTCCGCTGGGCGTTCTGGCCGCCCGGCACGGACGCGCAGACCGTGCGCGCGCACCAGGGCGCCGAGCCCGACGCGGGTATCTGGATCCCGCGCGCCGATGCGGATGCCGAGTCCGACTGGGACGCAGACGAGCTGTCCGAGCGCGGGGATGAAGATGAAGACGGGGACGAGGGCGGGGACGCCTCCGACGCGGAGCATCCGACGATCGGCGAGGAGGAGCCCGAGTCCGAGAGCGACGCGAGCTCTGGCACTGACACCGACGCAGAGCGCGAGGAGGTGGAGCGGAGAGTGCCTGTCAAGGCGGTGTCCGGACGGTTCGCCGCGCTCGCGCTGGACGAAAACTCTGTGACGATTGAGGACGAAGGGCAATGATTGATAGATGGCAGCGACACAAGGTCTCTCTGATGATCCTCTCCTGCCAAGTGCCCATTATCTCCCTGTGGATCCTTGGCTTCTTACTGGAGGAGAAATGGCACCGCCTGACTGATGATGCGGGCGTAGTGGGCGGACGGTGATAGATGCTTGCATACACTGAGCGTTCACATCGACAGCGTGAGCATTGTTCGGGTGGCCAGACACCTCTACCACATGTATATCGTATGCGACGACAATGGAGATCACAATTCATCTGATCTAGTAGGCGAGCGAACGTTGAGAATATCATGAAGTATGCACAGAGAACGACAGCAAAGAGACTAAAGGTATAGGACGTAATAACTTCGAGGAAAGGACAACGGCCGAGCGCACGCCACCGCGCCTCCAGGACGCAGCCTCATCAAGAGAACGGATGGCAGACGAGATGCGACACCGGAACAGGAGGCACAAAGGCAGACGGCAGGCACGAACACAGAAGATGAAGCGTCCAGCGGCATGTGGGAGAACACCAAGCACTGTATTCTCCGGGCAACGTGTACGGGAACAAGAAGTCAGAAAGCAGCAGCAAGGAGAAGAGAACGGGCCTAATAGATCAACTCCAAGCCAGACAAAGGAGGCGATAAGTAAGGTATCGTGGTAAGCGCACTTCGTTTCGTATCCATACACAACCCAGCAGCGATGGCACATCGTAAGCTGATTCCGTTCTGCACTGCACGCGCGCATTGTCACGCACCGCGCGACGCTCAGTAGCGCGTCACGTTCGCGCCGTTGTACTCGTACGCGTACGGGTCGTAGCCGCCCTGGTGGTGCAGCGGCATACCGTACGTGTCGTAGTTCGGGCGCGCCACGCTGGGCCCGCGCGCGAGCTCGCCCATCTGCGGCTGCGGGCTCGGGCCGCGCTGGAGGTCGGCATACCCGCCCACGGGTGCAAGACCCGTGGCGCCCGCCGTGAAGTCGTGGTCCGGGATGGGGTTGAGCGGGGATCCATGGCCGTTCTCCGAAGTAGCGCCGTAACCGGAGTTCTCGATATGCCCGGTGCCAGAGTGGAATGAACCGTGTGAGGCGCCCGAGCCCTCGCGGCGGTGCCTGGGCAGACCGTCGTCTTGGTCGTTGGTGGGCTGCCAGTCGATGGGCTGCATGCGGTCGTCGAAGTGCGACGAGGGGCGGAGCTTCCACTTGCGGAAGAGCGTCCAGCTAACAGCGACAAGGCCGACGGTGGAAGCGATGACAACGATAATGATCAGAGTGTTACGAGTGATCTTGGACGCGCTTGCAGCTTGGACAGCATTCGCCGCGGCTGACGAAGTCGGGGTCGCAGACGTGAAGACCGTTTGGGTAGAGCCGCCGACGGGTGTATTGGAAGTAGCGCCTTGGGTATCAGTTGGAGTATCCGTGGCTTGTGTGTTAGCCGCGTTATTGTCGGCAGAGGTTTGAGCAGGGGGTGTGGAGGTGGCGGAGGGAGACGAGGAGGTGCCAGTCGACGCAGAGGTCGCTGACGAAGTCTTCGCAGAGGAGGAGGTAGAGCTAGCCGCCGAGGAAGAGGACGGTGAGGTGCTGGTCCCGCTCGACGTAGCAGCGGCCTGGGATTCAAAGTCGAGATCAGCCGCAGCAGTACAAGGCTCGAAAAATTACTCACGGACGAGGTAGCCGAAGCAGCGGACGAGGTAGCGCTGGAGGCGCTTGAGGCAGACGAGGACTTCGCACCCCCAGTGGACGAAGCTGCTGCGGTCGAGGAGGCAGCAGCAGCAGTGGAGCTGGACACGGCGTCGCTCGCAGCCGTGCTTGCGGCACCACCAGCACTAGTACTGCCTGTGGGAGGATCGTTACCGAGACCACCTATACCAAGGAAATCGGGTGCGCGTTTCCTGAGCATGCGCCCGACCTCATTGTGGTCGCGGCGCTGGAGGGTGAAGTCGTTCGCCTCGGACACCGAGGCGAGAGCGAGGGCGATGACGAGGCAAAGGAGCGTGAGGGTGACCTTCCTGGGTTTTGAGGCGAACATGATGTATCGATGTCTGGCCGGACGACGCGTAAACGGGTTGACTATGGCTGGCAGGGGAGCAGAACCGTCAGCCGCAGCGCACAAAGAGTGAGGGCGCAGAGAATGAGAATTAAGTCCGCGGCACGCACGACGGAAACACAGGTGCAGCAGACAAGAGGCCCAGCCGGTGGGAAAGGACGAGAAATGAAGAGCAAACGGGGGCCGAAGAAAGGCAGAGAAGGGGGGCGTACTTTACAAGCAGCGGGCAGAGCCGTCGACGGGCGTTGGGACTTTGAAGGAGTGTAGGAGAAAGGAGAGATAAGAAGGACACGGTCGTCGGCAGGCGGACACTGTTCGACAGGAGGAAGCAACAAGTACCAGCACCGGCGGTTGCGGGGCTGTCTCTCCCTCGCGACCAAACAACCACGCCCAAACACGACCAGCTTCAGCGTCTGCACTCGCTGGCAACTCGATGGCCACCATTCATTCGATCGACAACCACGTTCGTATTACAATACACTGCGGTCGCTCCCGCCAAGTCAATGCTCATTTTATGGGTAATGGCTCGGGTATAACCTCGGCAGCGACGCCTAATCGGAAACCACTACAATAACGAAAATAGAAATAAAGCTGTCAACTATCCATCTGTAAGTAGTAATGGCAGTATCCCATCTATCATGAATTGTGGCTTGTCAGCGTCCAGGACTTGACAGGCACGCTCGGTGGTGTCACAAAGTCGCTCGACGACATCCCGTCCCACTGCGGGTTGAACAGCACCTGCAAACTGTAGGTGCCGGCTGTTTCGAAGTTGATCATGATGACCGTAACACCGGGGTTCGGAAGGTCGGCCTGCCCGGCAGGAAGCGGAGGGTCTGTGGACAGAGGCACCGCATCGCCGGTCGTGATCGTGAAGCCACTCGAGGGGCTAATCACCAACAACTCCATCTTCTCATTCCCGATTTGCAGCGTCGCTCCCTTGCCGTCCGAGTTGACAGTGACGGTGGCATTGGTGTGCATGCGCCACATAAACGGTTCAGTCGTTGTGATATCGTCCTGCAGAAGTACCTGCTTTCGGCCATTGATCATACGCAGTCCACGCTCAAACGACGTCCTGTCGAGCATGCGTGAGCGGTTTCAACAGCACAAATAAACACCGGTACGTACACGCTCTCGTAGGCACTTGTAAGGTCCGCTGTGAAGAACGCTGTTGAGTTTGCGGGGGCTGTAAACACCGTGCTCGAGCCCTGCGTGATATTGTCCGTCCCGAAGTCGACCGTCGGCTGAGCGGTCACAAGCTGGTTTTGTCCATTCACTAGGATAGTGTTCTGGCCCTCCGTGCGCTTGCGGTAGTACAACCACCGGTCACTCGTCTGCGAGTCGTTACTGAAGTAGCCAGTCACGAGGTAGTTCTCGTCGCCGAGCTCGCCCGCCCATCGCGTGCCGAGCGCGTCGAGGACAAAATCACCGCAGTCGAGATCGTTGTGCGTCTGATGGCCCTGCAGCGTACCCGCCTTGATCGCGGTGAACAGCGCGTTCTCATCTGTCCAACTACTGCGCATCGAACCCCATGCGTCCGTGTGGTTGTCGAAGAACCCGTCGAGTGGCGTGCCGTCCCAGAAAGCACCTGAAACGGCGGGGTTATACCAGAACATGCTCCATGGCTCCGGGGCATCGTGTTGGTCACGCTGGAAGAGCATGTACTCGGGGTGGTTGTACTGCTCGCCGTAGAACAACAGGGGGTTCGCGGTGGTCGAGTACAGGTTGACACCGTTGTCGCCCCACTCGAACATCGTTCCGGGGCCGGTAACGTGCATGTGGAACTTGCCTGTGTACTCGAAGCCCGGGTTCGTCGTCAACAGGTCATAGTCGGAGCCAGTGGCGGTAATCAGCGACGAGATCATCTCGGCGTTGCCAGTAACACCGAAATACCAATAGTTGGGAGTCTCCTGCCAAGTACCATCGGAAGACACGGCCTGCGCGCAGTTAATGATCGCATTCGGGATGGTGAGGTTCAGGATCTGCTCGGCGAGACCGGTGGTGTCGTCGCCAATGATAGCCAATGCACCCATGGTAAGACCGCCGTTACAAACGCAGTTCCAATTGCCCTGCGTGTCCTCGGTCCACCATCCGTAATACAGACCGTTACTGTTGCTGTAACCAATGACACCGTTCTGCAAACCATAATAGCTCATGGTCCAAACGATCTGCTCTTTCTGCAGGGGAGTCCACGCATCGTACATCCAATCGTACGCAATGGCAAACGCCGCGGTCAACTCGGCAGTGTCCAGGAAATGGGTAGGATTCCATTTCTCGGAGGTGTTCGGGCCGAATGAATTCGTGCCGTTACCAGCAGCATTCTGACGTGACAGGTGTCATGTAAATCACTTCGAATACGGAGATATGCGCGCTACTCACCGCAAGTTCCTTGAATGCGCGGTCTGCCCACTTGGTGTCGTTGGTCATACGGTACACATACGAAAATGCCTTGATTCTCATCTTGATTTGACGGGCGATATCGAGAATACCATTACCGCTGTCCAAGTAATAGGCGACAACGGGAAGATTGTAATAGTCGGTCGCATTGCCAAAAATAGTGTCGTTCCAGTATTTAAGGTAGGGCTCCTTCGGGATGAGGTCTGGCAGAGCTTGCCATTTGTAGGATGGCGCGATTATACGCGGGCGGTCTGGACGGACGTTGGTCGGGGATGGGTTGGAGGGCGTCCAGGGGTCTACTGGCCAGCTGACGCCGTTTGCTTGTGGCTCGATTGTGGGGGTAGTGTAGGCTGCTGTATTGGTCTGCGAAACGCAATTCAGGCGCCAAACCAAATTCCGACGGGCGGAAAACTCACAGTCGAAGGGTAAAGGGGCATCATGTACAGGCTGTTCGTGCCAGTCGCAAAGACGCCAATATCCTCCTTAATACTCGCAGCCTGGCTTGCCGCAGCGGCTCCTGTCGGGGAAGCCTGGGCAGCTGCAGAAGACGCCGAGGAATTGTGGTGGGACCGGCTGCCCAGGACGCCGCCAACGACGGCAGCAATGATCACGGCGACCAGAATGGGAATACCAATCTTTATCCAGTTGCTCACCCCCTTCTTTGGAGTACCCTGAGCAGGGGAGATGTAGCCCGAGGATTCATTGTAGTATGGGTCGCCCGACCCATACGGGGAGTTACCGCCAGGGGGCAGATGCTGGGCGCTGCCTGCGGGCTGAGAGTAGCCGTAAGACATGGCACTAGGCCTGGAGAATAGAAGACAAAGGAAGGACGAGCAGCAGGACTGCTGGAAGAGGGGGAGGAGAAGGCGGGATGCAGGGCGGAACGCTCAAGATGCTGGTGCTGGTATAAGACCGAACAACGCCCTCGACGCGGGCTCACACCAAGATCCTCGGCTCCAGCGGCAAGTCACGCCCTAGCTATTTTTTGACTGTCGCACTTGCGCCGTTTCCAAGACACGCTAAGTAGACCGTGATCCGGCGCCCACTGGCAACCGCCCTCCTGCACTTCCTGAATCCTATCACGAAATGACTTCATACAGAATCATGTACAAACATGCCCACTCCTCGCCGTGTGACTTTCCGGAGCATACAGCCAGAACAGATGTCCGGATACACTGCGGCCACAAACAGCCGCCCCCCTCAGTCCCGCACAAAGACAGCAGCAGCACCCATACCCGTCCCGATGCACATCGATGTCACCAGAATCTGAATAGGCATAGGCCAAGCTCAGTTCAGGCTAGACACAGGCATGTCATGGGCCTTGACGCACCTTGCCATTCCGTCTGGCTAGCTCGTTCAGCCCAGTCGCGACCTGGCGCGCGCCGGTAGCGCGTTGATATCACAAGAGAAATTAGTGCGGGTCTGTCAGTGACAGGAGCTTGTACTTATCTAACGGATGACCGAGCGCAATAGCACCCCCGTTTACGTTGACCTTGTCAGGGTTCAGGCCGAGCTTCCGCACACAGTAAACCATCATGGATGCAAACGCCTCATTGATCTAGAAATGATAAACACGAGTCAGAGAAGTTCAAACCGCTCCACGATCACACGCTTACTTCAAAAATGTCTACATCGTCTTGAGTTATGCCGACATGCTCCAGGACCATCGGAATCGCATAAGTCGGACCGATGCCCATGACGCGCGGAGGAACCCCTGCAACAGCGGTTGCAATATGTTTGGCAAGCACCCTGAGGCCTAGCTCTTCCGCTTTCCGTCGGGTCATGATCAACACTGCGGCTGCACCGTCGGTGATTTGACTCGCATTCCCCCCAGTGGTCTGCGAGGGCTTCCATTGCGGGAATGCAGCCCTGACCTTAAGCAGTTTATCTTTGGTCGTCCCATAACGAATACCGTCATCTTTCGACACAACCTTCACGGCACGCTTCCCAGTCTCATCTGGCTTCTCATAGGCAGTGATTGGTACAATTTCGTTTTTGAAGTAGCCAGACCTGTCCGCGTGTTCGGCACGCTGGAATGATAGGGTGGCCCACTCGTCCATGTCTTCACGGTTGATATGGAAATCACCAGCGACATTCTCGGAGGTCCAGCCCATCGGCATGGCGCAGTCGCATGCAGTAGGGTTGGCCTTAATTGAGTCACTGATCGTAGGGGCTCCCTTGTCCTCACTTCAAAGCTCCGTGAGCCTTCACGACCGCGACGCCTGCGCAGTTGAGGTACGTACTTCTGCGACATGCTCTCGATCCCAATTGCCAGTCCAACCTCAATCTGCCCAACGCGGACCTTGTTCGCAATGTCGGTGACAGCCATCAGGCCCGACGAGCAGAAGCGGTTGACAGTTTGCACGGGCACCGTCTCAGGGAAGCCCGCCGCCAGTGCCGCAACACGGGCCTCGTACAATGCCCCTGGAGAGAGGACATTGCCCACCGTGATGTCCCCAACCAGCGCGGGGTCTATCCCTGACTGCGCGATTGCTTGCTATGTATGCGAGTTAAGATGAATACATCGCGAGCTTAATTTCATCTGTCTCACCTTGAACATCTCGAGCATGAGTTCATCCGTTCTGAACGAGCTCTCACTTCAGCTATATGACGACGGCGGGGAACTCAGTGCGACTCGCCTGGTGTACATGAATCCTCCGCCCTTGGCTTTGCAAAGGGGCGACCGGATGGCCAGCGTGATGACCACATCGTCCGGGCTCTTACGCTCCAGCGCAGCAACGCCCTTCGACGATCCCGGTGACATGTGTGATACAAGCTGCTTGACACGTTCCATAGCCATTTTGTCGAATTGGTGAGATGGCAAGCTCGGGATGTAGATCAAGGGATGGACAGGGGTGGACAGGGGTGGGCTGCAGACAGTTGATGATAGCCTTTTGTGCGAGGAAAGCTCGAGAAGCCAGCGTCGGACAAAGTGAGCTGGCTGAGAACGTGCAGGGCGGGATGTTGTTGGGTCCGCCTGATCCTCCCCACAGCTATGCCGGTCGTTCCCATGTGATACGGTCACTGGACGCTAATAGTCCCAGACGGGTAACACGAGCTTCATACCGGGGGCATGAAATATTTGCAAGAGACTTGCATCCTGCCAAGCTAGACGAGGTCTCTATATGCTGCAAACCTGTGGCCAGCTGAGCGCAACGGGTGGAAAGTTCAGCACGCGATCACGAATGCGGGGAAGCGTGAGACGCCGAGCCCATGAACACTGCTTTCAGAGCGGCGGTTGCGACAAGGCTAGCGATTCATAAAGGACGTACTGAGATTCTATCCCCAAGACCACTGAGTCGTGCAATATCCTCACGTTCCGAGACTAAGCCACTCAGCATGCCTGTCACTGTCGTTGCTGCTAAGCCCACGGGGGAAGTCAAGGGCAACTTCAGATTCATCGGTCCGTACCGATTGTACATCATTGTCTGCTGCTGAGATGCCTACGCGCACTTAGATATTGGTGGTGAGTTGCTCTTGAGGTTGTGGATACCCTGATTTTCGATGATCGAGGTCGATCCAGTCAACCTCACCGATCCTGTGTTTCGAGGATTTCACCATGGGAGAAAGAAACACGATGGTGCGCATGTCCCGTCTCTTAAAAAGTCCCAAGCTATGATACAATAGCTACCCACAGATGACCTAGAAGCGGTGCTGGAACGCTCACGCGCAGCGGGCGTGAGATCTATGATATTGACTGGCGGCAGTCTGCATGAATCTAGGGAAGCCTTGGAGCTCGCAAAGCAGCACGACTTCTATGCTACAGTCGGCTGTCATCCCACGCGTTCCAAACAATTTGATCAGTTCAAGGGCGGGCCAGAGGCCTATCTTGCCGCGCTAGACCGTCTCATCGGGGAGAACATGAAGGGCAAGGGAAGGGTTGTTGCCGTAGGGGAATGCGGACTAGGTTTGTATTCATGCACCGCACGCCCTGGCATGGCTCTGATCCATGACCTCTTCTTTCTAGATTACGATAGAACCCACTTCGCATCCCCAGAGGTGCAGAAACGCCATTTCCGTGAGTACGCCTCGAGAGACGGGTATGCCTCTTGATCTCACATTACGCTGGAAGGTTCTCAATTGACATTGGCCAAAAAGTATCACTTGCCACTGTTCCTTCATTCTCGTGCGGCGCATGCAGATTTTGTGAGAATACTGCGTGAAGAAGGCTTCGGAGAGAACGGAGGGAGGAACGTTGGCGCGAACGGCGGGGTAGTCCACAGTTTCACAGGGACGACCGAGGAAGTGGTAGAACTTGTGAGTGCGAAGGGTGCAACCTTTGTATGGGAAGTTACTGAAAGATTGAATAGATGGATATGGGCTTTCATATAAGGTGTGTCGCATCCAATGCGTCCCTTTTGTAGGTTTTCAACTCCGTTACCAGCGTCAATGGCTGCGGGATGAAAACAGCAGACAATCTCACAGCGGCAAAGGCAATACGCCCAGAGAAGATCATGTTTGAAACAGGTGCGCATAATGATGTATGTATCTCTGATGGCTTCTCAGGTGGCCTTCCAGACGCGCCATGGTGCTCGATGACATCCACGCATGCGTCAAACCCGCATCTGTCTCAGCTACCTGCCAACCTGCGCGCGCTGTACTTCCCGCAAGCGATGAAACCTGAATCGTTCGTATACGGACGGCCTGTCAAAGGCCGAAATGAGCCAAGTGCGGTTGGAGGCGTGGCCTGGGTGGTCCATCGATTGAACGAAGGCGTACCGCTCGAGAAGGTGACGGAGAAGGCATGGAAGAACACGATTGAGTTGTTCGGGCTGCATGAACTGGCCGAGAAGTAGCAGAGAGTAATGCTGTATGTAAGCAACAATCTGATATCTGCACGTTGTATGCTAGTAAGCAGCGGGCAACCTTGGACGCGTCGGCGTCGCACTGGTTCAATGAGATGCGACGCGGACACGCCTGGCGATTTCCTGATTTCGTTTCTGCCTGCTGCGTACCATTTCAACTTCAATTGCTTTTCACATTCGGATACTGTCTTATGTGAGTTTCTCATCGGGATTGGCTTGCCAGGGAGAAAGCAACTGAAGTTTAATCCAGTGCCTCTTCTACAAACCAGTCATAACAAGATGCCGTATTCCTACGGAATGTCACCTTCGACGTCGTGTACAAGACGAAGGCAGGTGAAGCGCTAGGCACAACGTTCATGCTTTCCGGAGAATCATGCAGCGATGACTGGGTTGAGGTTGCCGATGTGTTGTGTGCTACTCTCGATTTGCCCAGTACATGTCTCTACTTTTCCAATTCAGCTTCTGGTATCCTGCGCCTCAAACGTGTTCGTAAGATATGTATTGTAAGTTCCATTCTACACGACAAGCTCACCCAGGAGCAATCCTGTATGCCTCGACCAAGCCGTTGAAGCAGAACGCGGACGATCCTACCATCACGTCTATTATCACCGTGATATTTTGTCATACTGCCAGCTGCACATGCATGTTGAACGCGATGTCGCGAAGCACTTGGACATGCAGGGAACGGCTTTGGGTGTCTTGGTGTTCCTGTATTCATCGAATTCATATTTGGACCCGCTATTAGCTTGTTAGATCGCACAATACCTGAAGACCCGGAGAGGTACCGTACCATTCCGTCCGTGATGGATTTTTGCGTCGCCTGGATACGCAGCACCAGTCTCGAATACCGCTTAGAAGCACTGAGGCCCTGCTTCTGTTAAATCCACGGACCAACAAGGGGCAAGACGACGACATGAATACCTTCGCGCTCGTGGCCCCGCCGAAGCGTCGCCCGATCACGCGAGCTGCAAATGCTGTTTCGCAAACATGGGCAAGAACAGCATTCCGAGATCCTGTGCTACGAAGTCGAGCCAGGCGTACCTCGCCCTCAAAATGAATCACACCTCTCGTCGGCGAATAGCTACTGTGACTCAGAATGCTGGAGGCGGCATTGGAAAGAGCACAAGAACGTCTGTGACGTTGATATTCCAACCAGCAGAACGGCGTAGCACCCATCCGAAATGTACAGAAAGTATCGCCTGAAATAGTATTTAGCTCTGAGCCTTAACGCCGGAAGGCTACACAGAGTTCTCGATTTCCCGGAGTTCTTGATAGTGTGAATCGAAAGCATGACGAACGACCTCCTGTTACAAATGTCATGCACTGAACATGATTACAAGATGGAGTCAACTTACCTCACTTGTACCAAATCGCGCGTAGCACATTGCGGTGCCGGAAACATGCTGACACACGAAGAAATGAGCACCGGCAGGTTCATCTGCGGTATAGTGCTGTTTGCTATCCACGGAATGCAACAATTGCTGGGATGTTACAGGGGTGTGCGCATCCCCCAATTCTTGGGATGAAATCTGGTCTGAGGCAGCAGATAACTTAGGCTGTTCAATATCCATTAAGCTTTCCGGCTCGTGTTCTGTCTGGCTCTGGACGTCATTGCGGGTGGCTGCAGTGTGCTGAGAAGTACGCTCAGCGAGAGAACGCAGGTCGTCATCCATCTTGCTGGCGGCATGCCTTATTTCTTGCCACTCCTCTTTCAGCCGCGTGTTCTCCTCCTGTAACGTAAGTGCTAGGGCCGCTCTTCTTCGCACATCGTCGTTCGTCCTCTCGTCCTTGTCCGTCAACACCTTGCACAGCGTCTTCCACTTCTCCAATTCTGCCTCAATTCTCCGGATGCGTTCCTCGTACATACCTTTGAGCATCGGAAGACCCTCCTTAAGTTGACTCATTGTGAGCTTAAGCTGGCGTTCCAGTTCATTTTTTTCGGTGGCGACCTCAGAGGCATGAGCAGAAGCCTTCCCGTAGTACTCGCGGAATATCTCGCGTTCCTTTTCAGTGTCTTCCTTCTGACTTTGTAGGCGTCGCAGCGCCTCTTGCTGAGCCTCCATCGCTTGCTCCATCTCCACCTTACCACGCTCATGCTCTAGTCGGAACGCGGTGAACTTTTCTTCGAGACTCCCGTGACGCGCGTCTGCATGAAGTAGAGCTTGCGACTTAACCTCCAACTCGGAGACCGACAAGGCATGCCGCTCCTTGAGCTCAGTAGACTCCGTTTCGAGACGCGTAACCTGCAATTGCAATAAAGAGACCTTCTGCTCGAGCGTTGACACCTCTATTGTTTTCATTTCAAGAGCATCTTGGAGGTCTTTCAGCTGAATGGGAGCGACAGAGTGCTCCTGAAATGATATCACCAACCAGCAAGAGTTAGACGAAGCAGGAACATCATACCTGCGATTGACTGTCAACAGCAGCTTGTTGTGTTGAAGTTGTTGCAGGCAAGTAGTCGAGGCTTTGTGTGGGCTCCTCAGGCATTGAGACTTGTTCGATTCGACGCTTGCGAAAAGTCAACCTCCAGTTCGCCTATAGTACAGAGGATACAAACCTCAAAGTGGCTCCCTCGAAGTTGCTGCAACGGTCCAGCCTTTCTCCGAGCGGCTGTGAGATCAGGACCCAATGTCATGGCCTGTTCTTCGTGCGTAGCGAGCCCCCAACCATCCTCGGGTTCGTCGCCGAAATTTATGAAGGCGTCCACCACTTCCTGCGCAACAGGATCCACAGATATAGATGTCCCGCGTGGAGACGAGGGAATCGGTGAGGGTCCGATCGAACCGGTTTCGTCTGCGTTTTGGGGTGATCCTGGGTTGGATGGCATCTCAAACAGCCAATCGTTGTCCTCATCGAGTGGTGGTGACCGACTACTACTGCGACGACTAGATGCCGCTTCGTCCGCTAGCTGCTGCCCGCGCTGTTGCAGCGTTTCATCATCCCATTTGGAAGCGACCTGTCCACCCTTGCCTTTCTCCTTGAGCCTTTTTTCTGCGCGACGGATGGCCATGCTAGTCGCATGCACACCGCCCTTTTCTGGAGAGCTAAATTGCTCAATCGAACTGAGCGGGGGGTCAGGTTTTGGCAGATGTGGATGGAAGACAGAGGGTGAAACCACCGGGATAGGACGCATGACTTTTGTCGCTGTCTTCGTGGTACGACTGTCTACAAGCGTTTTGTTGCGTCTACTCGCTATGCCTTCCACAGTCTGATCTCTAATGGCGACTCGCGAAGATGCCGGGGCAGATCGGTTTGTTGAGTTGGTTCTACTGACGTTACGGGGCTTCGACTTGTGCACAGAGGCAGCGGTCTGCGAACTCCGCGGACGCAATGCTAGGGCAGGAGGCACTTCTGGAGATTGGGGGGAAGACTGCGTCTCTGGTACAATCCCTTCTCGGCTGAAAATACCGTGCGTCTGGTGGACAGGCGCACTAACGGCGCGTTCGTTGTCAAAGTCGTATTGCCAGTATTTGTCTGCGTTAGCATTGAGACCTATCTCTTCGGCGCTGACCTCGTGGCCCTGCTCAAGTGCAGTATGGTCCTCTGAGAAGGGCGCATCGATTGCCAATGAGTCAGATGCCACCTTCGAGGTAGGGCGTTTGTTAATCACTGGACTGACTTGTGGTGAGGACGGTCGCTGCTTGCGCTTGACCCCTCGAGGAGGACCAATCTTCATGGCGACCTGCGGTGATGGCGCTCGTTCGACCACTGTACTAGCTTCGGCATCTTCAGGCCTAGCCCTCCTCTTCCGAGGAGGACCTATCTTTGTAACCTCATTTGAAGCTGTTGGCTTCTCGAGGTCGTTGTGGCTTTCGCTTGACACAATGACCAAAGGTTTACTTCGCTTCGATGGGCCAATCTTAGTGACTTGTCGCGGAGGGGATGGGACGACTGGCGACGACGTTGATCTGACTTCGTACAACGAGTGGTCATCCGGCACATTTTGTCTGCCTTTGCCCTTCGCCGCAGATAGCATGACTTCAATCGCAACCTTACGCCGTTTTCCTGTGGGTGCGGGTACGGCGAGGGGATCGTCTTCCTCCGAGGACTCGTGAGACACCTTGCGCCGCTTGCTCACAGCTCCGTGCGAGCTACTCGCCTTGTGTATTCGAGAAGAGCTGACGTGGGATGCATTGGAAGTCGAGGCGGGTAGCTTCGTAGAAGACGAGGCATGGGATGGGGCGCGCCGAGCCGTCGAGTTACCAGCGGTGGATGCGGAGGGTTTGGAGTCTCTCGATGAGCTCGTCGACGCCCGAGATTTAGCTGTGGCTGATCGTCACACTTGTGGCGTGAGTGAAAGAGTGACTCAACATACATTTTCGCGTAACTGCATCCTTCTTTTTCTTCGCTTGCTTCACTTTCCAGTCGTGAATAAGCTGATCCGTACAGTCGTGTTTGGGCACCCAGCTGGGTGCCCATGGCTTTGTAGTCGCGGGATCGTTCCCTGCCCACTTCACCTGGTATCTGCTACCACGTTCTGCTAAAATCTCGATGACATCCCAGAGTGTCTCCTCGTCGTCGTCCTGGGGAATGAACTGGGTGTTGTAGTCGGGCAACTGTAGTGACGCTTCCACCGCCGATTCACTATCAGAACGGTGAGACATCCTCGAGCAGAGCGAGGGCAAGGGCGCGCGAGTCTAGCATGGTCAGTGCGATCGAAGGCGGATCAACCCCGTATCCAAGTTCTCGGCCACACTCTGTTCCCAAAAAGGAAGGTCTTCAAGTTCGTTGCAACTCAGTCAAATTCATCGGTCAGCAGCAACGAGGATAAATATGCCGTATGGAAAGCACATAAATTAGACCGGAAAAGGATGCTAAACTGCCACCCTGTGTCGCTTGAACGACCCCTCGACGTCTGCGACCGAGTACTCCAAGCCCACACCCGTATCCTTGTAGCATTGATTGATCCTCTTCACGAACCACTCCGTCATCTTGAGCAGCTCCTCCTCACATGCCTTCCACACACCCACCATGACAGTGCCAGATGCAATGCCTACGCTTATGTCCTCTGTTGTAGCCTTCTCTGACGCTTCTGTGAAGTGCTTCTCTACCCGCTTGAACAACGCGTCAATATTCTTTCGCACGTCCTTCGAGTTGTATTCCTTGACGACCTTCTTCAGCGCCGAGCGATTGTAGCTGCTGTTGGATGGCACCTCGGTGGGTGCGGTTGTCTTGAGCAGCCTCTCCACACCCTCGAAGTAGTCCTAATTCTATGTTAATCTCATCATTTTCGCAAGCAGCGAACGGTCTACTCACGACTATCTTGTAGAATGGTCGTCTGAGCACGATCTTCACGTAAGCGTTCAGATTCTCCTCGTAGATAGACTCTGCCCGCTTGAGGAAGGCGGCTACAGAGCCTAGCTGCAACTGAGACATCTCAGCGACAAAGTAGTGCATGTTTTCTACGGCAAAATGAGCAACCCTGAAAAGGCCTCCGATTGAACCCTTACCAATGATAATGACATGGTAGTTCAATTGTCCCTTGTCCTCTCCTTCACCGTCCATCTTGGCCATGTGTTTCAAAGCATCAAACATCGACTGCACGATCTTCTCGTAAGCTTGGTCCACGGTCTGCCGTATCTCCAGCGTATCTGCGCCAATGAGCTGGTTCTCCACGCGACCGACGTACGTAGGAAAGTACTTGATGAATGGAGCAACACCATTGCGCTTCTTACTGGTCAATCTGGTGTCTTCAATTGATTTGATGTGTTCAGTCTAGTGGTTCTCTTTCAGTCGACCAGTGAAAATGACAAGTTCACATTTGACTTACCACACGACGCTCGAAGAGACCCTTCAGGCGCGTGTGCTGTTTCTCGAGAACGTTGAGCAAGAACGCGTTGCCCCTTTCCTCTGCATCCCCTAGGAACCTCTCGAGAGCAGCGATGATACCGACAACGGATCTGGCCGAAACGTCATCAGCCCAGGAAGAACAAATTCATGAATGATCTTACAGCTTATCCCTGCTGAGGGCATTATCCAACCAGGCTTTGAGCTCGGTCGCGAGAAAACCAAAAATCAGATCCATTGCGCCGCGAATGAGCTTAGACGTAGAGGAGCTCAGTCCGGCGGACCTCGCAGCCTGTCGGCGGAAATAGTTCTCGAGCCCCATGTAGTCTGCAAAGGTCAGCCCAACGTTGTTGATCTGGAGGAAGTCGGCGATGAAGTCTTCTTCATGATACACAGCCGTTGCAGCCTGATCAAGTACAATGCTGAATGCCTTTAAAAAAGAAGCATATTAGCTAAACGAGTACCGCGTTTTGATTAGTATTTCTACGTACCTCCGAAGGGCTGAGGTCACCGTCTGAACGATCTTTCCGCTCTCTGCGGGCTTCCAACGGGGACCGAACAATGGTACCGGCTCGCCGCATGCCAGAAGCTGCCTTCGCAGTCGTAGATGTGGGAGATACCACACCAAAGCCTGTGGTCAGGTTAGTACAAGGTGTTTTGGTGCAGACATGCGAGATCGACCTTCAGGATCTTCATCCGCAGACTTCTTGACCAACCCAGCGCAGATAGAGAGTAGCGCCCTGACTTGAGCACCGTGAAGCGCGCTCGCCGCTGTGAAATAGGCCTAGATATATCGTGTGAATATATGAATAGAAACTAGAAGCGAATGCATGACATACAGCACACAGCTTGGAGTAGATTCCCTCGTCCATTTCCTTGAGGTAAAGAATGAGACCGCTGTATCGCCCCAGAAAGCTCTCCATCTCCTGGTGGTTCCGCAATGCCGGCCGACTTTTGGTAGTTCTGATCACGCCCTCGCTGTCACCGAGAAGCATCTTGGACTGCAAAGTGTGTGAGTGTAGTGTGACAGGCGTTGCAATAGACGGAAACATGCCTGAGCCGTGAACAATATCGACAGATAGTCAAGGATGCGCTTGCAGAAGTGTGAATTGTGAGTTCGATACTCATCCAGCCTTTCCATGGTCGCAGCCATATCTTATGCAAAGTAAGATTACATTCCTTCACTGAGTAACATGACAGTTTCATACCGCGATCTCTGCCGGCTTGCAGGGCCTTATATAGCTCGGTAGCGGCGCCCTCGATTCGCTGTATACTTGATGCCTTCTCGAGAGACTCTTGAGTAAGGGCCAACAGGGCTTCCTTGTCCACGTGAACAGTTTGCTGTCCGCAAATCAGTAGTGAATTCATTTCACCTAGGGGTCGACACATACCAGTAGTTCTTCGAGTTCGTCCATGAGAGCGCGTTGATTCTGGATTTGAACCTGCAGACCACGATTCTGCGATTGAATATAGGCGATATCGTCATTGACGGCCTACCAAAAAGTCATGAATCTACGCTAAGTATTGATGGGTCGAACGTAAAACCAAGAAAAATCCCTACATTGAGATGAATCTTGTAGGACGAGACCACGCTATCCATACCATTGAGCTCCGACATTGCTTCGTCGAGGTACTTAAGGACAACGTGTATCCTATCGTCAGACTCAATGAAGGAATGCACGTTCGCCTAGGATGACCGTAAGTACCCGGACGCCAATTTAGTACACAAATGTACCAACCTTCTCCAGAGCCATCAACTCATCGAGGAGTCTTGCCTCTATTCGATCAGCTGCTCCCGTGACGGATGTCCTGCCCATGAAATCGTCGCTGGCCCACTCATAACCCTCCAACATCTCTTCCATGCTGTCCAGTGTTGCCTGCGCACTCTCGTCCTCGCCAATGTCGGAGCCGACACCATCACCGTCAGCGTCATCGTGGATCACGACATCGCCAGACAATAATCGATTCAGCGTGGCCTGATTTGCAGGGTCAAAGAATGAGACGCGTGCATTCTCACGACGTTGCCCAGAGTCACCGGGAGCCATGCTAGGTGCTCGTGAGGGTGTCTTTCGAGGAAGTGGGTGTGAAGGTAAGGGGATGGGTTGAAGATTGTCCGGAGTAGATGGGTACGTGGATATGGGTGATGGCTGCATGGATGAGGGTCCTGAGGGTATTTCCAAAGCAGTCATCGCTGAAGACGATCCATTCGCACGGGAGGATTGGACTGAACGAGACGATGCGGGGCTGCTGGAGAGGAGACCGTTTGTCGCCGATGCTGGTGTGCGGTTGGCAGAGCTAGCATTTGATGGTCCACGAGCGTGGCCAGCACGGAGGGCGGCAGGGATACCTCCTGCTTGAGAGGCAGGTGTGGTTGGTCGGGTACGCACAGGTGTAGCTGGTCGGTCTGGTATAAGTGGCGGAGGCACCGCACGTGAGGCTGGACTCTCGGCGCGAGACGGTGTACCAGGTTTACGACTTCTAGAAGAGTCCAAAGGATAGGGTATAGGGAGGGGAAATTCGTCATAAATGTCGCTTTGTCTTACAGTATCGTTACGGTCGTTTCCGATCGGTCTTCGGGGTGATGCAGGAGGTAAGGGCGTACCATTGGTTGGAGTGGGTGCTCGTTCCATTCGTCTGAAGTCAAGAGCAGAAGGCCTAGATGCTGTACAAAGCTAACTTATTATGACTAGGGTTCACAAGTAGGAGTATACGTACAAGGTCCGGACGCGTCGGGCATCTGTACGCCTCTAAGTTGTAGGGGGGTTGTACTGCCTGTAACCATACGGAAGAGCTTCACTAAACTAGTAATGAAGTTGGTCTGATCCTGGGCGTCCTCAGATTGCCATCGGTACGTCCTGGCCATGGTGATATTGAAGGTCATTGGCTGCAGGTGCTCTGAGTGGACGCTTGACGTAGAGGACACACAAGGCATACATTAAGAACCTCAAGACCGCGTAGCTCAAGAACCTTCCATGTCTTCCCGACCGAGAATGAGCCATTGGAATTTAGCTTGGACTTGTGTATGAACCCTAGCCTATTGTTTGACTCTACCGTAGATGGTCACGGTTAGGCATACAACAGCGAGGAGCAACCTACGGGAAAGTAGTATATATCTTGGTTTCCTTCCTCCGTCATCCTGACCCCCATCTTCCCAGATCTTGATGTGGCCGACATACTGCTCCTCCTGGCCTGCAGTGTTCCGCCTCGCGAAGACCGAGGAGATAATTCGTTGTCGAACAGATTCATGATCCGTCGACATGACTGCGAAAGACTCTCCTCAGAGAGAGGCACTCCGAGTGCGCGCAAGGAAGATACAGAAGAGAAACGGTCGTGATCAAGAACGAGACGCAGTAAGCGGTCCCCGATCAGCAACCATGCAGTGCGTATGATACTTTCCATTTCGGGCAGTGCGCCTTTGCTTGGTCTTGTTGTGCAAAGGCTTCGACGCCCTCACATCAACGAAGCGGTATCTTTAGCCAGATGAGCCTGAATTTATCGTATGTGTTCATGTGTGCCCTTCGTAAGGAAGGATGTATTAAGTGACATAACGATTGACGTGGCCGACATGTGGTCATTCATCGGTCGTTGACAATAGTTCGTAATTACTGGTGGTCTTGGATTTCCAACCAAACAAGTATTCCGCCCATCCGCCACCCTGTGTAACGCGCCGGACCTCGCCACTCTGCATAACTTCGTACCGCTTTCCTCTCCACTCCACCTGATTTCCAACAATTGCTAGGAGCCAGATAGGCAACGCAAGGATCTCTCTTACTACCCAAGCAGCGAGGAAAGGTCCCGACACGACGGTGCGACCTGCTAGAGACGCGGCGACGTCCATATCCACGGAAACCCAAAATAAAAAGTGAACCGTGAGGAAAAGCCAGCGTGGAGTGTCGAGAATGTATCGCAAACCAGTGGACGCGAGGATCCCAGCGACGACAGACTCGGTGAATGGTTCAAGCATAGTCGCGGCGAACACCATTCGCTTGCGCACGCGGACCCACCGAACCCGCCGCCAGACGTAGTCCGCAAGGGTCATGCTTCCCACAGCATTTCGGGCGACATCGCATGACAGGTCATGGCGTAGACCGAGCTCGTGCCAGAGGGCGCTAGCGATCATATTGTCTTCCGCAAGGAAGCGTCCAAATGCAACTAGGCCTCTCTCTCCTTGCTGAACGCCACCCTCGGTGGAATCCGCGATCGGTTTCAATGAGCCGTCCACTCTCTCCAGGTCCGAGCGTCGGTAGAGGTTTGACTTGCCCACAACACACGAGTCCACGGCGACAGTGTTGATAGCAAGGTACATTTTAGCATGATTGGTGTTTAGAAATGCTTCTTCGATGCGAGATCCGAGCGAATACTCGCTCGACCAAGCCAGTGGGACGTGGTGAACGAGCGCAATTCGACGGCGAGATGAACGCGACGGGATGTCTGCTGGACCATCGAGGGCATTGACAGAATTTGCTAGAGTGCCGGGAGCGACCATAACATTGGAATCCAGCACCCATACAATGTCGTGCGCTGCTTGACGATAAGAGCGGATGAGGTTGTTGATTTTCGGGTTGACACCCACCGCCTCGTCCCCTGATCACGCACAATGAATGGATTGCACCCTCGAAGGTGTATTCATAGTACGTGCCTATCATTACATGTGCGTTAACATCGGGATATTTTGCAATGAGATCGTTGACTACGGGCAGTGCCTGATCGTTTTCGTCTGCTACGCACAGGAATATCTCGTAGTTTGGATATTCCTGCGTAAATGTTGACTCAAGGTTCTCGTACAAATTCGTGTCCAATCCCTTCAATGGCCGCAATATTGATACACCTGGTACAGAGGAAGCTGGAGATGATGCCCGAGGCAACTGCGCTCGCTTTCTGTATCGTTTTCGCCTACACATATATTTTGAGCAGCATTCCTCGCCCTGAGTAAATGAGACTTACGCAGTGATACAACCGAGAGCACCTAAGAGGACTATGAAGCCCCACCAAACCACGCTAGCCCATGCGAGACAGAGTTTGAGGACACCGAAGTCATTGTCAGAGAGCATCGTGGATAGGACCTGCGTCGGTCATGGGCGGCTGAGAGTTGGGCAACTGTTGACCAAACATTCAACGATGTACCGGCGTGACAAGGCGGTGACCGAGCATGAGGCGTGAACGTGACAGGTCGCGCCTGCCAATAGTCGCGCAGTGCGCGAGGGTCTGCGACGCGACACTCACCTCAGGATACCTTTCTCAGTCACCAAATCGCAACAAGAACTTGTCTCGTCCATTGCAACTCTTCTCGTTGTACTGATCTGCATACCTTCGCAGTTATGTCTGAGTGGAAGACCCCGTTCCAGAGAGGTATCGCACGTTTCCGCGCAGGAAAGCTAGAAGAGGCAGCTGACTTATTCTCTGAGGTACGTTGTGTACGTGCACCTTAGAGCTTCCTTAACGATGCCACAGGCGATTGTGCTGGGACCCAATGAATTTTCCATATATGATTCTCGAGCGGCCGTGTTCGAGAAACTAGGAAGGGTGAAGGATGCACTCCGTGATTCGAAGAAAGTGATTGATTTGGGACCACAGAGGTGGCAGGTAAGAGAATGCAATATCAATTTACAACAAAATGACCTCATACTAAGTTACTTCTCAACTGCAGGGGTATGTCCGCTCTGCACGTCTATTCCACAGGATCAGTAAACTTGACCACGCGTTGCGCATGATCAACCTCGCTCTCGAGCGCGTGAATGCGGACGATGTCAGACGCGTCACCGAAATCACCACAATTCGGGACCAGATCCAGCAGGGCCTGCAACAGCGGCGAGAACACGAATCGCGCGCATTTTATCATTTCGGTAAATTGCCCCTCGAGATTGCTACCACCATCTTCACAATGGTGGCCGCCGACGACCACACGCGAGTTATAAGCCTCTCACAAGTTTGCCACAACTGGCGCGCTGCCATCCTTGGCATGCCCCGTCTATGGAGCAACCTTATTCTCACGAACAAGAACCCGGTCAAGAAGGCGAAGGTATGGGCTGTGCGCTGTCAAGGGCGCCTGATCGAGCTTCGTTTGCGTGCCGGGGTGGCACCCACTCCATGGGCGCTGGACGAGCTTGCATCCGTCCCTTTAGATTGTCTGCGAGCTCTAGACGCGGATAACTTCCCAATCCATGAAATACGCCGACGACTTCCTACTTTCACGGACGACGTATTGCAGAGACTCGACGAATTAAACATCCAACACTGCGCAGATGTACGTGCTGCTTCTTGGCTATGGAGGCAGCCTAGCATGCGCATTCGCGATTTGACTATTGCTCACTCTATCTTCCACTGGGCTACTGCCGCTGAGAACATCAATCAACTTGAATCCTTCACCTTCCGCGGCCCCGTTGTGGATACTCCGTTGTCGGACATTCTAGCCTTCCTGCGGCGGAATCCCAATCTTCGCAAACTCGCCCTCAGCATGATGGACATACCTCTGGCAAATCCTGGTGAGGACGAGGAGCCTATACGCCTCCCTCACCTCAGCCACCTCGAGCTCGAATATCACGACTTTGCCACCAGTCGCATCATACCCATACTCGATATTCCTGCGCTCAGCTCCCTGCATATTCGTGGAGGAATACATTCCTTGGATACCACTCTGCGACATCTGGTGCACAGCGGCTGTGCAGCTTCACTGCTCGAGCTTCGTATCCAACGCTGTGCTGTCTCTGCGCAAAGCATTATTGAGCTATTACGTTGTACCCCTTCGTTGGAAACGCTTCAGCTAGAGCACGTTGGAGGCAGCCAAGCGAATAAGATTCTCGAAAGCCTTGCGGAACCCAGGCCCCACATAATTAGCGAGCAAGAGACGCTCAGCGCAGTCCTATGCCCATCTTTACGAACCGTCAACTTTTCACATTGCCCCGACATCAAGAGCGGAACCGTTCTGCGTCTAGTGAAGACGCGCTTGCCTACCGATACGCTGACCGTAACCGAGGACGCATCCCAAGAGAGCCGACCACCACCAATTGTCCCGATCGATACGCTTATAATCGACGGGTGCCCAAACATCGACGCCGACATCCTGCCTTGGCTGAGGAACAAAGTCCGCGTGGTCAGTTGCGTGTACATGACGAAGAAAGATGCTCGATGGAAGCGATGACTGTTGTATTTACCCGTTTATAATTTACATTGGACGTGACCAGCTGTCCGAATACATAACGTGTCCGTGCGTGAGACTTCCGTAAAACGTCCAAAGCATGCTTTAAGCTCTATATCCCTCACCCGCTGGCGAGTGCACCTGCAACAGGCTGCAAACCGTTTCTTCTTTCGAGTGTCAATGCTCACTCTTCGCTGGCGGACGACTCGACCGAGTGGATCGAACTCGAAGACTGCGCAGGAGACGGAACAGGCCGCTGGTGCGCAGCTGTTGCCTGCCCCTGAAGAGCGCCCATCAGAGACGGTGCGAACGCGCTCAGGAGACCTTTCGCGATGTTCACAGGATTCTGCGCGGCGGCAAGGTCCTGAGCGCCGTTGGCAGACGCTTGCGCTGCAGAGTCGAGCACGCTCTGCCAAATGGCCTGGACGCGGTTCTGCAGGAATGTGATGATGTTTTCCTTGGCTTGCACGATTCCAGCATCTATCTCGGCCTCGTTCTTGGTGAGATAAGGGTTCATGAAGGTGACGTAGAACCAAGTTGAACCCTTTGCAGACGTGTCAGCATGATATGGATGAGATCACAAGCGGCACGCGACTCGCCTGCGTCTGAGGCAATGCAAGGAACAGAAGGAACAGGGTCTTAATCTCCCAGTAGAAAGGCAACCTACGTATTCGTCAGATAACTTCATTGTTCAATCGACAATTTGCATGATACATACCAGCTGACCAACCACTCGGCAACGTACTCGAATGCAACGAAAGCCCCCAGAACCGACCAGTACATTGCCCATCGCTCGAGTTCGGGCTCAGATACAGGTCGGTGGGCGAGAGATTTCCACGTGCCGTAGCAGGGAAGTAGAAAGGCGAACCAAGCACTGCGAATGCGATTTCCAACACATTAATGAACCATACCAGTGAGCACACAAGGATCTAATACCTGAGAAGGTTCGATGCGAGAGAGGTCAACATTGCGATTAGTTTCTGAAGCAAAGGGTGGAATGCGTAATGCTGGGACCCTGCAGAAGTAACAAAATGAAGTAAAAAAGAGGTGGTACGTGGCGAAGAGACAAAGAAGCTGGCGGTTGCGTGCAATGAGCACAGCCGAGTGTCGAGAGATGCTAAATACGATCTTGGGCGTCTACGTGCACTCTTCATGATCGGATCGCGAATGAGATCTCCCGTGCATCTTTGAGAAGAGCCAGTGCTGAGCTGGGTGATGTATGCATGTTCTGTAGACTAAGGTGTAGTACTAACATGACTTTAGGTACGTACTACGTGTTATCTTACGCATTGGGATAGAGTCTGCATGGTCGCCATGAGTTCGCTACATTTGAACGCCCTCGCATGTGTGATCGCATTTCATCGTCAGGCCTAATAAATAGGTCATAGCACAACAGCCTGGACTCGGATATTGCCCAATGATGACTCTTCCATCCTCATTTCAGTGGTTGACAGCGTGTCTGCCCAAGAACTAGAGGATAACCAGGAGGATTGTCCGCTTCAACAAATGGCGAGAATACGATTGGGCGAGCGTCCCGAGTCATCTCGATTTGTTTCCGGGCTCATCAGTACGCAGCGATCTTGGGGTATTACACCATAAGAAGGAGAGTCGAGCAAGCGTCTTCTGATACGACGATTGTCGGTCCCATATTCAGGATAGCGAAGCATAAAGCATAGACTCACGAGAGTGTGGGTCTCCGCTTGTCACAACTCTGTAGGAAAGGATTCAGATAAAGACTATCACGTTGGTGCAATTGTACTAGAATTCCAGACTTATTACCAGCGCAAGAAGTGACTTGCGTCAAAGTCACGATACGCGCTCAGTAGGAGCTCGCAACTCAGGCCGGGGTCAGTAAGCACGCTGTGATTAGACTTTGGCACATGTAATCCACATTCAAACGCGAGCGGCGGAGAGTGAGCAGACTGGCGCTCCGCGAGGCCGGAAATAGACAGGACGACCAAGAGGGCACGCGCAGAACGAGAATGAATATAGAGTGAGACGGTGTTTAGCGGATGGGGACATGGTATCGCAAAGTGGGAGCACAGCCGAGAGGCGAGGGGAAGGAACGTGTCTGTCTCAGCCGAGGGCAGGAGGCGTCCGGCTTGCCATATACGTCTGTGGCTTGTCCTTGTTTGGCCTGCAGGAAGCGCGTCTGATCTCTCCATTCTCATCCAATCACTCCCGGCAACTTTGCTCTCACTGTCTCCCGCAGCCCTCGTCCCGGGGGCAGTCTCTCACTTTTTCGCCTTTTTCTTCCGTCTCCCCTGCCAAAATGGACTCCAGCAGCAACGGCGGCGGTTCACCTGTCAAGAAACATGAAGACATCGAAGGGCCCGATCCAAACAAGGCTTCCGTCAAAGCCGATTCCAAGCCGCCCGTACGGACCCTTAACCGAGTGCCCCGTACGTTACTATGCGTTCATTTGCGCGTACTCTTCGTCGATCTCATGCACGGCTTGCACAGGCGCATGTGTGAGTACTACTGAGGCTATGTGCGCAAGAGGAGCGCACCATCTTACGCCTTACGCGTCCAGAATGCGTGTCGTAAGCAGAAGATGAGATGTGAAGGAGCTGAAAACCCTCCGTGCAGACGGTGTAGACACGCCGGTCTGGAGTGTCTCTTTGAAAAGCCTACCCGAGAAGCCAGCTTGACCGGTGAAGCTGGATTGGAGTAAGTCGCCCGTAGGATGCTGCTATATATTCTCTTATCAATGTGCATTTACGTTAGGCGCATACGCAGCCTTGAATCGCATGTCGCGGATATTCGTCAGACGCAGACCGCCATTCAAAACAGCCTAGTCGAGATTGTCAGCCATCTCCGTGGTGGTGCATCATTCCACCACTCTCGCTCTCCGTCCGCATATCCCGCCTTTGTAAACCAGTCGCCTAGTGCCCATTCTCTTGGGTCGCCAGGAGTGACTACGCCATCTACTGCTACTGCGCATCCCCCTCAACTAATGGTAGATACCGGCCACCCGGGACAGCCATCGACGTCGCATAACGGCATGCCACACGGACCCATCCCTGCTGGTGTGAATGCTAACGCTCACCGTCAGCATCGTGATCAGATGGCGGGTACATATCGCAGTCCTTCTATAGGGGCGACCGGACAGCGCGCGTCCAGTCAAGCCGAGATACACACTTCTCCTCTCGCTTCCAACTTGATGTATCCGCCTGCGGTTCCTCCAGGCGCTCGACACAACTTACAGCAAGCAACGACCCTACCGCCCTTCTCGTCGCTTGAATCCATGGGCCCTCCACGGTCGCAGCCATCAAACGTGTCATCAGTACGGTTTCATCCTGATGTCAATTCTCACTCGTCTCGGCAGTCTCTAAGACAAGTGAATGGCCAGGATGCAGTTCTGGGTTCAAAGCGGGGCCCCCCTCCGTCGTCAAACGTGACCAGCGCGGACTCATCGGACGTTGAAGAGGAGGACGGCGAGCTGCCGGCGTCCGGACTGGTAGCTCCGTGGGAAGTTTTGCGCGGGTTAGCTGATGTTGCTATCCAGAGGGCCGCGAAGGTAGATCACCCCTTTGTCATCATGTCCTGCGTTATGCTGATCGCCGCGTCTGCGTAGGAAAACGGGGAGGCGAGCGAACCCCCGAGTCGGGCAAGAACTGCCTCCCCTGATCCTCGCCAGCCCCGACCCGCTAAGCGCAGGAAGGTCAACCATAAGCAGCCGCGGGCTACGAATTTCCCTGATGGTGCGTTGTCTCAGCGTAGGGCTGGCTTCGCACACTGACAGACGTACCGTAGTCGTCACTAAAAACATCATTCTCGAGCCTGAGGCTCGGGAGCTCTTCCGGATGTAAGCCGACGCGAACCTACCACACCTCCGGTGCTCACGTGTAATATACAGCTTCTACCACGGATGCTCGACGTTCCTTCCTATTTTCGATGCTAACACCGATACGTATGATGCCCTTCACGAGCGTTCTCCTTTTGCTGTTGATTGTATCTGTATGGTTGCCGCTGGAGTCAGAGATGGGGGAGGTAGGTGTACCTATATCCTTGACTTGGTGGATGCATCACCGAGAACATTATCCAGGGCCACCCAGCGAAACTTATCTCAAGTGCCAAGAAGAGGTGCAGGCCATTTCCTGCGCTACACTGTTTTCCCCTGTAACGCGGCAGGAAGCTGTACAAGCCATGAGTACGATTTCCGATCATTGTTTCATCATCTTGCTGACGGCCTGCAGTCCTGGTGTCTGGTTGGTCCGACAACGGTTGGTTAAGTGGTGGTCATGCTGTCCGCATGGCGATGGAGCTTTGTAAGTATTAGCCCGTGTATTAGTTCTACGCCGTGCTGAACCCTGCGCTCTGATTACAGCGATGCACAAGGCCTGGCCAGAGCTACTGAAGCGTATGAAGGCCAGCAAGGCATCATCGTCAAGTAAGGACAGACAACTTGTGATTTCCGCGCGAACTTGGTTCTGCCTCTACCTGTTTGAGCATCAGTACGTCCCGCGTCTACGGCCGACGATTTTGTGATACGTCACGCTAAGACGTCTTGCTCAGAATGTCGTATGGGACGGGTCGCCCATCCATCCTCAAAGATGACGAGAGCATCTGGCAGTGTCGTCTACTCCTCCAACATCCGTTGGCCATCGAGGATGACATGCGGCTTGTGTCGACTGTCGAGTTGATGGCGATCCGAGAGCGTGTGAACAACAACCTGTCCCCACTGTTCGACAAGCCTGTAGATGACATGACCTTCAATGTCCTACGGGAAGCGGACATGGAGTTCCGCAACTGGTACGGTACCTGGGATCAGGCCTTTTCCCAGAAATACGAGGATGCAGGTGAATTTGCATCTGTCAAGTGTGGGTCCTAGCTTATGTATTGATCTTTGTTGCAGCCTTCTATCGGCAGAGCTTACAAATTCAACACCTTCATGCCGAGCTATACCACAATGCTACCGCTCTGAGGGGCATTGACGGCCCCGAAGATGTTCAACGGATGCCTCCTGCTCAACGCGAGCTAGCGATCAGGTCAATCCGGATCGGACAGCAGATCCTAGAGATCACAGTGCACTCTCCCGCATACCGAGAGGGGATGAAGTATGGTATGTAGCTATTGGCTCGTACTTATCTGCTGAAGGCTAAAATACGACAGCTGTGCATTATACCCATGCAACCGCTACGTTTTCCGCTTCTTTCCTACTTCGGCTTGCACGTCTCTTGTGAGTTATTCATTCCGCCGAGTGCATGTACTATCTCCTGACAACGTTAAAAGCCCGGACCAATGCGATATTGAAGAGGTGCGATCGCTTGTCGAACACCTTGCCGCTCTCCTTCTTGAGGGTACGTGCACCCTCATGACGGATACAAGTCACTCTGATCCTCATACCACCTGTCCCCTACAGTTCCCGGCAAACGCTACGCATTCACGCTGCAGCTGATGCTGAAACGCTCAAGGAAGCGGTCTGCTTCTATGTCCCGATCGCCTGGTGCTTCTCGGCATCGCTCGCATAGTAACGCAAGTTATGCCCCGGATACCGTCCCCTCACAAGTCAATCAGCACCAAATCATGTCTCCGACCTTCGATGCATCATTCTCTCATGCCGACGCTATGAACCCTATGTCCGCTGAATTTAACCAGCACCTCGCTCAATATGGTCCCAGCATTGACCACATCTGGCGCGGGTTCGACACAACTGCCAATGAGCAGCTCCCAGTATGGCTTTCTGACCAGACACTGGGCGGCGTGTCGGTCTCGCAACAGGGTATGGAGGGTCTTTTGATGCCTGCCGAGTTCGTCTCTACCTCCACACAAATCTGGTAACGTCTCTATTGTATCGTTGTCCATCTCCCGACCCCACGTCTCCACATTTGCTCTCATGTTGTGCACCAAGGGTAAATAGTGCTCACTGTACGCCTTTACTCATCTTTTGACGCTGGCCAGACGGCCAATGTATTGGATATATGATTTGTTACTACTCTTCCATGTTGTATAGCTACAGTCCTCCGTATCTCTCTATGTAACGATGCCTGTACGATCTGTGTCACCTCCGCAAATTGGCCGAGTCTCGAAAAGCGATATGTATGGGCGCTCGATCATCAAAATTGCCAATTTGGGCATACGTAGATTTTTGTTCAGCGGTTGTGCGCATACATCTTCCTGTCCCCTGCCCACTATGCCTGTCCCCGTCGAAGGGCCGCGTCCCATGGCGACCCCCAAGACCTCCAAGATTGCTAGTGGGTCTGCGGAGGAAGCCCCTCCGTCTGCGTCTCCAGCGCCAGACGCAAAAATCCGCAAACTTCGAAAGCGGAAAGGAAAGGAACCCGAGGATGTCGATCCTCCGGCGGACATCTCGCAGCCTGTGGAGGACAAGTCGTGGACATGGAAGCCTTTGACGGAGTCCTCGGCGAGCAGAGTAGCACCGGTGTTTACGAAGGACGGGCGGTGCGTTCAAGTACGCCTTTCCGCAGACTTTGTCTCATTCTAGAACAGATACTTTTTCTCGGTGGTAGAGTCCTCCGTCAAGATATACTCTGTTGCGACGGGTCGTGTGGTTTCCACCCTTGCGGCGCCCCCTCCCTCTGAATCTGCAACGACGGGAGGCCCGTCGCGTCCTGCAGCTGTTACCGCGGCGATCCTCAACCCCCATAATCCTTTCCAGCTTATAACTGGCTCCGCAGATGGACTCGTCAGATTCTGGGATTTTCTGGACGCGATCGTACTACGCACCTTGAAGCTTCCATATGTGATCATGCATCTCGCTGCTCACGAAAAGTTCAAGGATCACATTTTCGCTGCTGTTGCTTCAGGCACCAAGAAGAAGACTCACAAATGTATGTATCCGTTCTTCGCATGCTTACCTTCTTTTTTGCTGACGAATTGCTTAGCGAAGAAAGATTCCGCGGTTGACAATGCCTATGTGCTTCAAGTCTCCTTTCAACCTACCGATGCATCGGCCAGTCTAGCGGTCCAAGTGCCTTCCGACATCTACCAGATTGGAAGGGCACGCGGCCCAACGGGTCTTGGTTTCTCGCCAAGCGGCGCATGGCTTGTAGCGACCGGCGGGCACAAAGCTTATGTCTGTCCTACTTCGGACTTTAAGGCAGGCTTCACCAAGTTCGTGTCGCCGCAAGCATTGACGTGCCTCGCATTCCACCCCTCCGAAGAGTACTTCGCCACTGGTGATGCTATCGGGTGCATTCGGTTATGGTACTGTCTCAATTCTAATCTGCCGAAAACCTACGGCGTAGAAAAGAAGGCGCAGACCACGACGATGCACTGGCATGCCCATGCGGTATCCTCCATCGCATTCACTGCAAATGGAGCATACCTTGTAAGCGGCGGAGAGGAGGCCGTTTTAGTCATCTGGCAATTGCATTCTGGTCAACGGGAATACATCCCACGAGTGGGTGCCCCCATCGCGCATGTCTCTGTCTCGAAGGCGGCAGATGGAGAGGAAGAATATCTGCTCAGCTTGGTAGATGCCTCGTTCGCATTCGTACGCTCGGGAACGCTTAGCATATCACGAACGATCTCGCGAGTGAAGCTAGGTTCGTACAAATCAAATTTACGTCGCCCCTCCGTCTCATTTCTCCTCAGATCCGGCAACCTCCCAAAATCAACCCTCGGCGTCTAGTCCTGCTCCGCTTGCTGTCCACTTCCTTACTTCCGCGCTGATCCTTCCGTCGTCACATGGTTCGACTTTGCAGGCGTTCTCACCCTCTTCTGCCAAACTTCTCTACGAGCTAGAGGTCACTCCATCGAACAGAGTATCGAGGCGAGACGAGAAAGCGTTAGAGCAGCCTCGTGTGCAACATGCTGTCATCGACGAGCTGGGTGAATGGTTAGTGACGATCGACTGGCGAGAGTCTGATGAAACCTTCCGCGCGGAGTCCCATATGAAAATTTGGCGATGGCATCAAAAATCTGCAACCTGGACTCTCAACACAAGGGTTGACCGTCCGCACGGCCTCCACAGAGTAACTGCAGTAGCCTTTCGCCCTGTATCAAAGGGTACAGAATCTATCTTTGTAACCACTGGAGAGGACGGGAACATCAAGTCTTGGAGGGTGCAATCGACGACACAAAAATCAGGAGAAACTGATAGTGAGTTCAAGGATTCCCTATCCCTTCAGTCGTTCATTTTCATTCCTACAGACTTCTGGGTCAGCCGGTGCACACTCAGTTCTCGTTCTGGGACCCCTTCACATGTCTCATGGTCAACAGACGGCTCGCTGTTCGCCGTCTCCATGGGCCCTCACGTCGCGATTTATGATGGCCAAACTAATATCCTGTGTCAAGTTCTAACAAGTCCAGAGTGTCCATTGGTAGCGTCCGCTCACTTTGTTGGCTCGAGCGGTCGCTATGTTGCTGTCGTCGGTCCTAGAGATTTGATACTCTGGGACTTACTCTCGCATTCTGGTGCGTTCTTATCCATATCAGAAGGCCTGCGTGTGTTTACTGAGAGCATTTTATTTAGTGCGGTGGCAATTCCAGAGTTCGTTGTCCATAGATCGGCTCGTTGCTCACCCTAGAGAAGAGTCATTCTCGCTCTTCGAGCGGCTCGCCACTCAGGGAACTCCCTCCACAAGAGTGTTGGTTTTCCACCCGTCGTCGTCTTTGCCAGTTGCCTCATGGACGGTCCCATTCCATCTCCGCAATGTCGTCTCTCACGCCTCACTCGACCGTCTATCAGCCAATCCATTATCTTTCACCCTCGTCGGCATAACCGATACATGGAGTGTCGTCGTCTTTGGCGATGATGTATGCCTACCCCAAGAGGATGGTTCTACTGCCAGAGGTATCGGCACCGATGGGGCTCCAGGAAAAAGGACATTATTCCAGGACATCTTCGGGAAATCGGCGTTCGCCGGCTTGACGAATGTGCCCGCCTCCTCATCAGTCACACTCGCTTCGGCGCAGCCCTGGAGCGGTCGCGAAGTGGCTGAGGTTTTCGACGCTCCGACATACCTCATGCCGCCGCTTGGTTCATTATTCGACAACCTGCTAGATGGGTTCTTGACGCCTCGGCTCAGTAGTGATGTACCCAACAGCCCAACTGCAGTGGAGCATGTGGACGAAGACGTAGACATGGCCGATGAAGGCGACGACGAGCCATTCACGGTTGATACTCGAATAGAACGGGTCGTAAACAAGCAAGAGATGGAATCCTTTATTGGGCTGTTCAAAAACTATGGCATCTCAGGTGCGCCGATAGTTTCGCTCTGTTTTACCCGCTCTTACCCATTATCTTTACTCTGCTAGCACCAACGCAAATGCCCACGCAGCCCAATGGCGTTTCAAAAACAAACGGTATGCGCAATCCCACAGTCAACGGTCACGCACATACCCCATCATCTACACCCAATCCCCCGAATGCGAAGACTGTCGCACAAAAAGCCGAGATGCCTGGCCCGACCTCTGTTGAACTTGCGCCCTCACCAATGTCCGTGAACGGTAGGAAGCGGAAACAATCAGCAGTATAATCGGATAGAATTATATCTGTATGTCATCCTGTAGTCCTAATCATTCTGCTTTTCATCCTTCTCGCTGTAGCTGTTCTGCACGCACATCGTTCTGCATCATGTTATTACGCACTACCATTTCATGCGATCATGCAATCTATGCCGCGAACTACATTGGATGACGTGCGATACACTAGGGTCTGGTAGATTGGAGTGCACGAATGCGAAGAATGACTTCCAGGTGCGTTTTTTCATCGACTGGTGACATCCCCAGAGTACTTGAATCCGAACAACAGAGAGATCCCAAGCACGATGTCAGGCGGGAGAGCGTCGCGATATTGCGCGGAAATCCCATCGAGGATGATCTCGTCCTTCAGCTCCGTCTGAGCTAGGCGGTATGTACCGTCGTTGTTCTTCGGGTCCAAGTCCGTATCAAGTTTCTCTGGTGCATCGGGCTCGCCTGTTCGCCGACGTTTGCTTGCGTGCTCGCAGGCCCAGTCCAAATCGTGTTTCTTGCGTTTCATGTTCTGCGCATCGGATTTGTCCCTATCATTGCTCGGAGTACCGCTCAATGCTTGGTTTATTGCGGGAGACACACTCGTCATCATCGCAGACTGCTCCAGTGACAGGCCATCGGATCCCACTGCATCTAAGGGGAGGGGAGCCTGGCAAACCATGTTGTGGTCCACAGATGCTATGGGACGACAGCTTGAGTCCACTTGAGCGATCGTCACCAGCGCCGGACGTTTGGCATCCTTAGCTTCAGCCTTTGGTACAGCACTGGGCTTCCCTGGGACGTCTGCTTGCAATAAGCCTTCGCCAACGTCCGAGGCCCGAGAGCTCTTTCTCCTTGCTGTCTGGCGTCTGTTCTGAAACCAGATGGTGATGCTCTTAGAGTCCCTGCAAGCTCTGTCAACTTGCCAATAGCTGTGATAACAAGGACAATTCTTACATGCCAATACGGTCTGCAAGCGTTTCCTTAACTTCTCTGGTCGGATGTGTGGTGTCGCTAAAAAGGGCCTCGAGTAACTGTAGTTGTTCTTCTGACATACGACGGCGTGTCCTTCTCTCTTTCATGTCACCGCCATCTGCTTGCGGCATTGCTATGGAAGAAGCAATACTGGGTGATCCCAAGGGAAGCGGAGGCGAAGGCGTCTCGTTAGCTAAGCTAGTACGAGTGCGAGTGGTTCTTGCTGGAGGACGCATGACGACAGAAATACACAATAGTGACTAGATGCAGCAATAAATCGATCTTTTTTGCGGGTGACAATTGATGTGAACAGTCTCGTCAGCCACGGTCAGCCACGACGCCACACTGTTAGTAGCTACAGCATCCGACGCGTCGCGATCTCGTGACCAGTGTCAGCGCTTGTTTGACTGACGCTTGCAGCTTGTTCTCATTGCCCAAAACTCTGCACGAAGCACTCAATGTGCTTGATTATGTGTACGTCACCCCGGATACAGGACATGTATAGGAACAAGAAACATGTACTGAGGTGAAGTACAACATCGTCAATATCGTATAAATCATCTGCAAACTACGATTGTCCACTACCAAAAGAGAGTTGTACATCTTCCAATAATCTAAATCCGTGCAGGCGCGGACAGTTACATACCGCATCACCCTCCGAGTGAGCGTCGACCCATGAATCCAAGAAGTGCCATAGCAGCCTCCATGTCTCCCGAAAGAGGGCTCTTCTTCTCGTTAGTCAACGATCCAGGGGACAACTGAATCGGCGTCAAGTGCACCGCACTGACGTCTGGCGTGATGGCCTCGTACTCCTCCGCCTCGGTTTCCTCGCCGTTGTCGACACGACCGTGTCTACTCTCCTTGTCCAAAACCAGCATTGGCACGTCCCAATCGTCCTCCTCTGGCTCCTCCTCGATGATCCGTCCTGCTCGCGCTTTGGCACAGGCCCACTCCAACGAGCGCAGCGTCTTCGACCGCTTCGGAAGTGCAGCTATGCGAACGCTCTCAGCTGTGGGAGATGATGGCTGCACCGGCGGGGAAGAAGGGATGTGGTCCCATATGTTCTCAGGCTTCTCTGGGGAAAAGTACCTTCTTGATGTATTGACACGACGCGGAGTGAGGGGGGATCGTACTGGTGATTCAGGACGGGTATATGAAGGGCGCTCGTGAGCAGATGCCACGCAATCCAGCGAAATCACTGAGACGGCACTTGGTTGTCCTGTACCGGAACCGTAGCGATTTTCCTGGGCATTGCGTCTCCATATGAGAGATTTCTTCTTGATACTCCGCCGCCGATTCTGAAACCAAGCACTGATAGTCTTGAGTTCCCTGGATGTACATGGTCCGTCAGCGCTCTGTTCGCGGCGCGGTGGGTGAGCGCTGAGACTTACAGGCCGAGCTCCTCAGCAAGCGCAGTCCGCTCTTCCTTGGATGGGTGAGTCTTGTGCTCAAACATCGCGAGGAGTGCAACGGTCTGCTCGTGCAGGAGACGCCTCCGGACGAAGGGAATCTCGCCCTGTGGTCTGGTGGGCTCGGGCTGGCAGGTGCTGTTGGCGAGGGTATCGGCCGAGGAGCACGACAATACGGACGTCGTGCGCTCGAAGTTTGGCATACTGGCGGGTTTTGGCTTGAACTATTGGCGACTGTGGGTGGTGGGCATGGTGCGGAGACCAACAGACGCGGCCACGCGCGTTGAACCGCGTCGAGGCAACGCGTCCACAAGGACAAACAACGCGGTCCCACGTGGTGATCTCGATCGCAAGACATAGTTGACGAGCGCCTGTTTATTCCGAACGGAAGATAACTAAATATACAAGTGCGATGCGCGAGCCTCCTTGTTTCAGACATAAGGTTTTACTCTTCGCTGCCGATTCTTCCTTACGTACCGTCATCGACGAACGACTGCGGCTCCTTCATCCCAACAGCGCACGGGCGCGCAAGTCTGCCTCCTCAGCCTGTATTATGTTCGGGTCGATGATCAGGCCGACTTGTGGACTTAGTTCCCCAACGAACTCTGGGGTCAACGGGTCTTCGGGTGGAGGAGCGAGCACGTATGCCTTGGCAATCGGCGTGTGCACCTGGTCCCTTCGCCAGGTAACGAAATTGCGAACATCGCTGCACCGTACGCCCACGAACTCAACACATTGTAGCGCCGGAAGGAGAGGAGGTAAGGGTTGCCGATTTGGGTCAAGATCTGCATCGGAATCCACGATATAGGTTTCCGCCTTCAGGACGAGCGTATCCACCATGGCGGAATCCAGGCGTCCCACTTTCAGCGAGAAGACCTTCGGGATGGATTGCAAGAACAAGGCCCACTTCTTGTAAGCCGCTGGCGCCCGTAGAATGCCAACCTCGTGGAGGGCCAGGATTCTAAGCTCAGGAAAGCGGCCGGCAAGCATACCGAATACGGGACTGTAATCGTCCCCGTCCATGAGCTGCAAGGCGAGCATCCGAAGATTCGGCGCATGAATGACGGCGAACGTTTTGCGCGCGTACGGCACGCTCAAATCCCCGAAGACAATTTCGCGGAGACGCGGCAAGAAAATCGGTTGAGTATCGCGCCACATACCCAGGCTTCCTTCGTCATACTGCGGCATCGCTGCCGTGAGATGGAGACTGCGAAGGTTCCCGCCGCTCAGCATCTGGCGGAATCGCGCCTCACTTGGGCAGTTGGCTATCCAAAATCGCCGCAGGTCGAGCGAGTATAGATCACCCGACCACGTCGTCTCCTCCCAGTTAACAGGTATGCCATTCAACCTGATATTCTTGAGGCGTGGCGTCTGACCTTTGCAAAGGGGGAGAGCTCCATCGAATGTGGTCTCTATCTCCGGAGGAAGCTCGAACATATGAGGCTGGCCGAAGCGGTGAAGTTCGAAATGCTCTAGCGTTGGTGCAGAACCATGCGTCCAGAACCTCTCGATGACACTCAGCGCTGTTTTGATACTATCCGTGGATATCGTGACGCGCTGAAGGGTGGCTATTTTCTGGAGGAGTATGTCAAGAAGCCAGGTCATCCGGGCCGGGGTAATTGCAGCCGGCTCTGCGGGATTGCCTGGAGACTTGGGGGGAAGAGGGATGATAATATCCAACGCGCAATTCCCGGCTCGGCGAAAGCACTCGATAGAGCGCGCCCAAGGAGGACGGTCGGTAAAGATGATTTGACTCCATAAGTAGCCGTCGCTTAGCGCGGTGGCGCGCCAATGGCGGCACACCCAGGTGAATTGGAACTTGGCCAGCATGGGGTTCCGTTGCGAAGTGGAGTAAACGACAAGGCGCAAGATCTCGCAGAGAATCTCGGTGGGGAGGTCGTTGATTCGGAAGCACATCCACGCGAGGGTCCTGTACCTGAAGAGTTCGGAAGCCAGCTCGACGTCGATCTCGTAACTTTGATCCGGTGCAATCATCTCTCGAAGCTCACTGAGCCCACGTGCGCGAACTTTGGCTACCTTCATCCGGGCCCACACGATCTGCATATCAAGGGGATTGTCATGTGAGGGCTCGCTTTGGGTCTTCAGGTATGACCTGAACATCGTGTCAGCCTCCCATTGCTGCAGGAGCAGTATTTGTTGGGTAACAGATACTGCATAGTTCCTTTCAGCATTGTAGTCGGACATCTCAGGCCTGAAGTGCGGTCAGAAGAAGTTGGGCACCATAGATAAAGCACCCCTACTGAGGCTCACGGGACGTGAAACGAGCGACTGAGGGACTATTGGAATCTGGGACTGTTGTTGGGGAGGTCGGAGCGGATGCGAGGTCCCTGTGTCGCACTCGTAACCTGGTCATAGCTAATGAGATGCGATGGCGACAAGGCTTTATTATATGAAGAAATCCTCATAACCCAAACGGGGTCTGAAGGGCCAAACTGATGTGTTTGGCTGTGTGGGCGTGCACACCGCGTGACGCCGAGAACAATTCGCAGCGCCACGTCGAAGTCCGCGTTCCACTTTTATACAAGCAAACTCACTCGAGTGACGATATATGGCTTTCTCCGTACTTGGGTGTTTTGCGAGGGTGAAAGGTGAAGCTTTAGTCACGACCGGCCTATCAAGGACTGGGCTGGTACCACCACCAGCACTGCAAGTAGGCAGGCCTTAGCATCACGTTGCCTGGCAATTATCGTAGATGCATAGCAGTTAATAGCTCACCTTGATTGCTGAATGCCCCGCTCGGCAGGGAATCGAGGAATTGTTTCAGTCTCAGGAGCTGGGTTGTACCCCCATAGGCAAGACGGCTTTTAATGGCATCGCCGAGCCATGATGGCCGACCTTATGCCGTCTTATCCACCGCCTTATTTCTATCATTGCAAGTGCGTGACCTCCAGTACTTCGTCGCTCATTCTTAGTTGGGAACAATGGGCGTTGAATAGCAGGATAGCCATAAGAGGCAGGTATTCATGTTGGATCGCGATCTCGATGATCGTGTCCCTTACCTCGGGACCAAGTCTCCTCATTTCCCCTACAGATATTGACTGATCTGACGGTCTGCTGTGGTCTATTCCACACACAAGCAAGGTTGGAATTGTATGTGAGTTGTAATTTGAGGTTTTGGACGAGCTCACACAGCAGATCTGATTTGATAAGATAGTAATCGTACATAGCCTCGTGCATTATGCACCAAGCACGCTGCCACTCCGAAAGTCCAATCTTTAGGCCCGTCTCGGCCCGTCTCTATTTATTCCAATGTATGGCTCATCGACATTTGCCTTCGGTGGCCACATCTGCACCTGCTGTTGTACTCTGAAACTGATTATCGTCCCTGCCCGCCAAGGTGTACAATGATTCAATTTGCTTCCGTGAGATACCCTCAATTGGCTGCTATCGATCGCAACAGCCCATATATTCGGACCCTGATTAGCTCTCCCAGGCGATGCCTTCGTAGTAAGTATGACCAGTGCACTAGCTTCATTTCCAGGGGCTATATAGGAGCATGTCCCCCAGTCGAATCCCCTGAGGCTGTGAGTGCTCATACAGGTACCGTCTTCCAGGTCACTCACTTCAGACTCACTCAAGCACTCAAATGCATGAGCATGACTTTTCTTCATATTCTACTCATCTTACAACAATGGAAAGACGTACATATTCGCAACTGACATGTATGTGATTTGCGAACCATAAGATGAATTGCATAGCATCAAGGCAAGAAGCGTAGTAGTATACAGTACGACCTACATTATCTTTCATTTTCCAGCAGACAGAATATAAGCAACTTTCAGAGCATTAAATGAATCATAAACCTAGATAACCACCAACGAAAACCATTCAAGAAGAGGGACCGGTAGCATTGCTGCTGCTCGCTACGTCGCCAGATCCCGATGCCTGAGGGGGCCCAGCCGGCGATGTCTCCAGCAAGTGTTCAAGTACGTCCGTCACAATCGTGTCCTCCGCCTCCCGCGAAAGCTGGGCGTTCCGCGGAACGCGCGTGCTGATCTGCTCGGGGATGCTCGGGTACGCGTCGGCAGTGAAGCCCATCTGCAGCCGAGCGTGTCAGGGAATGCGAATCATGAAAATGCAGAGAGGAACGTACGTCACCGAGCCGCCTGGTAATGGCGTCAGCCGCGGGCGACGATGCGCTTGCCGCGGTGGGGTTGCGCTGACCGGTGCCATGCATGGTGTGGGATCGGCGGACGGGGACGGGAAACATCTCGAGCTGGGGGAACGGACCGCGGGCGGTGCTGATAATCTGCAACGGGGAGTTCGCCGTCGGTGAATCGCCCGCCTTCTTCTTCTTCTCCGGCGTCCTGTCTTCCTCGCTCGTGACGGGCTGAGCACTGTCCGGCGCCTCGCCGTCAGTCATCGCAACGTCGGAATCCTCGGGATGCACAGACCTTTCGCCGGACCGGTTGCGCATGCGCTCCCTCTCGAGCCGGCGCAGGGCGCGCTCACGGCGGTATTTTTCCTTCTCGGCGACGTACCGTTCCTTCGCGTCCTTGAGGGATTCCCTCAGCTGCTGCGGGGACTGCGTCGGGCTCGCGGCGAACATCGTGACTTCCGCATGCTCGTCCGCGGTGTCCGGTTCGTCGATGTCCATGTCGTGAGGCGTCCACCCAGACATGGGCCACGTGCGGCTGGTAGGCGGATGAGGGGGCGGGGGCGGCACGAAAGGCGGGAAGCCCCATGCAGCTCCGGGCGGCGGTGGAGGAGGAACACCGAATGGACCGCCGGTGCGTGGGTCCCTAGGCGGGAACGCGCCGAATATATCGGAGCGGTGGTGGGCGTGGCGATACGGGTGGAAAGGGTGTCCGGGCCAATATCCGCGGCCGCCATGAGTAGCCCATGGAGAAGGCGGCGGTCCGTGCGGCGGCGGGGGGCCTGGGGGAGGGGGGAGACGGGGAGACGGGGAGCGGGAAGGAGGAACATGGGCATGGCGCCGCGGGACCGAGGACGGCGGCGAACGGGGTCGCGGCGGAGGGGGTGGTGCACTGACAGGCGGCGGGGCTCCTGGAGGTGGCGGTCCCGGGGGAGGCGGGTGAGCGAAGGGAGGCGGGGGCGGCAGGGGAGGCGGAGGGGCCAGACCGTCAGCGGACATACGATCAGATCGAGAGCCATGATGCCAGGAGCTGCGGTGCCGTCCTCCACGACCGAGCCCACCTCTCCCGTGGCCCCAGCTGCCCATCCATTCGGGGGGCTCGAGGTCAGCGAGCATGTCGTCCCAGCCTTCACCGGGGGGAGACGGGTGGTGGTGGTGGTGGTGATGTCCATGACGACCGAAGTCATGCGGGTGGGAGCCGCGGGGGTGCCCCGACCCGCGCCGCGAACGAGGGGTCGAAGTGTCAGGGCCTGTAGCGCCAGCGGCACCGCCGGTGACGTCGCCAATGACCCGGACGACGTTGGCGATGGCCTCTGCGACGCGGCGGCCCGCGGCCTCTTCTGCAGCGCGGCGGGCGTCCGTGCCGATCTGACGCGCGTCTGCGGACCCCGCCAGGGCACTGCGGCGTATCTCATCCGCAGCGCGCGCGACGGACTCGCGGTGCGCGTGCCAGTACGTGCCGCTCGTCGCATTGTGCACGATGTTGCGCACGCCCTCCGACAGCTCGGGGTGCGACGCGAAGACGGTGCTGAGCGTGCCGAAGAGATTGGCGACGTCGTTGGTGAGGGAGGCGGTCGGCGTCGTGGGGACGTCATCGTCCAGATCCGGGAGCGGCGGGTCCGGCGCGGCGTCGGCGCCAGTAGCGACAGGCCTGGGGGTCGAGTCCCTGCGAGAGACGGGCGTGGACTTGCCCGTCCTGACCGTCCCCTCGGGCGTGCTGGTGTCGGAGTCTATCTCCATGACGTGTACGGGGTGCTTCTCAGGGCCCTGCGCAGAGACGACAGACTCGGTCGACGAGCGCGACGAGCGGGCCTTGCCCTTGCCCTTATCCGGGGTGGGCGTCGACGCGGTAAGCTCAGAGTCCGCGAGACTGACTGCGGACTGCCTGTCCTCGTCACGCGCACGAGAGCCGTCGACGTCGCTCTCGATGAGCTCCACGAAGGCGTGAGGGCCGTCCGAGTCGTCCGGGGTCTCATGGCCCGCGAGGAAGACGGAGCCGAGGCCGGGCGCGACGCGCTGCCAGTCGTCCTCGACCTCGTACATCATGGGGATGCCCTGGCCGAATGTGCCGCGGTATCCCGCGCCCGCGCCCGCGCTCGCACTCACACCCGAGCTACGGGGCGTCGCGGGCAGCGGCTTGTTGCGCTCCGCAAGGTCGCGCACGTCGAAACGGATAACGGTCGGCTCGCCAGAGACAGGCGGGAGGAGCTTGTAGTACTCCTGGAGCTCCTCCTCGGAGCTGAGCGTAACCTCGTCGCCGTCCTGGTCGATGTACGAGACGGCGATGTCGGCGAGCGGGATGTGGTAGAGCGACTCGATGCGCGCGGCGAGCTTCGCCCAGGAGGGCGGTGCAGCATCGACGAACTTGCGTGTGAGGCCGTCGGGGGGCCTGCTGAGTTTGATGTGGAATGTAGCCATGGTGCTGTGGGACAGCAGCTCGACGCAGCAGGTCTCTTATATACGCGGGAGCACTGCGCGGGAGTTGGAGCTCCGACAATGCGCAGTGTATATGATCGGGGACAAGTATAGCAACTCCTGCCATATCGGGCAGAGGCAACCGGCCTGATATCACGCGCACCCGCCGCTGCGCACCGTCACGTCCCTTTACACCGTCCTACCGCCGCCACCCAGTCAAAGTCGGTTGACTCAGTCAAATTCGAGTCACAAGCGGGACCCACAGACTGCTGCTCACACAGATTAGGGAATACAGGTATTTCATTGCGGGGTTCTAGAGCGTTCGGTATATAGTACATACACAGCATTCCGCCGTCTATCTTCTGCCTACATTTTACGCAAAGATCGCGATGCGCGGGTCGATGTCGGCGGGGTCGTTGAGCTATGCAAGTCATGTCAGGAAATCCTGCGCCTGGCGTAACCCAGAGAGCGCTTACTCGGAGGTTGATGTTCAGGGAGCTGATCTCCTTGATCTCCGCATCCGAGAGCTGGAACGCGTCGACCTGGAGGTTCTGGACCAGACGGTCGTGGTTGTTGCTCTTGGGGATAACAGCCAGGCCCTGCTGGACTGCCCAGCGCAGCAAGACCTGCGCATGTGCTGTGGAATGCGTGCCGCATCAGTTGCTGCACCTCGTGCTGCTGCGCCGCACCAGCCGACTCACATTTCGAGTGCTTCGACGCGATGCTCGCAATCGTGTCGTGCTCGAGCAGGTTCTTGGCGCCCTTGTCGGCACCGAGCTCCACGTAGCTCTGCGGGCCGAGCGACGAGTACGCGGTGATCGCGATGCCGAGGGTGCCACACAGCTTGATCAGGGGCTCCTGCGTCAAGTACGGGTGCAGCTCGATCTGGTTGACCGCAGGCTCGTATTTGGCGTAGCGGAGGATGTCGATGAGAAGAGAGCCCTGGACGTTGCTATTCACACGGGGTGAGCCACGACGAGAGGCGTGTGATTTGTATTCATGGACGTACGAGACACCAATGTTCTTCACCAGGCCCTCGTCAACGAGCTCCTCCATGGCACCCCAGGTCTCCTGGAACGGCACCTTTGCTGCGCAGAAATCAGACTCGTGATAGACCTATGCGTGAGCAAAATGTGCGTACCCAGGTGCACCTTCTTGTCATCGCCCCACCACTCAGGGGGGTAACGGTGCGAAGGGTCAACATACTCGAGCGAGATGGGGAAGTGGACGAGGAAGAGATCAAAGTAGTCAATGCCCCAGAGGCCGAGCTGCTTCTTTGCCAGGGCTTTCACCTGATTGCTGCGTCAGGAACGGAAGGAACGGAAGGAGAACTCTAGCGTACATGGTCGTGGGCATGGAAAGTGTTCCAGAGCTGATATTGCAAGTCTCTCGTCAACAGCTGACGTGTGAGCAGGTCCGTGCGAGTGGACACACCTTGGAGGTGACAACTGCAGGCATGCCGGTCGAGTGAGTGAGTGAGATACCGAGATGCAGCGGGCATACTCACAGACATCCTCCCGCTTGACGATGCCGTCCGAGATCGCGCGGCGGAGACCCTCGCCCGCCTCCTTCTCGTTGCCGTAGTCACCGGCACCGTCGAGAAGACGGTAGCCAGCCTTCAGCGCGTTGTAGACAGTCTGGAGAGAGGAAAGGTCAGTATCAGACCAGGTGCAAATTAAGCGGTGCATACCTCCGCGCAGGTGGCTCTGTTGACCTGAGAAGATCCGTGTCAGATGTGCAAAGGGGGGCATGCCGTAGTGCGCACCTTCCAGAGACCGAAGCTACGTCAATGCAGCACCAAAGTCAGCGATCATGTTTACGTTGTCGAGGACTGCTCTTACCCAACGAGGGGCATCTGGCGCGCGATCGCGATTTGGTGAGCGCTAGGAAGGCAGGGATCGGTAACAACACACCTTCTGCCCGGTGCGTTTGAGAGCGACTGCGGCCATTGCTATTGAGCGGGAAAACAGGATGAAGAAGAGTGAGAGGGAGGAGAGTTTGGGGGACGCAAGGAGGGAGGGGAGCTTATAAGTTTGCAGGTCGGGCCGCCCCAGACGCGGGGGTGGATCGATGGGCAGGCGGAAGAACGGTTGGCAGCGCAAGGGGCCCCGTCTTTCCTTCCAATCGCATCGATGTCACCGCTGCCTGACCTTCTCCCCCACATTCGGTCTATTTTCGGCTCATCCTCGTCGCCTACGCGGTCTTCTCCGGGCCCGTCCCCCGCGCGCTTCTGCCGCCCAGCTCGATCATGGTCCGTCCCCCGCGCGCTTCTGCCACCCGCCCTCACCGCGGTCGGATTCGATCGACGCCCACATGCCAAACGTCACATCAGAGTCTCCGCGTCCAGCCACGAGCAGATGCACACCCACGTCCTCTCCTCGGCTTTAGCGCCATCGGCTCCCTCGTCGCCCACCATCTCTGCGCCAAACGCTACCTCCTCTGCGCAACCCATCTCCGCGTTCTGCAGCGCGGCCTCGCTCACACGGCGTGGCGCCCGCTCTACGACGCGCCGCTCGCCATGCGGCGCAAGCTCGTCGTCAACTCGGTCGTCAACCCGCTCACCACCCGCCTCAACTGCCCCAGCGAGATCTTCAAGCACACCGCCGGCACGCTCATTGCGGAGCGGCTCTGCACCGAGGCCTCGTTCACATTCCGCACGCAATGGGAGCAGGAGGTCAAGGCGCGGGCGCGCACGGGCACCATCGCAGGGGACCGAGCAGTTCCCGCGCGAGCTCGAGGCCGCCGCGCTGCTCGCGCAGTGCAAGCGCATCGTGCGCCAGCTCAATGGGTATCTCCTCCGCCTCGCGCGGCGCTATGGCGTACGTGCACCCATGACCGCGACGCGGTACTCTGATGCGGATGTACGGTAGGACGCAGCGCAGCCGCACAGGTACGTACATCGGCGGCCAGCTGAGCAGGGTTCGCGCAGCTCGGCTTAATGATCATCGTGTTCGCAGGATGTTCCCCAGAGGCCGATGTCGTCATGATCAATGACTTCCCCGACTGCCTTCGTCCCTTCTCTCTCGCAAAAAGGACGGACCGGCGACCTCCCGATCCGTCGATATCGGACGCTCGCGACCACCCCATGGGGCCATCTATTCGTGCCGGATCGTCGTGCGAGCTACATGTTTACCCGCGGCTATGGCACTCGCCAGAAGACGCCTAGAAACAACAGGAAGTGCACGCCCATCATTCTATAGCGGCCGCCGCGCGTCATCATGCTTGGGAGACATCCATGCGTAAGCTCGTATACTGGTATGGTTCCGTTATCGAGCTCAAGGGCCGGACGTCCGGCAGGTCCATCGTGAGACTTATCGACCGAGGTGTTTTGTAGCGGTAGCGGCACTCAATCCCACAAAACCAGATAAAGACAAGTAAGTACGCGAGCGAGCGGGCGAGACGAGACGTGCTGAAATGAGCTGCGCGATAGGACGCTGCAGGCAGGAGGGAGCCGCGTAGCTCGGTCGCGGCGGCCGGTGCGCGCAGGGGACTCTGCGCAACGCGCGCGTGCGTACGCCGCCGTCAACGAACATGCGCGATTGCATGCGATTGGCGGTGCGTCTCCCGCGTCTGCCTGTCGCGCCGTTAGGTGCTCACGGGGCTTGCACGCCAGACGATCACACTGGGCGCCGTGCGCGCAGATTCCTGCCAGCGGGCTGCGACACTGCCATCCAGCGAGTCCTCACGGCGGACAGAGCGGGAGGTCAGCAGATAGCACATGAACATCACAAGCGGCATGGCTCACCAAGGCGTGCAGAGAGGAGACCGGACAGGAGCGCAGCGCAAGCGAGGCGGTAGCGTGCGTACGGGTAGCGTGCGTACGTATACTGGGCAACCGGACGCCGCGCGCGCTGCGGGAAAATGCGAACATGATACAAATGCTCACCATGGCAGCAGCGCAGACACAAGGGACAGCGAGAGAATAACACGCAGGGGTGTAGACGCGCAAGGGCGGACAAGCAGCGTGCACGGGTAGATGAGCGGGACAGAAAATGGTGAGTGCGAAGAGGACGCACCGACGTCAACCGCGTCGGCTGAGAGCCGATCGCCTGGCACCCCCTTGCAACACGCTCCTGCGCGCGTCGCACCCCTCTGATATCTCCGTTTTGGCCGCCGTCGCTCGACAGCCTCGCTCGGTACGTCCTCTCTTAGCGCGCCCGTCTACCACGCCGCCGCCGCCCTCTTATCTCGCCACCGCGTACTACCAGCGCTGCCATCGTCTCAGCTACACGGTAGGTATGTAGTACGTGCCATAACGTTGCCTGCATATTCTCATGTCATCGTCCCGCCCACCGGGCACAACGCAAACTCGCCGGGCAGCGTACCGTGCGGAATGCTCCTGCACCATCCTCGCGTCCTCGCAAGCACGCGCAGCACGTCCAGCACTAACGCGCCGCGCCGATATCCTGCGTCCAGGGCACAACACGCAGCGTCATAGACTGCTCCACGCGCACGCTCGCGTGAGATTCTACCGGGCGGCGTCATCAGTACCCCACACGTCGACGGTAATGAGCCGATGCGCGGCGTACCCGAGGACGCGTACCTGACCTGTCCGCCGGGCATCTGGAAATGGAACGACCAGCCGACGCAACGCGAGCGCAAGTACAGGGGCAGCAGCGAATCAGCACACCGGCATACCATGAAGATGGCAAGGTCACGTACCCGCTATGGCACGAGGCGGCATTCACTCGCCGGGAGCGTCGCGCACGGACAACGCGCACATGCAGCACCGGATGAGGCGCACTACATAGCCTGACACATTCACCGGTGGCTTGGGACAGACGGGCAGCACGGGCCGCTTGGTTGTCGCTTCCCGCGGTACGTGCATTGTGATTACGAACGCCGGTCGCCGGTGGTCCAGAGTGCGGGCGTGGTGTGATGATGTACCCGTCCACATTCCCGATGTTCGTACCGTCTTATTATCCCTGCACGGCCGCCCGCGCGCCGGGGACCTTGATGATGCTCACGCTGTTCCCCTCACAGTTTATGCATCTCTGTCCGAGACGCGTCGACTTCGCCCTCGCGTCGCTCCGTACGCCGTCCCTCTGCGTTCCTGCTTGACACTCTGTCATCACACTTACATCGCGCCGTCGCACGCGCGCCGGTCCCCTCATCCTGTCTCTCCGGACACGGACACCGCGTCCGGCTCTTCGCGTCCCCGGACGCCCATCGTCTCGGCTACACGAAACACAAAGGTACGTAATACATGTTGTGACCACCATTGTGCGTGCTGATTGTCGTCATGCCTCCCCCTTCCGACAGCCCGCACCACCAGCAGCATTGACCAAATGCGCTCGCACGCCCGCAGAAGCTCGACCAATAACAACGTCAGCGGAGCGCAACAGGCAGCGCGCCATGGAGGACGCTCGTGCGGCGTCGTCGTCCCCACCTTCTCGCGCGTGTCGCATGCGGGTGCGAACGCGTCGGCCGCAGCAACCAGTCTGATCAAGCGGATGTTAGTATGAGGGCGCAACGGGATGGATTGCGTACCGGCTCGCGTGCGGAACCTGATGCACAGACCGCCCCACGCTGGCGCCGTCTTGTGTGCATGTGCCGGGCGGTCTCGCGCATGAGCCTGGAAGGCGGCGGCGGCGACCGGACTGCAAGCGTGACGTACCCGGAACTGCCAATCTCATCTTTGCATGGCTGTCGTGTCCATGTGCTTCGCGTCCAGGTCAGCGGTGGGTTTCTGAGATTCTTGCGTCGGGCACAGATGGTGCCGGGGAGCAGAATGATCATTGTAAGTCAACAAAAGAGCCTAAGAGGGTCACATACCTGCTGTGGCATAAGGCGGCACTCGTGCACCAGCCGAGTCTGTCAGTGCGTAGGGACAGCGCAGACTTCCACAGCCAACCTGCGTGTGCACCTTGAAATCACGGGGGCGGTCAGCACCTGACAATATGCACCTGGTAAATTGCCCGCTTTTGATTGACGGCGACAGTGACAGCGACAGCGATCCTTCATATTGCGCCAGGCGGTATGAGCCATGTCGATGTGGGGCCGGTAATCGGCAGTTCAGCGTGCGTACGCAGTGAGACATGGCAGAACAACATACCTGTGCACATCCTCAGTGTTCACGCTGTCTGAATATTCCCCAGCAGACCTCAGTGGCTGTGTGGCAGTCATGTGTGAGGGGAGGAGGGACCTCGCGCGCGGCGAGGCCTTCTGCTCTCACAATCCATTTTATCTGCTACGAGGCCGCGCACGGACCCTGCAGGCCAAGGACTAAGACACCATCCTGTACTTGTCTCAGTCTCACCACGCAGGACACGCTGCACCCGCACGAACAGATGTTGCGGTGTTTCCGTGAGATTTGCTGTTTCTGCCATCATTTCCATTGCTTTCGCGAATGCAGCCTGACTGTGAGCGCTACGCCACCGTACGTGATCCCGCTCACTGAACCCACAGAGCATCGGAACACCCCTGCGCATAAGGGCTATGCACACGCTCTGAATGGATTGGCAACGGGAGAGTGTCACAGGAGTGCAGGAGAACAAAGGCAGGTCTGTTGCATGTAATAAATTGTAATTGATGATACGAACCACTATGCCGTGCCATGCCATCACGCACATCAGCCCCGGCCAAAGACTACCGGAAGGATGTTTTCACCTGACTTTTCCCGAAGCACACGCAAGCATAGGCGGTGTTGCCAAATATAGCCTAAGGCGTGTGAATGCACCTGTCATTGTTGCGAGAGGGCGCCATCACTGTCAATATTCTAAAAGTAGCAGCCTGACAACAGTCATAATTCCAGAAAGGGTGTCATCAAATTACGTATGATAATAAGGTATGGGCGCAACATATCGGATGTTGTGCTGTCTGGCCAACACTATATATAATTGACGTGTGACTTTATTCTGACAATCTCCCCGCTACTTCCCTTGTTACCACTTTGTTACCAGACTTCCTTCATCTGTCTGTTATCCTGCTCCGGACAACGTCTGCAGCCATATTTCTGGCTTCCAAGTAAGTGGACTTGTGGCCATTATTGACTTGTGCTCCCAGTCGCTGACAAGACCTCACTAGGTTTGGTGTGATGGGTTGCTGCACCCAGTAGCCAAGTAAACGAGAGCGGAAATGGTGACAAGATGTGTTGCGAGACTGCGAGCGAGATGACGAAAGTTGGACAACAGGCTAGGCAAGGTAAGCACATTGATTGAAGGACGAGATCGATCAGCACTGATCTCGATCATAACACGACAGTCGACACTCACGTCCTCCGCCTTGCTCGCCCCGTAAGGTGCGGACGAATCTCTGACGATGCAACTCCTCACCCCGCCTTTAAATCCCTTGCACGTTTGCCGGACGTGTCTCTGATCGCACGACTGCTGACCGGACGTCTTGTGCAGGCGCGGCGGCCCTTGTCTCGCATCCGCTGCCGTGTCGCTACGCTGTTTATTGCCCGAAGCTGTGACAGCAACGCTCCCCACGCCCGCGCCCTAGAGGTGAGTGGTCATTTTGTCTGACGCGGACGGACAGACTTACCGACGTAGAGAACCTACAGGTCTACCGGCCGCTGCGCTCCCACATCGCCCATTACCGCTGCCGCGAATGCGCGCAGCGCAGGTGCCAGACAGCGCGACACTGACAAAAGCCTGGCGTGCTCGGGGCGCGCTCGTGCATTGCAAGAACGATGCTACGCGCTCGGTCCGCGGCCGTTGGTAGACGGGGTGCATGGTGCGGAGCGTACGGCTGCAGGCAGAAACGGGTCCGGCTTCTCCTTCGGCACCAGGGTGCTTGACAGAGATCGCGGGACATCACTGGTCTCCCTGCGGGCCGGGCTACATGGTAAGTTCGTTTCACCTCTAATTTGCTCGCCGGCGCACTAACAATCATTTACGATTGGTCGCGCATCGAAGGCGGTGGTTGGGCATTGTGTGGCCAGAGCGGACAGCGCGCAACGCGAGTTGCAGCGCCGCGCGCGAAATGTATCGCGCTTGGCGAGGTGAGTTCAAATGCGGCATAGTGTAGGCTGGATAAATACTAACAGTCTCATTTATGTGACTACAAGGCACGCGGCGGGGACGTTCAAGTCACATCCTGACCGGTTAACACAATAATGGGACCGAGCGCGCTCGCTGGGCGTGAGCCGGGAGCGCGATCGACAGGCGCACAAGACGCGGGCCATTGGAGTGACCGGCGGTGCTGGTCATCACCGCAGCGGTAGGACACGGGAGCGTCAGGCGCGTGGCTACGCTCTGGGCTGGGCCGGACGCGGGCTGTGTCAAAGGTGCCATGGTAAGTTCGGGCTTTTCTTTTCGCAGATACACTGACCATCGAGTGGTGGCGTAGACGGCGGCGGAGAATGGAGCGTCGCACGGCCTACAGGAGTGCGGTAAGCAGCGCGCGCGGACCAGAATGGCTCGCGGGATGCAGGACTGAGCGGGCACGATACGCATCCCCCCGCCGGGAGCGCAACGTACACAAGAGCGTCGCGCGGAGACGGTACGAGGCGGCGAGCTGACCGGGCGTGGCGTGCGGGCGTCCGGACATGGTGGGGAGTGCCCGCGCACGGAATGCTGACCGGTTTTGCAGGCGCGAGGGCGAACGCGCACAGTGGCAATGCGCGGCGTTGTGCTCCCGGTCAGCATACGTCGTTGCGGTCTGCGCCCTTGCCAGCCGGTCTGACTGGTGCAGCGTCTCTGCCCCGACGCGCCACACTGGACTCGGTCGTGTCGCGCAGACCGGGGACGGCGCGTGCTTGTGCGATGCGCGAGCGACTTGGCGCGGAGCGTGCGCAGACGGTTCTCTGCACTAGAGATCCGCGCGCACACAGGATTAAGTATGCCGGTGGCGGACGACGGCGGGCGAGGAGAGAGCGATGGGCGGGACAGCGGGGACGGCATTAGACGAGACTGTATGGATGGCAATAAGCCTTGAAATATATTTGTTGCTCTACCTTGTACGACTCGACTACCCCACTGTCATCTACTCCCTACCGCTCTGCACTCCCCACCGCTCTCTATTCCCCTTGCCTTGTCCTATTTCCTCAATTCTACACGGTCTCTTCTCGCACGCTCACGAGACCGTGGCGAGCATCAGTCTCGACAAGCAAGCGATCGGCCGAGGGGTATATCAATATTATGCGGGGCGCGCAAGGACACGCACACGATCACGATCACTGGAGTGACCAAGGCGGCGCCGTCGAGAAAGTGCGGATGCGCGCGAGCTCTGAGCGGCGGCACATGCGGTCTGACCGGCCACTCTCGACGCGGCGTCGAGGCGCACTTACATTTCGCGCAAAGATCGCGATGCGTCGGGTGGGTCGTGCGCTATGCAAGCCATGTCAGTGAATCCTTCGCCCGGCGCAACGCACAGAACGCTTTCAGGGAGCTCATCTCCTTGATCTCCGCATCCGAGAGCTGGAACGCGTCGACCTGGAGGTTCTGGACCAGACGGTCGTGGTTGTTGCTCTTCGGGATAACAGCCAGGCCCTGCTGGACTGCCCAGCGCAGCAAGACCTGCGCATGTGCTGCGAAATACGCGGCGCATGAGTTGCTGCACCTCGTGCTGCTGCGCCGCACCAGCCGACTCACATTTCGAGTGCTTCGACGCGATGCTCGCAATCGTGTCGTGCTCGAGCAGGTTCTTGGCGCCCTTGTCGGCACCGAGCTCCACGTAGCTCTGCGGGCCGAGCGACGAGTACGCGGTGATCGCAATGCCGAGGGTGCCACACAGCTTGATCAGGGGCTCCTGCGTCAAGTACGGGTGCAGCTCGACCTGGTTGACCGCAGGCTCGTATTTGGCGTAGCGGAGGATGTCGATGAGAAGAGAGCCCTGGACGTTGCTATTCACACGGGGTGAGCCACGACAAGAGGCGTGTAATCATGGACGTACGAGACACCAATGTTCTTCACCAGGCCCTCGTCAACGAGCTCCTCCATGGCACCCCAGGTCTCCTGGAACGGCACCTTTGCTGCGCGGAAATCAGATTCGCGATAGACCTATGCGTGAACGAAATGTGCGCACCCAAGTGCACCTTCTTGTCATCGCCCCACCACTCAGGGGGGTAACGGTGCGAAGGGTCAACATACTCGAGCGAGATGGGGAAGTGGACGAGGAAGAGATCAAAGTAGTCAATCCCCCAGAGGCCGAGCTGCTTCTTTGCCAGGGCTTTCACCTGGTTGCTGCGTCAGGAACGTCACTCATGGCAGGAGAAAGTCTGGCGTACGTGGTCGTGGGCATGGAAAGTGTTCCAGAGCTAGCATTGCAAGTCTCTCGTCAACAGCTGACGTGTGAGCAGGTCCGTGCAAGTGGACACACCTTGGAGGTGACAACTGCAGGCATGCCGGTCGAGTGAGTGAGTGAGATACCGAGATGCAGCGGGTGTACTCACAGACATCCTCCCGCTTGACGATGCCGTCCGAGATCGCGCGGCGGAGACCCTCACCCGCCTCCTTCTCGTTGCCGTAGTCACCGGCGCCATCGAGCAGACGGTAGCCAGCCTTCAGCGCGTTGTAGACAGTCTGAAGAGAGGAAAGGTCAGTATCAGACCGGGTGTAAGTTCAATGATGCATACCTCCGCGCAGGTGGCTCTGTTGACCTGAGAAGATCCGTGTCAGATGTGCAAAGGGGGGCATGCCGTAGTGCGCACCTTCCAGAGACCGAAGCTACATCAATACAGCACCAAGTCAGCGATCATGTTTACGTTGTCGAGGACTGCTCTTACCCAACGAGGGGCATCTGGCGCGCGATCGCGATTCGGTGAGCGCCAGGGAGGCAGGGATCGGTAACAACACACCTTCTGCCCGGTGCGTTTGAGAGCGACTGCGGCCATTGCGATTGAGCGGGAGAACAGGATGAAGAGGAGTGAGAGGGAGGAGAGTTTGGGGGACGCAAGGAGGGAGGGGAGCTTATAACCGCGCCCCAGACGCGGGGGTGGATCGATGGGCAGGCGGAAGAACGGTTGGCAGCGCAAGGGGCCCCGTCTTTCCTTCCAATCGCATCGATGTCACCGCTGCCTGACCTTCTCCCCCACTTTCGGTCTATTTTCGGCTCATCCTCGTCCCCTACGCCGTCTTCTCCGGGCCCGTCCCCCGCGCGCTTCTGCCGCCCAGCTCGATCATGTCCGTCCTCCACAGCTACAGCACTATCGAAGTATATACAAAAGATTACAGAATTATAGAACCATAGCACCTCTTCATACTCGCGCTTTCTAGAAGGGTTTCGCCGCAACTTGTCTTAACGCGACTACGCCGTACACCCACGGACGTGCTGTCCAAAAGAGGAAATAACTCATTTCACCTGCACCATCAATATAAACTAAATTCCTTGCACCCGCAGATAGGTATATGTCTTTCTTGTAACATGTATGTACTACAAGTATGCAATGTATGATAAAAGCCGGTACTGTCTCGATTATTTCTCGGGCTGCAAATCCCTAGTTTGTGATTTCCATATCTCAGTATTAGTGCTGCGCAGCTTTCATTGACGCGAATTTACACTGTTTTCTCATGTTATCATCCTCATTAAGTGATGTGTTGCGACGAAATTTTGAAATCTGTCTTCCTCGTCTCAGAGCATCCTGCTGACATGTGTGATCTAACCTTGTACACAGGAAAATGGGAATTCTGCTTGCAACATTTTGTTGAGAACTTCTCTCTGAATACTTTCCCCCTGAAAACCAAGATACAAGCATTGCTGTAAAATGTCATAGACAGGATGCCAACATCTAGTGAAATCTACGAGCGCCGGCCGTCACCGGAAATTGCCGGCTGGAAGAGAGTTGCTCGTCCCCGCGCGTGGACGCGGTGAGCGCGTTCACCGCGTCCACCGCGTCCAACGGCGAGCAGATGCACATACACGTCCTCGGCTTTGGCGCCATCGGGACCCTCGTCGCTCACCACCTCCGCGCCGCGCTCGACCCCAAGCACCTCATCACCATCGTTCACAGGTCTGCAGACCACGTCCGCGCAGCGCCGCCGTCCGTCGCGGTCGAGCGCGATGGTGTCGTCGTTCGCACCGAAGGCTTCACCCATGTCGCATCCGAGCCAGAGGACACGCACGACGAGCGAATCCCCACCGGCATGCACATGAACCTCTTGGCTGTGCCGTCAGAGGCCGAGCCGACGACCATCGACTCGCTCGTGGTCGCGACCAAGGCTCCCTACGCTATGCACAGCATCAAGACCCTCCTACCCCGCCTGTCTGCCAACAGCACAATCGTCCTGCTCCACAACGGCATGGGCGTATACGAGGACCTCGTCAAACACGTCTTCCGCAACAGCGACGCTAGGCCGCACATCGTCCTCTCCGTCAACACCCACGGCGCCTGGCGCAAGGGCGTCGGACACGTCGTGCATGCTGGCGTTGGCGACATACAACTTGGCATCGTGCCCGACAGCCGCAATCGCGACTTCGAGGCGAGCCTCGACCTCTCCTTGCCGCGGGGCGAGCGCAAGCTCAGCCTGAGCGACATCACTCCGGTCGCGGGCGACCCCCACGCCGAACGCTACCTCTCCCTGCGCAACACCATCTCCGCGTTCTGCAGCGCGGCCCCGCTCAACGCGGCGTGGCGCCCGCTCTACGACGTGCAGCTCGCCATGCGGCGCAAGCTCGTCGTCAACTCGGTCGTCAACCCGCTCACTGCGCTCCTCAACTGCTCCAACGGCGAGATCTTCAAGCATGCGGCCGGTACGCGCATCGCGGAGCGGCTCTGCGCCGAGGCCTCGTCCGTCTTCCGCACGCAGTGGGAGCAGGAGGTCAAGGCGCAGGCGCGCACGGGCACCGTCGCAGGGGGGCCCGACCCGCTTGTCCCACGCGTACCAGCCTGGCAGGCCGAGCAGTTCCCGCGCGAGCTCGAGGCCGCCGCGCTGCTCGCAGAATGCAAGCGCATCGTGCGCCTGACGCACGAGAACGCATCGTCGATGTTGTACGACGTGCGCAATGGGCGGGGCACCGAGGTGCGCCAGCTGAATGGCTATCTCCTCCGCCTCGCGCGGCGCTACGGCGTACGTGTGCCCGTGACCGCGACGCTGCTCGACATGGTGGTGTTGCGATCCGCGGTGCCCCTTGACTCGGCGGTGAGCACCAAGGCGGTACTCTGAAGCCGGAAGTACGGTGTGACGGAGCGCAGTCGTGAAGGTACGTACATTGGCAGCCAGCTGAGCAGAGTGCGTTCATCTCGGCTTAATGATCACCGTGTTCGCAGGACACCTATCGTTCCCCGCATCCCCGCCCAAGAGGCCGATGCCGTCATGATCAATGACTTCCCCGACTGCCTTCGTCCCTTCTCTCTCGCAAAAAGGACGGACCGGCGACTTTCCGATCCGTCGATATCGGATGCTCGCTACCATTAGGGAGTACCCCATGGGGCCATCTGTTCGTGCCGGATCGTCGTGCGAGCTACGTGTTTACCCGCGGCTATGGCACTCGCCAGAAGACGCCTGGAATCAACAACTAGGAAGTGCACGCCAATCATGTTATAGCGGCCGCCGCGCGTCATCATTCCCGTCATGCTTGGGAGGCATCCATGCGTAAGCTCGTGTAGTGATGTAGTTCCGTTATCAAGCTCAAGGGCCGGACGTCCGAGCGCGGCGGGTCTATCATGAGAATGCTCGCCAGAGGTGTTTGGTAGCGGTAGCGGCACAGTTTGCATCTAAGAGATATGCAAGAAAGTACATCCAGGTTCTAAGCACAACGTGCTATTGCGAAGCTATCGTGCGAGAGACTTTTCCTTGATGAATGGCGTACAGCAAACAGCAACTCCCGCTAATGCGACGGCGAACCACAGGGCAACTTGTGTGGCGTCTGAATATGACGACACCACCGCCGCACGGGTGATAGGGTCAAGTTTGTGCACGTAGTCCAGCGACTCTCGGACGCGACTTATGATCTGGTGTAGGTGTAGAAGATGAGCTGCCGCGGCACCCAAGGTACAAAGGGACGTGCCTTCTCGACGTCAGCGCCCGTGAGCCGTTCATGTAAGCGAGTACGGAGTTTCTCTTGGAACAGCGTGGTCGCGATCGACAAATTGACCACAGATCCCAATGAGCGGAATAGGTACGATACTGGCCACTACATGTGAGCCTGGGTAGGGTACATGGAAGGTCGGGCGTACCGGCGGTCGCAACGGCCTGGTTCTCAGGACCAGCATTAGCAATGAGCGCAATGAGGGTGCTCGTCAGCGTTGCCCCTGCTAAGGAATCAGTGCTGGTTCACATGTGCTGACGAAGAGGGCTTACAGCCTCCAAGGTTCATCATTGCCAGACCTGGTCAAGAACGTCAGACATGCAGAACTTCCCGTTCGTCGTCAGATCACGCACCAGCACCGAGTCCAGCCAGGGTGAACAAGAATGGACCCGTAACGCCCGCTATGATGAACATGCCGGTGCACGAAAGCAGCGACACGGCAATAGTGAGGGCATAGTATCTCCCTGTCGCCTTCATGATCAATCCGCACGACACGCTACCAATCCCGCCGCCGATGACGGCGGGAAGCAGCGCCAGCCCCGTTTTGCTCGGGTCGAACCCGCGAACGGCCTGGAGGAAGAGCGAGACGTGGAAGATCACGATCATGGTCGCGCCGATCAGGAAGTAGTTGGTGAGATAGCAGGCAAGGAGGGAGGGGTTGGTGGCGATGTGCTTAGGCGCGAAGGGCTCGCTCGCAAAACGCCATTCGATGAGCAGGAACGCGACGAAGAGGACGCCGAACACCACGAAACAGGCGATCGTGATGGGGTCGCTCCATGCGATGTTGCCGCCTCGGTCCAGTCCGAGCAGGAGGGAGAAGACGCAGACGACGAGGGTCAGGGCGCCGGCAAAGTCGACGCGCTTGAGCTTGGCTTTGAAATCGGCGTTGTCGCTGCTGGGCAGCTTCAGGCCGAACGCGACCGATGTTAGTGCTAGCAGCGTCATAGGCACTTGTACGAGGAATGCCCTGACGCGAGTGTCAACCTGAATGGACTATACAGGTCCAGTGGTCGCACTTACCATCTCCAGCCAATCATATCAGCAAGGAACCCTCCGAGCGGCGCGCCGGTAGCCTGGCCAGAGGCGAAGATGATGTTTGCGACACCCTGCCATGTGCCTCTGTTGCGTAGGGGTACGACGTCCGACATGATAATGACGCCTACACTGTAGTCAGAGGTCAACGGCGCCGCATGAAGGACTGCTGCATTCACTCACGTCCCAATCCCTCCTCCGCCAATGCCTGCAAGGGCACGTGCAGCGATGAGAGATGACATGCTGTTCGCCAAACCACAGAACAGACAGCCGATAGCGAAGACGAAGTATGCGAAGATCATGCAAGACTTGCGTCCAAATATGTCACTCAGCTGAGCAACTCGTGAGTATCGACGACTGTAACCTCAAGGGTGCCTAGAACCTGACCTTGCCATAAAGCGGTCTATTATCAGTCGAGTCAGAGCAGTCTCAGATACCGGACAGGTGCTATGCGTACTGGAAACTGGTTAGAGTGAGCATATACCCGGTCGCAATCCAGCTCGTGTTCTCTAGATGTTCAAATTCGCTCCCAATTGCTGCGTATGTGGAGGCAACTATCGTTTGGTCCATGGCTATGAGAAAGATGCCTAGCATCATGGGTACAATCTATACAGCAGACTGTCAGTTCCATAGTAGTGGAATGCCGCACAGCGGTCGAAGGATTTGTGACATGGGCATGGTATTGCGGACCACTGGCTTGTGTGCATGCGGAATGGATTAACATACCACAGCCGCAATGGATGCCTGAGGCTTGAGAGCCTCATTTTCGTTACCCTGCCACGGTGCTGCATCCTGCTCGTCATGCCCGTTCGGCGTCGAGCCATTCTGTTGCGCTTCGGCAAGGAGAGGAGTCTCTTCGTCAGCTTGCATTGTGCTAGCCCCTCCGCACTTCGAGCAATAGCAGTAGTGAGCGTGCCGCAGGAAGAGACGGGACGGACTGACGTGCTCAATGCCGTGTTATCTTTACTACGTAACGCAACTAGTCATGCCGCCTAGTCATACTCGAAAACGTCCGGGGGATTCTCATAACGGTCGTTTTTGATCATGTTCAAAGCTTGGATAAGCGACTCATGGGGTTGAAACTAGTATATGTTGTACCAATGCTGTGGTGCAATGAATTTACAGGTCGGTCGGTCGGCTTCTACGTCGGAGCCTAATTCAGTCGTAATAACTCGGCTTATTGCCCGTTATCACTCAACTTGTCAGTCGGGCCAAACACACATAGATTTCGCGCCTCGCGTCGCTCTGAGCACCTCGAACTGAGAACACGGATATCTCTCGAAATACTCATCGTATAGCCTTGATTCTTGCTGCGTTTGACTCTGCTCGTCGCCCCGGAGGGCCTGATACCAATAATATTGCAATCTGTCCATGCGTGACTGTTGTCAGCTCCGCCACTCCCTTCTGGATGCAGGATTGTTTTCGCCCGCGAATGCAAGCATCTGTTCGTGTCGGAGTGACTGTGTTGGGTCAAAGTGGATACTAGGGAGGGCCCGGTATGGGTTTAGTGTGTCCCCCAGTAAGACTATCTTCACTATATGCTATTGTCGCCATACTGCTAGCACTCCTCCATGCCATCGGTACAGGTTGCTCGGGATCTATTTTCCAGTACCCCCAACCCATGTAATATATCATATAAAGCCATGAGAGCTATCTTATGGTATGAACCTGTTCCCCTCATCTGACATTAGCATTCAGTCGCAAAGAGACTCCTGCGCCATCTAGTACGGCTTCTACTGCATATAATGGACTAAATGTTGTGCTGCCCTTCAGTTTTGTCGCCTTTCATAATCGCAACCAACCTGCATACAGCGCAAGAGAGGCTACATGAGATGCTGTGCATACAATGTCACATCAGCGCTCTGCCTGGCCCTGATACCACTTTGATAGCCATTAGATTGAGACAGACCGGCACATCTACATGCAATACATCACCCAATATGTGAAATCACTGGTATGTGTCTATTATGAGTATTGCCTATGTAAAATACAAGCGTAGAGCAACTTGATTGCGAAAAAGAGCTCGGCTCTGGTGTAAGACATACCAACAGTGAGCCAAGTACAAATGTCTGTCTCTCCGGGAGAGCTGGACATGTGCTGGAGGTCTGGGGGTGCATTAAAATTGCTCTGAAGGTCAGGATTTTATAGATTGCATGCTAAGTATGCCTTTCAAGAGTGCGCGCACAGGGCGTTGACAGCGATGCATGGAGGGTTGCTAAACAGGTGACATATGTCTTGTAAAGCTAGAAACACACCAGTAGTAGGCTATTAGACTGACTCACCAGGTGGGCGAAGAACACAAGGCTACAGGTAGACAACCATAGCGTGCGTGATGCTCGAGCGCAGAGAATAGACCAAGGAAAGACCTATGGGTTAAGGGACACACCAAAAATGATACCGGGCCCTCCCTAGTATCCACTTTGACCCAACACAGTCACTCCGACACGAACAGATGCTTGCATTCGCGGGCGAAAACAATCCTGCATCCAGAAGGGAGTGGCGGAGCTGACAACAGTCACGCATGGACAGATTGCAATATTATTGGTATCAGGCCCTCCGGGGCGACGAGCAGAGTCAAACGCAGCAAGAATCAAGGCTATACGATGAGTATTTCGAGAGATATCCGTGTTCTCAGTTCGAGGTGCTCAGAGCGACGCGAGGCGCGAAATCTATGTGTGTTTGGCCCGACTGACAGGTTGAGTGATAACGGCAATAATCCATGACGAGGTTGACTGGGCTGCAAATCGCACTCATTCCAGGACGTAGCACAAGGAGTAACGACCCCATCCACTCATCTAGCAGACTAGAGATTCTATCGGTAGTCACTGGTATTGTTACAGAGCGTACAGTTGAGCTGCATCGTGCGTCATCCTGTAAAGTTTTGTCCTTGCTTGAGTTGCGCTGACTCTCTAACATTGATTGAACATTTCAAATGGCACATAATCCATCATCCGCCAGCATGGATGTCGCAATTCCAGAGGTAACACTCGTGAATGCAACGGAGTTGCTTAAGTGTGCGATCAAGAAGCTGCAGGAAGAGATGGCAGGTATGAGGTATGTTCTCTATTTTAATGTGCATACCACGCTACTGGTGCTGATTCCACTGCGGGACAGTTCACAATTGGTGCGTTACATTGTCATGCCTCGCAGTCTCACGTCTTCATATGAATCGTCTCAGTTACGGGAGAATGAAGCGCGACTCGCGTCGTGCTGTGCGGACATAAGAGTGTATTTGAATGAGGAGTGTCCCGTGAATCGCTGTCCTCTCAAGATCCTCGGGTCCATCTTCGTACTATCCCTTACATCGTCACCGGGGCGCATAGGTCTAGAGGAACCAAAGTCGTATTGGCCTCCAGTAACCGACAAAGTGGCTGCGTCGATTGGGCTCATGCAGGTTTGTCGGTATTGGCGCGACGTGGTCGTTGTCACACCAGGTCTATGGAACACCTTACGAGATAGAAGCGGTCGATTCCAAGCCGTCTTTCTACAGCGTTGTGGGGACATGCCCCTCGATGTCCTTGTGGCGGGACACCCATCTCGTGCCCTGATATCACTGTTGCAATCCAGGCGTCACCGTGTACGGTCGCTGCAATTAGAACATTTCAAGGTGAAATACAGTCACTTATTGGACGACCTCGAACCAGAATTAGAGACCCTAGCTCTCGTCATACCTCGTCGCGGATGGGATGATAAACCCCCCTGGAGTTTCGACTACGGTCTCTTCGATTGCCACAGAGTTCTGCTATCGGATCTAGTTCGCCTACTGGGTGAATGTCCTATTCTAGAGGACCTCGTTATCGCTTCGCATATTCATGGAAGTACACATCCAACACGCGTGGCCCCTTTGCCGAGGTTGCGGAGACTCGCAGTAGCTTGGTTTGAGGATCATACCTTTGCGGCATTCCTCTCTCATATTGAGATGGCACCCACCACTGCCGTGCGAATCCAACTCCACGGTGCTCTGCGAGACAGCCCCCTCTTTCATGCCCTGAAGGGAATACCCGTGATGCAGTCTGTTTCACGGTTACTACTAGGAACGTCATTGGACAGGTATTCGTTTATGGCGGTAGGTCCAACGGCCGGAGTTCGCTTCAACGCTCGCATGGACAGCATAGGATCATTGCTCAACAAGATAGTCCCATGTTTGCCCTTGGATCATATCCAGGAGCTATGGCTCAGGAGTACAATAGGTCAGGACCTCTCGGGGCTATCTTCGCTGCTCCAGCGCATGTCCAGCCTTCGATCCATCTTCGTATGGCAAGGCTTCGATTTACGCGAGGTCATCACAGCGTTGACGAGGCGAGATGAGGTTGACAGTGCTACTCCACCTGCCCTCGGAGTCGTTCACTTGAACAAAATCCACGTCTTTGCCTTACGTGGAGATGCAGCGGAGCACATCCTTGCCACGATAGACGAAGCGTGACGAACAGTGGGCCTCCGAGTGTATGATGTTTTCTTTTTTTCCGGTTTTGTATCCGCTTAGTGTATAATATTGTCATCGCGTATGCCCGCACATTCCTGGGAGAGGAAGTGCCAGTCACCTCCACCACTTACGACAAACTATTCCCATCCGTCCAGTACGTAATTTATGATATCCGTCCACCCATGGAGGTTCCGGCGGTCTGCATGGAGGGCCACTGGCTTTTTCCCTGGCTCCCAACGAGATGACACAAGCAGGGGAACGCATTCTCTGGCTACTGGCACCATCGAGCAAATTCCTCTCCCCAGGGCCTTTGCTAAATATGTATATTCCAAGTGCACTATCGTACGACACCGACACCATAGTCCTTGATGTCTCATCCCTTATCATGATGTCCGGATGTACACTATCACTGTATCACGAACCCGTATGAATAGGATGTTCTTCTAGCATTCTAAAACATGTGGAACACGAAACCAGATAGTCACGGAAGATTCCTGGCAACCCACATCTCTGATACCTTCTCGTCTTCGGGATACATCGTCTTGAGCTCCTCGCTGAGGAGCAACCTGCTCCGACCCTGCTGCTTGTCCTCATGGATTCCCTCGAAATAACGTGAGAATGTGGTGCGACTCTCAAGCATCTGCTTGCAAAGCCCCAGATCGAAAGCCTCTGTTAGGTCCTGCTGTGGGACATCTACTAACACAGTCAGTAAGAGATGAAATGCATTGGCGGGCTTGCTCACATAGTCTGCGGCCGTCGGCGGTGAGAACCCAGTAAAATGGCTGCGACTCCTCATCGCCGGATTTGAACTCTTCTGGCCAGCTCCTCCAACAGACAGGCTATGGATATCAACATCAGCGTGTCATTTACGGCTGGGATTTAACATCAGCAGACGTACATGCCAACCCAGTATGCATCCTAAATACTCGTAGGTCAGATGTTTGACTGCTTGTCCAACGAAGAACATGATGGGCTGCTGCGTCTCGGACCGCCGGTAAACCTTCATGAACTCCTCGTCGAGGTCTATCGTGTTCTTGCACCGATTCTCGAGATCCGAGCGTGCGAAGGGGAGGACGAGGGTGGGCGCAAGCGTGTCCATGAACACCGCGCGCGCATCAAGTGGCTTCGCCTCCATCGCGGACGGTGTCAATCTCATCTCCTGCATCCGGAGCAGCATTGCGGTAGACCACGCATACTCGCACCACGAAAGGCGCTCCAAATGCGCCGATTGCGCCATTCGCTGGTTCCAGCGTACGGCAATCTGAATGTTCGTCACGGCGCGCTGCAGAATAGTCGATATGCGGCACGGACGAACGATGTCCTCAGATAGGTCCTGGGCAAGGCCGAGCTCCTGCAGCATATCGGCGGTCTGCCGGCTCATGAAGACGTGTGGCGAGCTATCGGTGCACACGTCCAAGAGCATCTCGTGCGCATCGGGTTCTGCGGATGTGATATGGCAGAGGACCTTTCCCGGGGCATTTGTCGGAGAGGCCTGGATCCCTAGTCGGCGAGCGATGGACGCGAACATATAGACCTTCGACATGGGGATCGTCTGTCGGTGTCCTTCCTTCATTAATGCATGCGGGAACTGATTCATCAAGTCGTAGAACCCAAAGCCTGCAAATGCATGTAAACGATCTATTACAAAAGTTAAGTAGCTTGTAATCACTTCTGGCATTTTCAAAGCCTGCGCGAAGGAGGAACTTTCTGATCTCAACGCACAGTTGTGCTAGATCGTAATCTGCTGCTTTGGGATCAAGCTGGACATGCAGGTCCGTCAGCGAGTCGCGGCAATCTTCTGCGAATTTGTCAAGCATCCTAGAAATCTGTGAAGGTTTGTGAATAATCATGCATGCTTTCACAAACTTTCTTACCTGTCTCGGCGACTCGTCAAAGAAAGCGGATAGGCCCGCCAAAGCCTCCTCGAAAGTCACCGATTCGTTCTCATTGTCTGGGGTTGAGAAGAGGCGTGCCCAAGTCTTGATTGTATGACATCTAGCAATAATGCCGATAAGTGCTTTGGCCCAATATCTTCTGGACATGACATAAGGTATCTCCTCTTCTGATGCATCCTTCGTACTGGTATCTCCTGGAGCGTCAGAGCGGAAGCAAGCTGGTATGGGTAGCTCTGCCTCCAGTTCCAAGGCGTCGAAGGCATCGAAGGAATACTCGCGCGCAAATAGGCTAGCCTTGTCGTGCCTCCCAGATGGGTTCCTCCTGATCTCGTCCACCAATGCGAGTGCCTTGTGGTCCAGCCCGCGGCGGGCGTAGTACAGTTCCCGCCAGTTGTCCGCAGCCACTTCCCGCCTCTGCACCTCCCGCTCTGCGATGCAGTCGGTGTAGCGTGCGCGATAGTGGCGCATCCAGAGACCAGGCTGACATCCTGCGGCGCGTAGGTAGGAGTTGGCTCGGGAGTAGCTGACGAGCGTCTTCACGCTGAGGTCGGCACGATCGCGCGTCGCGGGCAAGAAGCTAAGGATATGCGTGTGCAGCTCGACCGGCAACCAGGGCCAGGGATCGTTTGCCATGTTGGGGGGCGTGAAGAGGGCGTGGGCGGCGTAATAGCGTGGGCTCAAGCGACAATAAGTAGAAATCGACGACTGCTAGCGATGGCCTGCGGAACTTATACCATCATGATACGTACTGCGCCTAGCGGCGTTTTGAATATATAGTCCGTAAAGAAGGTATAGTGATCCAGAATTCTCGATGAGCGGAGACGTCAGGGTCGGGGTCGAACGTTGAACTTCGTTGAACATGTTTCATGCCGCGTCTGAACCAAATCGACGCTTGCGGTCTTCAGTAAATTACAGCATACTTGTTCTATCCACACGACCTATCCGACGGATTTTGACAAACCAGTTGAGTGAACCCCAGTAGCAGCGGCGGAGCATGCACACGACACCCTGGCGGGCGGAGACACAAATTGCCACCGCGGCGTTATATGTGGATATCCGGAGCTTGCGTAGGTTGAAGGAAGTGTATATCGTTCTGCTCACAGGAGACTAACCGCGGCGCGCGTAACGAACACGCATTCTCATCAAAGTAATCCGATCGACATTCTGAGTTGAGGTACCGGGAGAAGGGAGACATCATTGAACGGAGGGGGCAACGAGACTACGATATGCTCGACTGATTTACATAAAGATATGAAATTCTATCGTCCAAGCAGTGGTCCATAAATGTCTAGTGCTTATCCTCAAAGGGCCTCCTGGTTACCAGACATCCGCTGTAAGTGAACGACGCCGCGACAACGCAGGCGATGAAGGGAGCGAGGGACAATTGCGATGTCAGTGGGCGTCGGCATCCTTGTATCCCCACTTGACGATGCGAGTAGCGCCATCATGCCAGTCCTGGACGCGGCGGCGCGACAGTGTCGAGTACGTCGAGCGGTCCGTCCCGACGAACCCGAGCCCATTCGACTGGATGACAGCATCGAGGAGCACAGGATACCTATCGTATATACCATACGTGTCAAAAACAGCGAGCGGCAGAGAAGCAGAAGCGTCACATACCACCTGCCGTACGTCCGCACCGTCTCCCACGCATCGTGGTCAACTTTTGCCCACCCGAGCGCGGTGACCTCGTCCCACCATGCCTGGTCAGACTCATCACTGGTCATGACGACCCGGGTGTGCGGAATGTCAATGCCCTTGCGCGTGAGCAGCTCGTCTCGGACCTCACTGATCAAACGTCAGCTATTTGACGCTGTGAGCGAAGCGATGAGAACACACTTGACACGCCGCTCGATGACAGAGATCGGTGCGAAGCAGTCCGCTAAATCCATACCAGTGCAGTAATTCCGGAAGTCTCCGTGACGAACATGGATGGCGATGTACTGGTTATGTTCATCGACACTTCATTCAATGATGGGCTAAGATCAGAGGCACACTCACAGGAGGTGTTTCCGCGTCCTCCGGCAAGCCAAAGGCACGACGAACGTATGAAGCTGCGATTGCATCGAGGTCCGGCGTCCACCGTAGATGCTTCCCAACAAATCGCCATGCAGGCGAGTAGTCGAACTCGAATTCCCATGACTACGACCGCAGCATGAAAATGTACGTCCCATGGGAAGGAAGTGTTTGTTCGACTTACCTGCTGTGCACACACATAGTATACATAATCGTAACATAATACTTGCTCGTTTGGGGGCAGAACAGCCTGATGTTGTGGTGATGGCAAGGGCTCGACTAGATTCTTCTCGCGCTCCTCTGGGAAACCAAGGCGGGCGAGAGACCAGAACGTACTATGAGGGTCATGCTCATAGTTTGGGATCATGTGCACCCAATCTGGTGCCCGTGTGTACGAGACGTCTAAAATATGTGTCAGCATAGGCTGAATGTAAAGGAATTATCAACCGACGGCTCACCAAGCCCTAGCCAGCCGGGTACAGCACTCCTGCGTGGGTAATGCTCGTTATACTGCACCGCTTCCCAGACATTCCAGCAGCCAAGATCCTCAACCTCATTGCTGCCAGGATCCTTGACCTCCCGCCATTCCAGGATATCTACGCCTGAATCGCGGATGAACCGTGGGACGTCAAAGACATCACCGAATGGGATGGTCTCGGCATCGCCGCCAATGTGAGATGGTGTGAACATGGCGATAATCGGTACGCGACTGGTAATGATGCCGAGATATATCAGGTTGGCATAGGTCATCACATCGTTGGCTATGTGCAGGAGGCAAAGCAAGTAGTTGGTTAGCTGGGGGGAGGCTTGCACAACCGGAGAACCTACTCCATCCTGCAGATATCCACGACGTGATGTATTGGGTATCATTGCGCAGGTTGTCGCGGAAACGCATGGTGGGAGGACCGAGAACGTAAGGCGAATGGGTTGACGGAGCATTCTCGTCCGTGAGCGACGTCTCAGGTTCCTTGAGTGCTGTCTGCGCGTCGACCTCAGGGACCTGCTGTACCGAGTGTGGGTTCACAGAGAGGATAGACACAGAAGCAAAGATCACAAGCGATGTCGCAGAGAGAGCCGCAAACGCGACAATGAGAAGTCGTCGAAGACGTGAACTCGGGACGTATGAGCTGTATTTCGTGAACGGCGTGGTCGGCGTCTGAGGTGACAATGGCCAGCCGGTGAGGAGCGGCTCACTAGACTCGGTAGACATTGAGCGTTGGTGGAGGTCGCGCTCGTCGCGCATGGCCTCGGTGTCCAACTGCCCATTCATCTCGCGTCGTGAAGCGAGCGGGAAATGAACGGGGGAGACGGTGATTGGGGTGGAATGGCGGCGCCGGAGAGCCTGCACATGTTGGAAATTGGGGAATTGCAGGCGAGCAGACGTTGCCACTCCACATTCTCCTCGCCCCGATGCCATCTCCGGCACGCGGCTTCTCGTGACCGATCACTCGTCACGCTCAATTTGTGCCCCTGTCACGCAGCGCCTCGATCAGACGCTGTATCCGCATCCTTGGGTCGGCCAAGCAGGGCAGCCACCTTCCAAGCATGTCCCTAAGTCGCGTTTTGGGAGGTCAAACGACTTCATGGCCTGGTCTTCGCCGAACAACAGCCTCATGTACGGCCGCTGGACCCTGTCGTGATAGGTGTGTTGTGAGCAGATCGAAGCCGATAACAGGCTCGCCCGCAGTCGCTAGATCAGGTCCCTCGTGCCCGCCTATGTCCGCGCCAACACCCCCTTCTTGCTCCAAGACACGGGATCGGATCTGGAACCCGTTGGAGTTAGATTTCTCCCTATTCGCTCGTCATGAAAATGAGTTGTCATTATCGAAAATTGGCCCCGCTCGCATCTGTCGCCTCATTTGCGGCCTCGGTCCTCGTGTACGCATTGAGTCCAACCTAGCTGTAAGCGGGAGCCGTCCCACGCGCTTCGACTTTGTCCCTCTACGTTACTACCGCCTGTCGGGCTGCAGCACAACCACTTGACTTTTCAGTGACCATGGCCTCCGCGACGAAGAACGACGCTACTTCGCCATGGAAGATTGCAGCGGTGGTATCGTTCTACATGTGCGCCGCGCTTGTGGTAAGTTCGCCGCGCAGATCGTGACGTCCAACATCGTGGCTCACCAACGTCGACTCGCCCTTCGCGGGCATGCTCCACCCACTAGATGGTCTTCGTGTAAGCGGTATCGTCCGGGGGATCCCTTCCACGCTCATCTCCGTATTGCGCAGCAACAAAGCGGTGCTGAACTCGTCGCCAGAGCTGCCCCTGCTCTTCCTCTTCATCCAGCTCGACATTGCGGTCGTGCTCTTGCATGCGGCCGCTCTGCTAACCTCGCGCGTGGAGATACCCAAATTTGACCTCAAGACCGCGCAAAAGCTCACCCCGGTCACGCTCGTCAACGTCATCGGTCTCGTCTTCAACATCCTGTGCCTCCGTGGCGTCGCTGCATCCTTCTTCCAGGTGCGTTTTATGCGGCGTCCTGCAGCCCGCATCGCGGACTGAGCGACCCATCAACTGATGAATACATGTCACGACTTGCACGCAGATTGCACGCGGGCTTGTCTTGCCGCTCACCATTGCAATCTCATCAGCACAAGTCCGCTCGGTGCCCTCATGGCGCGTCATGGGCGCGGCTCTCGCTGTCACGCTCGGCTTCTTCCTCGGGGTTGCACCTGGCGCGCTCTCGACGCTTCTCCCAGACACGAGCAAGCTCGGGATCGTCTACGGCGTGCTGTCCTCGCTATTCATTGCCGTGCACTCGGTGCTGATCAAGGCGTCCCTCCCCTATGCAAACAACAGCACTATCCAACTTGCGTACTGGCAGAATCTGGGCTCGGCGCTCTTCCTGGCGCCTGTGATCCTCCTGCAGGGCGAGACGACCCGGTTCCAGCAGCTGACGCGCCTGCCTGAGTGGAACGGGCATGTCTTCGCGATCGGAAGCATCGTGACTGGCGTCTTTGGGTTCCTCCTATGCGTGGCGGGCCTGCTGAGCATCAAAGTGACCAGCCCGGTCACGCATATGTTCTCCAGCGTACGTCTAGGCCCCCCCTCTTGCCCCGCTCCTATGTGTTGTCTCTGATCTCGATTGACTGTTGGCTGATGACCCGTCCTATATCTCGCCCTATCCTGACTTCTCCTTGATGAACGCGCGATGCAAACAGGCCGCACGCTCCGTCATCCAAACCCTACTCGGCGTCTGGCTCTTTGGTGACATATTGACGACGTGAGTCTCGAGTCCGTTCTTTTCGCGGACCCGGTCCTTTGTCCCTTTAGAGTCTTGCAAGTTCACAGGGGCCGTTTGGCGGCTCGTATACTCCATTGCATTGGGTTTCCGTCCCACGATCTATCCGCTCAATGGCATATCTGACCTGCCATCGCGTTCTATCCCCTATCCAGAAACCGCGCGGCGTCGATTTTCGTTATCACCCTCGGGACCGTCTATTACACCTGGGCCAAGACTGTCGAGTCCGCGCCTCGCCCGAGCCAGGGAGATCGTGACGCCGAGGCGCGCGCCGGTCTCATGGCTCAGGAGGAAGGTTCGGACGACGAGACTAGACTCGAGGAAATTATCCCAGCGTCAGGAGAGAAAAACGAGAAGGGGAGGGTTTAGCCGCAACGGCGAAGGCGGGGTCCAATTGAACGATTTTGGCGAACGACGAGCGACGGACCTCAACGCGTGACGATTGGTTATTGGTGATGGTGAACTCTCGAACCGTGCGTATCGGACAGTACTTTGTATACATAGAAGCTTGTGTGCGACAAGTGTAGGACTGGCGCGCCCTGATTTTGCGCTCGCGATCGGTTAATTTGATCGGTGAATGACTCAGGCACCGTCCCTGTCGAGGTCGAGGTCCCGCTCCTGTATCCCCTGGGTCGAAAAAAATCGGCATGGCCTGAACGTTCATACATTCCAAAGACGAGAAGAGGCATCATCTGAGCTAGAACGGTTCACGAGGGAATGTAGGAAGTTGCCACAAATCGCTGTCGCTGATGTCTACTGACGAGGCTTCTCAAAGGGATCAAGGGTCTGTTCGGCAGCCGTCAAGATCTATGTGAACAATTGCTGTTTGCATCCATCGCCGTTACTAGAACAGGCGGACAAGGCGCGAAGAAAATATCATTTCCGTCAAGCATGTCTTCCCGCCGGTTCTCCGTTGAGTGGAAGCAGTCCAACCGCGAGCTGAGAACGGCCGTAGGCTAGCGACAATGTCCAAGGTTCTTTTCCTCTCAGGGGATACTGTTCTTTCCGATGGCGCCGCATGAGAGACCGTCAGTAGACGCAAGGTTCGCCAATTTAGCAATGGCGCCTCGTTAGCGCTTTCCGAGTCGGGGTTGCGTGTAGACCCATACCAAATTCGGCGGCGCCGTCGACGCCGTTACATCGTGCCCTGACCGATCAGCCGGTACAACATGAGATCGAGGTTGTTTGCGGCGTATCGAGCCCTACAACCTTGCCATACTAGGTTAGACGAGGTCCCTCATAGTCAATACGACTTGTCCTCATGAGAAGCCTCGTGAAAGCTCCTCGGAGTACTGAGCGTGACGTTATCTAGGTACGAAAGAGAGGACGCTTGAAATGGTCCTAGTTGTCTCGTCCCGTCCACAGTGGTCTGAGTAAAACTGGCAGATGCAATATCCGTCAAATTGTTTATGAAGCCGGTGAGGGACCCTAACCCTACCTTAGGGCTGTCTGACAGCCAGTAACGAACCCCTCGGCTATACTGTAGCGCTCCTCTCCACAGTGGCTACGGCAGATCTTCCCTTCCAAGAAATTTAGCTCTGAGACAAATATAGCATTTACGTTGTGTGGCCAATTGAGGGGACTTATGGTCTGAATAGCGCATCGGCTCTAGGCGATCTGACCATGCCGTTACTCCAATTCTTCGGGCCAACGAGAACTTGGAAATGTTCATGATTCTTCGTCCGGTCATCCGGCCGTCACCCCTAACTCCACAAGATTAATGATCTGTGACGCCCTTCGCTCTGATCATGGCATATAACGCCTACCTCAGCCCACGCGCACAGCTCGAACAACCTCGTCCTCCAAAGTCAGCCTCACTATGCTGCCAACGCCGCCGCCACTCACTAGCCAGGAGTACCAGGAGCTCGTCGAGAGTTCCTTCCGCAGCAGCACAGAACACGCACCGAAGACAGCCCGCTATGAGCGCAAAATGGGCGACACCGAGTTGTCGTACTTTCTACCGTCACGACAGTCTGGCGTGAATGATATGTGAGCATCGGTGCCTCGATCTGTATCTGCACGGATTCCGAGCTGAATTGCGCGCGAATGCAGGTATCTTCACCTGGGTTTTCGTGCCCCGGAACGTCTCGTACAGCGGTCACGCGTCCGCATAGTTTGGGCCATCTTGAGACTGCGCCATCCGTTGATGGGCGCTAAAGTTGAGATGAACAACCATGACGACGTGCGCTTCGTGTAAGTCTTGCTGTTTCCGTTTTGATTCTCAATTGATAAGAAGGCCAGGTATGAGGCGCCATTTAGTGCCGATGATAGCCTAGTTGATGCTGATGCCAACCTCGAGTATACATCCGAGACGAAGGATGGTGCGTAGCCAATCAAGCGAGGCATCCTGACGATATACCATGAGCTGACCATTCCTGAAGAACTCATTGATCGATACCTCAATGGGGGACGTACACTTTCAAATGACCGCCTGTCTTACCTCATCGTCTCGCAACCGGCGCACGACACGCTGCCTACGCCACCACGTACACCTTCTCCTTCCAGGGACGCATATCAACAGAACTTTGAATTGACAGTTGTCAATCCTGACGAACGTCAACTCGAGTTGTTAATTTGCGCCATGCACTTCCTGGGCGACGGGATGGCTCTGCATCAATTCGCGAATGACTTCTTCGGATTATTGGGCAGTGGGCAGAGCGATGCTGAGCTTCAGGAAGTCCTCGAAAGGGAGTGGGAGCAAAGATGGAACAGCGACAACCATGGGCTCGCTGAGAGAGGTATTCTCCCGCCATGCCTCGAGGATCGCTTCCCCTCTACAGCAAAAAGATCGACTCATCTCCGTGACGCTGCCGCAGAGGTAGATTTCCAGCTTGCGCAAGCCTCGCTTGTGGGAGGCCAAACATTCCCGCGACGCAAGGATCCAATGCGGCATACGGTTGTGCCAACAATCTCCTTCCCCGAAGCACGCACAAAGGCGATGTTGAAGAAATGCAAGGAACGCGGAGTCAGCATTAGCGCTGCGTTGTTTGCCGTCTGCAATCTCGCATGGGCCAGGGTCGGTGGTGGACGAGCAGAACTGCCTGCAATGATGTATTCGGCGCTCAACATGAGACCATACTTGGCTAAGGCTGAAGCGGATGCGATATGGGACTCGTACTGGTTCCTTGCTATCGGGTATTTCAACGTCATCCTGCCAAACTTCGTCCCTGCAGGAGGCGACGAGAAGACATTCTGGCATCGGGCGCGGCAGGCGAAGTTGCAAAGTGCGAGAGCAGCGAAGAGCAAGTTGGTCGTTTCGCGCGCGAGACGTATGGCCAGAGAGCGAGGCGAGCGTGCCCGCGTGTGGGCCAAGGAAGATGACGAGAAGGAGAAGGGGACATGGGTTCTCCCAAGCCCACCACCATCTGCGTCTCCCGATGCATCGTCCGCACCGTCGATCAAGAATATCTTGCCAAGACGAGACCCTGTGCCGTCGTCAGCCTTGATCGGCCTCTCGCTCTTGGGCAACCTCGATGGGATCTACGCGCATAGGAGCTTCCCTGATATCAAGTTGCATACATTGACGACGGGCTCCCGACAGCGACAAGGCGCGATCCTACTGTTCGGCTATACCTTTCAGCGACGGCTGTGGGTGAGCTTGGGTTATGACCAGAATGGATTCGCGGATGGAATCATAGAAAAGCTCTGGACGGCGATCGAGGGATGCGTCGAGGAGTTCCTTGGTTGATGGACACGGATTTTGTCGTGAAGAACTTATTTGGACCAAACATAGGGCTATTTTCTCTGGACTCGCTCGCGTTATGAACGATGTAGTGTTTTCCCGCTACCAGCTCATTGTAGTCAGTTTGACGGACGATCTATCAAACACATACCTTTGTACAACAGTGAGAGCTACTTCTGAGCGTCAGATGTCATGCAATGCAGTCTATATGTAAATGCCAAAGGTAGTACTTGAAAACATGAATGCGTCGACTGAAGAAGTGACCATGTTTTAGATGTCAACTCGAGAGGAACACGTCTGTGAGGCCCATCCCTGATCGATGATCCCTGAGCTTGAATCACGATCGCGTCTGTCACACTTGTAACAGCCCGTGTATAACGTGACGTACAGTAACTTTCTGGCACCCTCAAACAAGGTGGCGACTTCTTCGGCGCGACCATGTCTACGGCAGCATTTGCTGCGACCATCCCCCGCGCAAGTTCGACCGCGCCACACAGATCCTCCGCATACACCCCGCAGGCGTCTCAGCCGAGACCAAACACCACTGACGATTACGAACGTGAGTACACCGACTCCGCCAGTCCAATCCCTCGAGCTCAGTCATGTCCCGCGCCAGGATGGTATACCGAAGCATCACCTTCAAATCGCATGCTCCTGTCGCTGCGATCAGAAATAGACTCAGAGATCTCTTGGGCTCTTGATAGACTATGCAGACTATGCAACAACGAGCAGTTTCTCCTGCGTGCTATCCCGGGACTGACAGACGCGCTTTTCGAATGGCCTGTCTGGTATGTCGAGGTAGGCTCGGCTCAACTCACACCGCCAGCAACCTTGTTTTCTCTTCCCCCGGAATGGGACAGAAAGCGGCGGCACGCCCTGGAATCGCTCTTCATTCTGCGGAATGCTGCAATCAACGAACCGAACGCGCAAGAGCTCTCACAGCATCGACGAACTCGGCCTCTCATCTTGCTAGCTTTGCATTATATACCACCGACCACTGATGCGAACTCAGAATTCATAATGTATATCATCGAGATACTGCAGGCCATCTCTCCCACTCTAATTTTGCCGCCTCCCGACGCACCTAATCTTGCCAACCCGATGTCCCCGTTGCGAGACATCGCGGGGAAGTCTACAAATCGCTCTCTCATCGTCGCCGCTTTGACGACACTCAATCTACTCTTGTCAAATCCAGCCAACGTCGTTCACCTGACAGAAGACTCACCTGCTCTGGACGCAGCAGTCAGATATCTCCCCTTGTTTTCCGACAAGGCCCTTGTGGAGGCTTCTATGAATTATCTGTACGCGCACCTTTCCCATCCGCCAATGACCAAGGCCTTCCTCCTTCATCCACGAATGCCAGGTACTCTCAGGGTCTTAGTATCGTTGCTCCTCTCTGAACAGGTGGAGGAAACTGTGGCCTTGGACATCAGCGGATCGGTCCAGACTGTCCCTGCACAGACGGTCGCCGTTAAGGATCATGAGCTGACGCATGAGGAGATGGACAGACTGGTCGGTTTATCAGAACCTCAGCGGTGCTATGAATGGTAGAAATGATATTTTGATGATCGACCCCAGACGTCTGACGCAGTCCGTTCAGGATGAGAACGATGTTCCTGGCCAAGCCCGAGGGCGAATTGACACAAGTTGATTTTTGGAACTTGTACAAGGACGCCTTCACGCCCTACCAAGATCGGTATCAACTGCTTGTTGCGTCGGATGTCATCAAGAATGTCAATCTCGTTTTCCCTCAAGCGCAGGCAATGGTCCTTCCAGGTCCGCCACAACGATTCGTTGTGCGTGGTGTCGATCGACGGAAAGATCGATCAGCTTTCGAACAACTCAGATGTCGCTGGGATACATCACCATGTGACGCTGGGCCGTTCGGGACAACAAGTGAGCTCTACGAACATGTCTTATTTCAGCACATCAACCCGTACGAGGGCACCCATGTTCCATGTCAATGGGCGTCATGTCCACATCCTCCACTTGAAAAAGCGCATATGCGCGGACATGTTCTCACCCATCTGCCTAATGCTGAGCCCCCTCCCCGCGATATGTACCAAACTACATTGATCACCTTACCCTCCCCGAACTACCCATACCCTATGACCGACCCAACAACGCGTCCTCCTCCGCCTCCCCGTTCTACCACGATCTCCTACAAGCGTCCAATCGTCGATCCATCTTCAGCCGCTTTGACGGCGCTCCTCTGCATCCGTGTGCTCTTCCGTGCATCCTTTGCATCGTCAGACGCTGCACCGCGTGCAGACGAAGACCACTTTGGCTTCCCGGGTATCGTGGAGGAGACAGAGGATTCCGAAAGCGCGAAACAAATAAGTGCCGGAAATGAGCAAGAGCGGGAGGGCCAACGGAGAGGGAGGAAGGCTTTCATTTCGGTGAGGAACCTCATGGAAGGCGTGAGATTACGGGACGAAGCGTTGATGGGATGGATCACGGAGATGGTGGACGCGGGGATCACTGGGACGACATGACACTCGCAAGGTTTCTGGACGACGTTGCACGTCCTTGGAATCACCTCTCGTATGCTCGCCGGAGACATTTATCCATCGAGGACGGAGGCGTCTACATATCAAAATCAGCGGCGTCAAATCTCACGGTGGGTTCGTGTTGTTGCTACTTTCTCTTTCGCGGATGTAGAACAGAATAGTGCATCAATGTGTCATTGAGGGCGATCAATGTCCCGTGTAATCTGAACGCGCGGGTGGGATACGTCCGATGCTGCGCATCAAATTGTATGTCCGTCTCGACCTCGATCACTGAGTCGTGTCTCTACCTTCGACCTCGATCGTTAGCCGAAAGAGAGCCCGATCTACCTGCTCGATGTCGCTGCTCTCTTCGCGACGAGACTCTTTGTCGTCGAAGTTCGTGGCGACATACAACAGGCTATTCCATGTGAGCAGGCAGTCCCACCTGAAGCAACGCCCCTGAGTACGATCTCATGTGAACCCTCCCAGGGCCTTGCGCCCGAGCAGATTGCGCCCAACCAAGATGCAGCCAGGTTCTGGTCTACTCTGCTTGAACTCGAGGTAGAATCAGAGTTCCTTTCAGCTCGTCTGAGCGAGACCAAGAAGGAGGAATGCCTGGGACCTCTCAAGGTGCGCGCTATCCCGACGTCGGGCGAGTCTTCCCACTCAACGAAGACATCCTGCGTAGTAGTCAATCTTGAATGGTATTATACTTGCATGTTTGCACTATGCAACTACGGCGTCTATGGATGACGTGAAGAAGGCTCATGCCGTGGAAACGCTCTCGATCGCAAGCCGCTGTCTCCTGCGGAAGAACCTCACGGGATGGGAGGTCATGGAGATCTTCGCGGGAGGAGTGCACGAGAGCGACAAAGTGTTCAATGTATGTCTGGTAATGCACGCCTCCTCATCGCCAGTCTGAAGTCCTTCAGGACCTCACAGCAATGATTAGTGACATCTTGAGTGATGCTGCTGCTCCAGGTACGGTTCTCCTATCTCGTAGACACGGCCTGCAACTCATGACGGGAAAATATTTACTCAAGCCAGTCTACGCCATCAAGTGCTGCAGCTAGCAGTCATTCTCGTCGCGGGAATCAGCCAGCTTAGTCCAGGGGCCTACTTCCTACGGCGCGACCTCTTTCCCTGCATTGTCACTGTATGCGCACCATATCATGATCGCGCTAAGTACGGTTGCTCATTTCAAAATTTGCATGGCAGATTATCACGTCTCTAGAGACGGAACAGTTCACATTCGAAGCGGCTCTGCTCCTGGCTTTGCTGGCCAACTTTCATAAATCCGATGCGGCTAAATTGAACCCATACCTCCGCCGCATACGGGAAACGCAGGATGATGCGTTAATGCACAAAGTCTGCTGGGCATCCAACTTTGCTGCAGACGCTGTGGCTAAGTAAATTATGACGTATGTTTGACAGATCGTAACGAGATTGATGCGTTTTCTATAGATCGTATCAGAGCATATTTGACGACTCTCCACCGACGCTTGGAACCACGTTCGGCTCATTGTTATTTTCTCTGAGACCCGACCGCGCTCTGGCAGCCACCCCGGTTGATCCTCCACGAGAGCTGTTCAAGAACCAGTGAGTAAAGCTTCTTAATTCATTTACTGCATTGGTCGGCTCATGGGACCAGACCAATTGAAGCCTGTGTTATTTTACTACCCATCTTCGAGTTTCTGAGCATCAATACCACGTTCCAAACCATTTTCGTGGAGCCCATGGGCGCGGCAGCAGACAAAAGCTCGCGGCTCGCACCCTTGCCGTACACATCGTTAACGCTGTCCTCATATCTACTGACACATGCATCATCTACGCATGCCCCGCGGGCGATTGCATATGCCAATTTGGCTTTGAATCTATTGCTTGTCATGGTGGAGAGCGATATCATCATGGACGCCTTCTGCCACACGACAGATGCGAGCATCAGGCTATGCCGTCAGGTACGTGATAGTCGTCCACTGTCTTCCCATCTTATCTAGAAGACGCTATAGAGACTGCCGCTGCTGCCACTATCCCCACCGCGGGCGCCGATATGCGCGCTGTTGGACTGCAGCGTCTTATGGTTACGACACAACTTACACAAGCGTCTCGAAGTGTATGCGTACATGTGCGTAACGGGGTGGCTCGGGGGTGTCGCTGCAGATGATACTGATATGTCCGGACAGAAAATGCGTCAGAATTTGTTATCGAGTGCTGTGGTATTTGCAAAGAGAGCGCCTTCGGCTGGGTGCGTGTGCCGTTCGGGGAATGGGTCAGAATATGCTCATTTTGAATCAGAGTACCATTGGCAAGAGCTGTGGAAGGCGTTGATTGGCTTGCTTGATTTCCTGGCCAATAAAGTGGACGTTCTCATTACGACAGGCGGCATCGAGCAACTCATCCAGGAGGTGAGGGGTTCTTCTCGGGAATCTTGTCTTAGTCGTTCTTACTGTTCTCCAGACAGTCCTTGTACTCGACCTAGCTTTATGTCATTCATCGGCAATTTTGCCTAGTGCGCAGGCTATACATGAGCTGATTGTATGTCACGCCATTTCTATCTCCTTCACGTCATTCGGGGCTGAACACGCTACAGTATGAAGTAGTACGCTCTGCGGCTGTCTTCCAAAAGCAACAAGTACTGCTGGAGAAGTTGGCCTTGCCCAAGTCTGCTTTCCGGGAGGGGGAGAATACTGCAACAGATGCTCTGGCAAATATTCACGTAGTGACGATCCATTACGAGGTCAAGATCAGAAATGCGGGGGCCACGACTGCAAGTCGCGCCCTCCGTGTCCTCTCAAAAGAGGTTGAGCATGACGGCCTCAATTACGGAAAAGACTTGCATATCGAGAAGCCGCCGTGAGTATCTTCGTGCATGACATTATTGATTGTAAGACCTGATACCAACCTTGCATGTTCGTAGGAAACAAGCGGACGACGTCATCGCGTTTATTCGGTATGCTTACATGGATGGCATGTCCCTTATGCCATAGGAAAGGATTGTGGGATGAACAGTCATGTTGCTATCCCACATCATCGTTCTGCTCGCACACTCGGTAGAATCTCGTTGGATTTGCAGTGTCGGGGGAAATATCTATCATGATCTATCTATGCAGAATTTAGTGTATTCTACAGCGAGAAAGTTGAGATGAAATTTACGCAATGTAAGATGCCTTGGTCGTTGGACCTTCAGGAATGTCATCAATAGGTTGGTGGCGCGTCATTCAGCGAGTGAATATATATGGCTGTGGATGTTCCATATTTGGATGGAGGCGGGCTCTGGCCCTCGGAGAGGCGACGGAACCGAGTCAAATGAAGGTGAAAAATGTTTTTCACATCAAGCGCTGGTCTTCCTCCGCTATAGCCGCGTCCGTTCGCTTTACGTAGCGACTGATATTCGCAGATCGCTGGATTAGCGTGCATCAGCAGCTGGTGTTGCGAGCTTCATGGTGTGAGAATGTCTCAGGAAGCCTAGCAGTTGAGTTGTGGACCGAAAACAAGCATGGGTGCGGTGGGGTGGCCGGGGTGGAGAGAGGCGACTCGGGAAACGGGGCCGTTTGATGAAGCGCTTATAAGGGCGGGAGGATGTCTGGCCATCGTCTGTGACGGCGTCGATAAGCCTGCGCCATGTCCCGTTACTCGGTGAATGGCTCGGTGAATACACGATTTTTCATATCTTCCCACTCATGGGACCGCGGTCCCCTCAACCTCCTCTCTCGCCTCCTCTCGGCAGGTAAGGAGGAACCTCCTTGCTCCCTATGGCGGTCCTTCGCTATGCTGCACGTCTTTCGCGCCCTCGCCCGACGTTAGGCTCATTGACGCGGGCTGGTCTTACATGGGACCTCACACGCCGGTGTCTCGCGACAGCGCACTCTCCGTCGTCGCTGTTGTCTCCGCTGGACACGTTCACTGACAGACATGTTGGTCCTGACGAGCGTGAGGTCTCGCATATGCTCTCGCAGTTGGGATACGAGTCCATGGACGCGTTCGTCGCGGCGACGGTGCCCTCGAAAATCAGGGTTGCGTCGGCTGCAGTGAGCAATGAGTCCATTCCTTCTCTCAGCGAGTCCGAACTGCACCGTCGGGCACGCGAGCTCGGGAAGTTGAACACGCCCGTCAAGAGCTACATCGGTATGGGATACCACAACGCTGTGGTACCTCCTGTCATTCTACGAAACGTATGTGGGCAAATGTTCGTGCTTGATGGACACATGTGAACAGAGATGTGTTCCCCTAGATCATGGAAAGCCCGGCTTGGTACACTCCATATACTCCTTACCAGCCTGAGATTGCCCAAGGTAAATAGCCTATAGGACCGCCTGTGGAGCAAATTCTCATCTCATAACTAACAGGTCGCCTGGAGTCACTGGTCAACTATCAGACGATGATTATGTCTCTTACGGCCATGGACATAGCGAATGCGTCCCTCCTCGATGAAGCAACCGCAGCCGCGGAGGGTATGGTCATGGCATTCATAGCGGCAAATCAGAAGAAGCGCACCTTCCTAGTCGATTCGGGTGTCTCACCGCAGACCCTAGCCGTCCTTCGGACCCGCGCAAAGGGCTTTGGTATCCATCTTGTCATAGGGGATGTTTTCTCAGCCCTCAAGGACGAGGCAATCTCGTCGGACCTCTGTGGTGTGCTCGTGCAGTACCCAGATGTCAATGGTGATATCAAGGACTTTGGCAGTATTGCGGACACGGTGCACGGTGCCGGCGCGCTCTTGGTTTGCGCGAGCGACCTCCTGGCTCTTACTATGCTCAAACCACCCGGCGAGTGGGGTGCGGACATCGCTCTCGGTAACTCTGCTCGGTTTGGAGTGCCCGCTGGCTATGGTGGTCCGCACGGCGCATTCTTCGCATGCACGGACAAACTGAAGCGGAAGATGCCTGGAAGGCTCATTGGTCGTAGCAAGGATGCTCAGGGCAATCCGGCATACAGATTGGCACTACAAAGTGGGTTAGATTCTTGCGGAAGTTGCACAGTTGAACTCACATAGACATCTCAGCTCGGGAACAACACATCCGGCGTGAAAAGGCAACTAGCAACATCTGCACCAGTCAGGCGCTCCTCGCCAACATGGCTGCTATGTATGCTGTCTACCACGGCCCCGTCGGTCTCAAGCGCATCGCGGAGAAGGTCAGCGCACTGACCCAGATCCTGAAGTCACTGGTCGAGAAACACGGTTACAAGGCTACCAACGCGAACTTCTTCGACACCCTCACGTTCGATGTCACTGGTGCCGTCAAGGACGCGGACGCTGTGCACGCGTCCGCCCTGGCCTCCGGAATCAACCTTCGCAAAGTGGACGAGAAGCACGTTGGCGTGACCCTTGACGAGAGCGTCTCTGCCGAGGATGTCGTGTCGCTTGCCAACGTCTTCGCGTCCGCCGCCTCCGGGTCTCCCGTGTCCGCATCTGACCTCGCGCTCCCGGCCTCGCTCGCGCTGCCCGCCGCCCTGCAGCGCACGTCGGGCTACCTCCCGCACCCGGTCTTCAACGCGCACCACTCGGAGACGGAGATGCTGCGCTACATTTACCACCTGCAGGGCAAGGACCTGGGCCTCGTCCACGCGATGATCCCGCTCGGGAGCTGCACGATGAAGCTGAACAGCACGAGCAGCATGATCCCGCTCACGTGGCCCGAGTTTGGCGGCGTGCACCCGTTCGCGCCGACGGACCAGGTGAAGGGCTATGCGCAGGTGATCAAGGTGGGTTGCGTCGGGGACACGGACACGGCAGCTTGAGCGGTGCGCTGACGGCTTGTATAGGAGCTTGAAGAGGACCTGTGCAAGATCACTGGTTTCCATGCGTGCTCCGTGCAGCCCAACTCCGGTGCTGCTGGAGAGTACGCAGGTCTTTCGGTCATTAGGGCTTACCACGAGTCGCGTGGAGAGGGGCATCGTGACATCTGTCTCATTCCCGTCAGCGCACACGGAACAAACCCTGCTGTGAGTAAATAGCTCATTTCGGAGACCGATATTTGACTGTCTAACCATTCATGACAGTCCGCGGTCATGGCTGGTCTCAAAGTCGTCCCTATCAAGACTCACGCGGACGGCAACTTGGACCTGGATGATCTCAAGGCGAAGGCGGAGAAGCACAAGGACAAGCTTGCAGCATTCATGGTTAGTAGCGTTGCCCCTGAGGCAAGAGACTATGCTAAAGCCTAGCCCAGATCACGTACCCTTCTACATTCGGTGTCTTCGAGGACGGTGTTGCGGACGTATGTCATGCCCACTCCGGACATGGTCCCCGGACTCACGCTGCTGTATCTAGGCTTGCAAGATCATCCACGACAATGGGGGTCAGGTTTACCTCGATGGTATGTAGCATGCCATTAGAGTGTTGTGCTGCGCTAACATGTCTATAGGTGCGAATCTGAATGCCCAGATTGGTGTGACTAACCCTGCTACTTGCGGCGGCGATGTTTGCCATATGAACTTGCACAAGACTTTCGCCATGTACGTGCACCGTGAGAAGAAACTTGAATCATGACTGACACCCCGTTCTACAGTCCGCATGGAGGGGGTGGTCCCGGTGTTGGGTCAGTGGCAGCGTTGAATGCCTTCAACAGTAGCTGACTTTGCCGGTGTACAGCCCTATTTGTGTTGCAGAGCATCTAGCACCCTTCCTCCCCGGTCATCCCGTCGTCCCGACGGGCGGTTCCCAGGCCATCGATGCGGTGGCTGCTGCACCTTACGGCAGTGCATCCATCCTTCTCATCTCCTGGGCATACATCAAGATGCTCGGCGGTGACGGTCTGTCTACCGCGTCGAAGGTGGCACTCCTGAATGCGAACTACATGGCACACCGTCTGTCCGAGCATTACACCTTGCGTTACAAGAACGGCAACGGTCGTGTCGCGCACGAGCTGCTCATTGACCTCGCCGAGTTTGACAAGGCCGCGGGTTTGAAGGTGACAGACTTCGCGAAGCGACTGCAGGTGTGTCCTTCGCATTTTCATGACGTAGGCAACATGAACTGACTCCGTCGAAGGACTACGGTTTCCACCCACCTACCTGTTCTTGGCCCATTTCGACATGTATGCTTATCGAGCCCACCGAGTCAGAATCGCTGGAAGAAATTGACAGGTACGGATACCCTTTCTCTTGGTGAGCTCCTGCTCACTTGTCTATTCAGATTCTGCGATGCAATGATCCAAATTCGTCGAGAGGCAGAGGACGTTATCACCGGCAAGCAGCCGAAGGATAACAATGTCCTGAAGAACGCACCCCATCCCATCTCTGTGATTGTACTGCCAGAAGACCAATGGAACCGGTACGTCACCGCCTCCGCCTTGTGTCCAGATACATTCACTGACTGCCCGCAGCCCGTATTCCCGTCAAACGGCTGCATTCCCGGTACCTTGGCTCCTAGAGAGGAAGTTCTGGCCTACTGTGTCCCGAGTCGATGATGGTGAGTACTTTGTCCTCACATATGAATGCCGTGCTGCAACTCACTTGCTTGTGTTGTGATAGCCTACGGCGACCTGAACCTCATCGTAAGTGCTACTCTATGCCGCTTCTGGCTTGTGCTGAAATGCGCTGGCATAGTGCGACTGTCCGTCTGTCGAGGAATCAGCTTCATCGAACGTATAACCAGTCTGGAAGGCTGGGTGGAGGATTCATTGCATAGATAGTCCTAGATTGCGCTGCACGCGTGATGTTCAACCGCACGCGTCAACAGTTTATTTATTAGCTTTGCATACCGTAGTAATAGTAGCAGTAGATTGTTCTCTTTAGGGGTCATGTAGTTCCAGTCGCAAATTCGATGACAATGCTTTCCATAGTGATGGGAGATTACGCTTGATGCGGTCGCGTACTTCGTACTCCTGGTTCGTTGCAGAGGCAAAGGACAAGACAATCTGTGCGCATTCGACGTCCGGCTTGACGGAAGGTTCCGCCTGGGACATTTCCAAGCACATCGCCTTGACTGCATCGCTGATGTGGCCTAGTCGACATAGGCACTCGAGCCAAGTTTTCCAGTTCTTTTGGTTGGGCTTCACGCCACCGGCAACAGCGTTGTTCCAGATACGCAGAGCTGTTGGGTATGCATCGGCGAAGCCGCAAGCATCGAGAATGATGCTAAGACTAGCGTCGTTGTACTGGCTGGAACGGGAGAGCATCTCGTAGATCTGCAACGCCTCAGCAAAGCAACCCGAACGCTGATAGGCATCCATGAGCTGATTCCAGAGCGGAGTGTCTGGGTTGAGAGAAGAGTCGACAACGAGTAGCTGATGTGTCTTTCTGATAGCGTTGACAACGGGGAGCAACTGTGCCTGCAACTCATCTTCGTCCCCAATAGAGCAGATTTTGCCGGCTAGATCGGCAAGGTGCCGGAGGATGATGGTGTAGACCGGAGGCGTGATCTCGTAGCCTGCGGTGCGCATATCGCTGACAATACGGAAGTAAAACCGTGGAGGGGGGACCGCATTCTTGCCTTTCGAGCTGGCGCAAAACGCGTGCAGGGCACTGATATAGCCCTGTTCGTTGAGAATCGACTGTCCATCTTTAGTGCTCCTGAAGAACTCGTAGATGCGGATCGCCTCCTCGTGGTTTGACGCAGAGCGAACCAGAACCACAATGAGAGACGCAGAGGTCGTGCTGTCCATGGAAACGTTGCGGGAGCGCATGTCTTCCAACATGCCGAGTATTCGAGGGACGTACTTCTCGATGACGTTCGGAGAGAAGGCCATCGCGCGCAGGACTGTGTTATAGATGGGGGCGTCAGGTGTTGAGTGACCTTCTGATGACTCGTCGAGTTGATCATGTTCATCGCCATCAGATGTATGCAGCTTGACGAATGCCTCGAGTAACTCGAGTGCTTGATCTATGCTATAGTCGTCAGGCGCTCTCAGACCATTTGCACAGACAGCGCGAATCACGGGATGGAACATCGCATTGTCGGGACGAAGGCCTCTCGACAGCGCAGCCTGATACACCGACAAGGCGGTCCCAGCGTTGCTTTTGTCGGCAGCGTTACGGATTAACACCGCCCATACTTTCGCGTCGGCCTGGACAGCGAGAGAATCTTCCCAGAACTTGAGGAGATCCGTGTCAAATGACTCGCCCATAACCGCTACGAGGGTGTCCGTGGTCGCGCAAAACCCGAGCTTCCGGAACCCGCCATACATCTGTAGCGCAGCGCGCTTTCCTCTCTCCTCACTGATGACGCACATCCGTCGAGTCTTCTCCGGATCAAGCGGTAGAAGACGCGCGTCGTGAGGCTGCTGTTCCGAGTCGGCCTCGCTGGTCGAGGGTGCGTCCTTCGTCTCGGCACGCGAATGCGAACGCGGGTTTAAGACCTCCCAGTACATTGCTTCTGCTTGCTTGATCAGGAGCGGGAACCCATGCCGCTTATAGCCGTCTCGCAGAATGTCAAGGACAACGGGGTCGTGAGCGAACCCTTCCTGAGCCATATTCAAGAGGCACTTTCGAAGGGCGCGGGGTCGAGTGATGCAAGCATTCTTGAAGTAGGCCCGGAAGAATAATTCGAAGGTGGTCGGTTGAGGAGGACAATACATCTGTCTCATCGTCTGTAGGACAGAGAAGACGAGTGGGGTGTTCCTGCGCTCACCACAAGTGGCTACTAAGGCGTGCCATTGGTCGCGGGTCGGAATAGCATACACAGGCTCGACCGTAAGCCACCGGAAAGCTGCGTTAACAGCACCGAGCCCGAGGAGGGTATTGAGGATGTGATGATGAAGTTGAAGGCTTCCGTCGGCGTCCAGATGAAATTGAACGGCGGCGAACATGGACTTTAGGATGTTGATTTCGCGTTGACCTTGACTTCTTGAAAGCACGTCAATGGCCGCGACCAATGTATCCTTCTCCATCAGATGGTTGAGGTTAACCGTGGGGGTAGCATTCGCTAGAGCAACGTACATCCCGCGGACGCCCAGGGCATCTCCGCGAGCCACAAAATCATTGAACCTATCGAGGTTCTCGCGTACATCCTGAGCGACCGCTGACCCATGGTCGTAGTCCCCCGGAGAGACGGTCGCTGAAAACAATCTGGTAGACCTGACATACGGGTCCGGCGGAAGCGGTCGGCCACCTAGGCAAATAATACGCCTAGTATATGACCCTGGAATTTGACATGATCTAGCGCAAACCCTGAGGAACATTCATACGTGCGCTGTGAATGTATATAAGAACAACGCTTTCGAATTCTGCACGATCTCACCTCGACCTCGCGAAATGGTTAATAAACGGTCGATCCCAGGCAAGATAACGCCAGACTATGACAGGGTATCACCGAAGGAGTGGAAGCAAGTATTCCTCCGCAACCCGGATGAAGAGCTTGAAACTTGCTCGAATTTGGCGGCGCGCCCCGAGGCAGCGTCCCAAGGCGCCGGTAACGAGCACGTGGGGAAGGCGATCAGAGGACACGGTGCATGCTCACACTGAACACGTCGCTACCTTACTGTTGCTTTTCTCTTACTCGTCTTCATCCTCGCTGTCTACACTACATCATGTCTGAAAAGTTTAAAGAACTCGTTGAGGTTCCCCAAGAGTTCGTGAAGGATGGCAAGCAAGTACGTATGCTGTCTTTAGACCGAGTCCTTAAACTAACAGAGCACCCCGTCTTCAGTTCTTGGTCCGCTGCACAAAGCCATCACAAAAGGGTGAGTCATGACAGTCTTATGTGTGTAGTGCCTGCGCCAAAGCAACGGTGGTAGAATTTGCCCAAATCTGCAAGGCGGTTGCGATCGGCTTCGCGGTCATGGGATTCATTGGGTACTTCGTCAAACTGATTCACATACCGATGTACGTGGACTTGCATCATTAAGCGCATTTGGATACTGACTAGATCTTCAGTAACAATATCCTTGTGTACGTGTTTTACAATCCACGGTTGGAATTGAACCTAATAGAACGTACAGGGGCGGTGCATGATATTTTACATAGCGTCTTTTGTATACTTCTACACATGATACCATCGCTTCTGCTACTGTCTTTACCCCTCCAGGAGGTAGTATGGGTCACGTTGCACAGAGTCCTGGAACGCTCGCGAGATGATAGCCCGGCATGTTTCATCTCGAGGCGTACCGTCACGCAAGAGTGGCAATCTTGCTTGTGTGGTCAACTTCAGGAACAGCTGTCGACGAGTTGCGCGGTGTCGCATGTGAACCACATTTTAATCGAGTGAATGACCGCATCGACCTCTCCTTGAGCAACTGAACCTTTCAACTCGCGTTGAAATTGGCGATGTCCATACTCCTGCCACATCCTGTAATCACGTCGGTCACAATGATCAAGGTGGCATAGGAAGTGCACTCACTGTTTGCGTACTGAACACTATAAACGCGGTGAGGGGTACTACTCGCGCCAATCAGATAGTACTGAGTAGAAGGAGGTGTAGACACGTACGGGCAGCCTGCGCCATGAAAGAGAATCGATCGAGGTTTTCAGGTGAAGCCATGACGATAACACATGCCCTGTCAATACCGGTCAGCTATATCCATCAAATCCTACACTTAGAAATGTTGCCAACCCGAAAGTAATCCACGAATATACGAGAAAAACAGTGGCCTTATAACGGACGAAATATCAGACCTTGAGGCTATCAATATATCAGGTATAGACTTACTCTGAAACAAGGCGAGAGAGATGGTTTCCTCACGTCGGCATCAGGACAGACATCTCTAATGTCCCGCCATCCGCGATAAGATTTGACTGCAATCGCCACTGCACAAAGATATCAGCCATACACAGCGTCTGCGATGGTTGCAAGGCCATGAAGTACCCTCGAACGCTGTTACCGTCAACAGCACCACTATGCAGAAGACGGACGTAGTAAACCGCTCGCTGCCAGATCGAAACCATATGATCCATCAGTACGACCGTCAACAAGTTCATTTAGAAGACCTACAAATGTTTGACGTGAATGGCGCAGTACAAGCCGTTGGCGGCGTCGACCATTTCTGGATTACTTGCCGCTACCTGGATGCGAAGTCAGCCGCTGGTGTGTGAAATGCAATGGGCCTACTGACATAAGCAGCGGCCAAGGTAAAAATCAATAGAACCAGATATGGGGGTGACAGGATCTTACAGACAGAACCCTTAGCTACAGAATCTACTATTAAGAGCATGACGACACGTACGATGAACAATCTCATCCCGTGCGGTAGACTAGCAAAGAAAGCCGGCTCGCAGGTAGGGTAGAACGCGCTCCAAATCTAGATGAGGCGGTCAGCGACGCACATGCGAGATGGGAGCAGTGTACCTCTATAACCAGCACAAGCATAGCTACGACAGCCCTGTTCGTCAGAGGGTCAGTATGGGTAAATTGCGAACAAAAACGAGAGCTGTGAACATTGTCGGTGTTCCGTAGAGAAGGGCAGACTGAATGATACACAAGGTCTGCGGTGGATGAACCTCCTTGTTATATCCCCCGTATATCCTGGCCATTGTCGTCAGAGGCATTCCTGAAGCATTTTCTATATGGCATGAACGCTTACAGGAGACAGAAAGAGACAGAATACAGAATCCATGTCACACAGAAATTCACGATTGTAGGATGCCGCGACACCTTCTTCGATAAAAGAAAAGTGAAGACCAATATAGGCAAGCCGACATGTCCTCCAACGATGTGAAGCCCGAAGTAGACGGGAGTGAGCGATTCCAGACCTGATAAGTGGTATAAGTCATCTCCAGCCTCGAACATACGCCGCGAGAATACGTGCCTGCTGTCATTGTCCAGCAGACCAGTGCCGGTTACAAAATTGCATCCGCGAGCTGCCCGAGCCGCAATAAAGACAAAGAGGATAGGGCGAGAAGGAGAGCGTCCTGTCAGAGCGCCACGGTGCGTCCCGAGTTTGAAGGGGTATCTGTTGTGTGGCAGAGGCCTCTGATGTTGCACGACAACTACATATACTACTGTGGCACTACGGATCTCGAGAAGCTCGGTCTGAAATAAGAACGGCCGAGGAACTAAGGCGCGAACGAAAGGAAATGTCTACCAACAGTATGTCCTCAGCTGCAGGCTTTCAATCTCAACGAACAACGTGCATCAAATTCTTGTAGATCACTCAATGATCGATGTCCTGATCGTGATCACGACCAGCACCGCCTGCATTCAGTGATGACAAGCTCCAGGTATCTCACCTCGGGGAGCAAAGGCCTAAAGCCCTCCGCGATGACAGGCGTGTCTACAGTCGAGGTCGCAGTAGTGATCATCCTGTCTCAATGCCAGCTTCCACTCAAATGTATGGGGTATATCGACAAGACATGGTACATTTACCGCACCGCAGTATTGCCAACGAGGAGCAGCCCGAAACGCGCGGAAGGTTTTACAAGGTCCAACGCTGAATGGAACTGCTGCTCGGTTACTGGCTGGCCATAGCACAGCAGCCCGACGGACTTTCCCCTGTCACTTGATGAGGCGGGTGGCTCTGAAAGTGAAGGCGGCGGTAGCATAGGTGCGAGAAGGATCTGCACCCGTGACAAGTGTTCCGCCAGGCTCTTGTCCATGTCAAGTTGTGGTTGCTAAGAAATATTCAGATCAATACGCTCCACTCGGTCAGATGCAGCAAACATACCTTCTCTTGCATCTTGGACACCATACACTCTAATCGTTGCACAATCTCTGACCACGCATTACCCCAGAGCTCCGTAATCCCCCGGATGAATCGCAGGTCCCAAACGTCTTGCGCAGCCATTCTCCCAGAGACACGGGCGGGTGAGTAGATCTGATCCAACATCCGGATGATGAGGTCGCGGAGGCTGTCGGCGGCTATCCGTTGTCGGCGCTCCGAGTCTATGAACACTCCAAGGTCTTGTATCGAGGTGACCAGTGCAAGTAGCGCTTGCAGAAGAGCAGACGAGGGACGAGTGGGAGGAGAACCAATGGCTGTCCTATCCTGTGCAGCAATGCCATTTGATCCATTTGAAGTGCCTTCTGAATACGAATCAGCCGGCCAATGCGCAGAAACGATCCGGTTGAGGAGATAGTCCTGCCATCGCTGATATGTCCTGTACTGCAGCGCTTCTAGCTTCTTCCGACACGCTGTACGCCACATCAGTACGTATAGAAGTCTAGATACTAAATACAGACCATCGAGGGCGACGTCACTGCATCCTACTGTTGCCAAGAACGGTGATGAGGAGGCAATCTCATAAGCGACCCGTCCCACGAATATTAAAATGCGATGGGAGATATCTGACCACGTCCGTCAGTCTTGAGAGAATATCTTTCTAGGCGAAAGTACTTGCCTCCGTCATCAGAGAAGTCTGCAGTCTCCTCCATAGATTGTGCAAGCCTAGAGCAGAAGGCTTCGGCCTCAGGACGATAATTCTGGATCGTCTGTTCAGCAAGTGTTCTGATAATCATGAGCGTTGGCCGCAGTCGCTTTAGCAGCATGCAAAACACACACCGACTATCTTCATCTCTGCTCCGAACCGCATCAATGTCTTCATGGAGTTCCCGCGCATAGCGCTCGACTGTATTGAGGATGTCGTCGATCAACGGTGTGCGGCCGTGCAACTGACGTTGCAACGTGGTTTTGTACCGCTGGAAGGATGAAGCAGCCGATGACAGATTCAGACCTACTTGCGACGCGGACGGAAGCGGTGCTTGCTCGAAGAGATACTGTACAGGTTGGACATCTGAGACGAGCCCCAGTTAGACGTGTATTTGCCCTACTGAACGCACGAACCTACCTGCACGTTGCACATTCGCATGAGTTCTCAAAGCGTCAAGCGCATGATCTACGCGTTCTCTGAAAGAGGTCTCTATGTCGGCCAGCGCGGACTTCCAGAGCGAGGTCACCTGTCGTTGAGAGACGTCATCCAAGAGGGACCGTAATTGTGTCCTTTCGCGAGAATCCAGGCCTTCAAGACTTTTGACGAGCTTCGAGGATACAGTGCGGACATCCCAGACCTCCCGGGCGGTCTCCAGATGTGCAACCCACTGTTCAAGCGCATGGCGGATGGAGGTCACAGATTGGTCGAAATAGTTATCTAGCTTGTCGCGGAGCTGCCCTGGGGCAAATTGAGACGAGGTGGAGGTGCCAGCGACATACGGCTTGTAGGACTTGATGCTAACAGGGAGAAGAAGGAAGTGCGCGGAGGATGGAAGGTTTGCTAGGAGCGATTGTGTCGTCATTTGAAGCCCTGGCGGAAGTTCAGGCAACGCTTCTTCAGTCTCTATATAGTGAAGAGCCTGTTGTATAACAGGCACGCCCTCAGAGTGCCCATCGCCAAACAACAACCGGGCCGTCCCAAGTGTTCTCGACACAAGTTCTAGAACAGCTTGCAGCTTTTGCCTCGCTTCACGTACAAATGCCTTCCTGGCTCTACTGGACGGCTTATCCTTGTTAGGCGCATTATGTGCATGACCATTCGTCGTTTTCCCTTGAAACTGTGGTAGCAAGGACGACAGAGTCTTTGACCTCTGCGCTAGAAAGATCGACAGCGTCTCCACCAATGGGCGGGACTCCAACAGATATAATGTCAGGAGAGCCGCACATGTTTCCTAGACTTGTAGGTGAGATAGCTGCACTCTTGCGTGTCCAGACGACGTACTGTAGAGGAGGCCGTATGCTCACGGAGGAACAAAGTCGCTCTATGTGCAATCTGGGATCTGAAGGGCGAGATCGTGTCCCACTGGCGTTGCACTAGTGGCATATCTTCCTACAAAGGCCCGTGAGTATGCGCGGGTTGGTCTTCCTTGAGTCTACATACGGATACATCTATCCCATAGGCCTGCCAATTTCGACTGACATCTTCGTCTCCATGTAGCAATGTTTGATGCACAGCGCGGGCCGTCAGATAGAGCCAGGCAGCATGAAGATATGACCGTTGTTCCATGAAACGCCATAGATGTTCGGGAGCGTCCAGTAGTAGCTTCAAATGCGCGGATAGTTGTTGCAAGGCTTGTAAGTGCTTGTCTGTGGTATGTGTGAGCTGCGCCTCTTGTGTCAAGAACCTGAAGAATACCTTCTTCCACAGAAGAACGTTTCTGTATCCGGGGGTGTTGTATGGATGCAACAACGTCATGCATTTCACGACAGGCCTCTAACACACGCTGAGAGGATTCTGCCATCGACGTAATCGAGGTAGAGGCCTGCAGCAGGTCGCGGTAGCGTTCCCTACGCTTTCATTGCACAATTTAGAGAGAACAAGGGTGTAACAGACGCATACGCACCCAACCATAAGGCGAAGCTCTTGCTGCTTCGCCTCCGCATTGTGTCTACATTTCACCGCGTTCTCAGTCTCATAACACCTTCTAAGCAACTTCACAACGTACCTCAACTTTTGTTGCACGCCCTTCACCTCCGAGACAGAATGCTTCTCAAGCAACTCATCAGGGTTGAAGCCCTCTAGTCCTGCTGCACGGTCAAGTGTGCTGTCCACCAAAGTCGACAGCGTCAACACCTTACGCTCCATAGGTCTGCCGAACCCATCTGCTCGCGACTGGCTACTATAGAGGACGGTCTCGGCACTTCTGCTAGATGAGGGTAAGGATGCCAGAGAGGAACGGCGAGCCATCCTCGCGCAGCAAGTCGGTAAGGGGTACGGATGTGAATCTGCTATGTACGGACTCCTCGTACACACTTGAGCGCCTCTGTGATTGCCACGTGTGACCGCGTTACACTGCCAGTAAGACGCGTCTTGCCGCGTTGTTGACCAAGGTCCAGCACTGCAAGCACGACACACAAGACGGTAATGGGGGAATACCATACATGAGGATTGTGGGTCTAGGAAATGATATATTACCTGCGATCCTAGTCGCACCCGAGAATGTCGAAAGCAAGGTCATTAAAGCGCGTACACCCAACCAGCACATCAATCATCTTCTGTCATTATACCTCCTCCGCCTCCTTCGAGGATCCTTGGCCTGCATCCGCAATATCAGCCTCGGCTGCACTCTTTTTGGCACCGCCAACGTCGCCGTTAGTCAAGCTTGTGTTGGGTGTGGATGTTGTAGGTCGAGACACCGGTGAGGACCCATTTGCTGGGCGCTGAGGTGGTGCTGGAGAGGATGCCCCTGAGGCCAATCGCTGGTCAAGTGCTTTCAGAGCCATCGCTCTGCATACATACGACAGTCAGTGACGGGCTTTTCTCGATAGCAAGCAACGTACCGTCTCCTCTCTGCCTCAGCACGTGCACCACCAGGAACCTGGGCATATCCTCCAGACTCCACATCGCTCCCACTCAAGGGAATCAAGTGGAACCTCGATGCGAGGCCGTATGCTGTGTTTGCGAGCAATGTCAGGGGTCCGCTACAGATGTAAGTATATTGAGCTCAATTGTTCGGCTACAAAATACCGTGAAGCGGACGTACTGAAGCACGGGAGGGAACCAAGTCACAAATGCGAATGTTTCGCTCCTGTCCCCATAAAGTGGACCACCACTGAGGTCTCCGACGTTCTTCTTGTAGAAGCGCAGCCAAATATACGAGACGAGCCATCCGAACTGAATGACGATGAATGGACATTGGAAGCCGAGGATGCACATCACGGTCGAGAATGTGACATATGCCATGGGTATCGTCTATGTTGGCATAGATGCACTCAGTCCGGGACTCGACGTATTGGAACAAGTGTAAATACCTTTACTCTGGCCTTCAATACCCCGAATAATTGCACCTGGTGTTCAGGAATGATTTGCCTGAACGCGACAAGGATGCCGATTTGCAGAGCCATTTGGCCATGATACTGTTGACCATAGCTGCGGATAGGTTGGCGACGATTAGCGGAAGTTGTTAGATACATTACTCACAGGAAGGTAGGACTTCTGAAAACGATGAACTCGATCCAGTTCAAGCCGAACGCGATGATATTTGAGATCGTTACGGTCGCGGCAATGAACTTTAGCAACTCCACAGCACCCCATAGTCGCTCCAGATATCGTAATGAGGCAGGAATAACGAGCAGACTGAAGATAAGCTGCTCCAGCGTTAATAACTGCTTCAGCATACCCGCGACAAAGAGAAAAGCACCTCTATGACTGTTGTCTCAACGAAGACGGACGTCAGGAAGGTCCAAGGATAGAATATGCTTGATCCCGGCACAAGCACAAGGTAAGGTGCAGCAAATGCGTCTCCGCCTGACCATCGTAGGATATAGTACAATAGCGAGAAGCCAACCGTAGCTGCGGTGAATCCACGAGTCGCGGGCGGGACAGCCGCGACAAATTGAGCAGGTGAGAAGGATAGGACAGCCATGTTTGCAGGAAGATCCTAGCTGTCGCGTTCACCCACTATACAAGGTCCCAGACGTAGCCTTCCGAGGGCCGGTGAGAGCGTTGGTGTCGTGAAAGGCGGACGGGCAGACGGTGGTAATCCAGCGCCTGAAGGGTGAGGAGACGAGCGCAAGGACGGCCTGTCACTTACGACGCGTGACCCGACCGCGTCTTGGTCTCGCGACGTCTGTGACGTCGTGACCACCTCACCTTGTACATGACCAACATTCACGACGATGTCCGATTATGACTTCCGCCCCGGCGGCTCCCTCAAGCTTAAGGGGGGTGTCGCCGAGGGGGGCATTGTAAAGAAGTGAGTGCACGGCATACTGACAATGCAACCAAGCACTCATTGGCTCCAGGAAAAAGTCAAAGTCGAAGTCGAAGGCGAAAGACAAGGAGAAGGACAGGAGCATTGAAGAGGCACGGTTGAAGGAGCTGGAGAAGTTAATGGAAGAGGAAGAGGAGAAGGCCAAGTCAGCTTCACCATCCGACAGTGGCAGGAACTCGCCCGCTGTCGGTAGCAGCGAACGAAAGACCGCAGCTGAGAAGAGGTTCGAAGAGGTGCAGCGCAAACGTGTATGTGCTCCTTTACTCATACTTGCTGTCCACTTTGGTGACCTCAGTCACTCCTTAGCTTGCTGAGAAAGTGGCCAGGTTGGCGAATAAAACCCACAAGGACCGGGTGCACGAGTTCAATTCGAAACTGGAGGCTCTCAGCGAGCACCACGATATTCCGAAGGTACGCTTACGTCTTGCCTCTTGGCTGCTCCTGTGCTCATGTTGTCGCAGGTCGGTCCTGGTTAAGACCTCCAAGATGTATTGTTATCGTTGCCTGTACTTTGCTCAATGCTGTATATGTTTGCTGGTTGTGGACGTCGTCTTGCCGACTGACCGGCACAATACATTCAATTTTGGGAATAACCTGGGGAGGCGTGTTCAGGGCATCCTTAAACGTGCTCGGAGATAGATATCTGTTTATCTTGTATTTGTTCGCGGCGTTGGATTAGAAAAGTCGGGCTAAGAACGTGACCCACCACCTTTACACTTCCTGCAACTTGCCCTTGTCCATGCACTTCTTCTTGGAACGACTGTGTTCTTGCCACATACCATGAAGGCTGTTGCTGCTACTGATTCTGCCGATAAAAAGGGCCACATCTGCCCGCCTTCAGATGCTGCACATCCTCGGGACCGCTGGGAGTCGGCGTTTGTGTACGCCTTCGTCTGTAAGTTTACAAACCTGCGAAGCAAGGTCGAGGGGTTGGATACACCTATGGAGTGAGTGTATATCAACCAGAAGGTAGTCACTACCATCCTCATTGCGCTCAATCGCCAAAAGTTTTGAAGAAGCGTTGCTCTCGGAAGAGCCACATCCTATCGTAACTCAGATCCTGGCGCGTTTCATCCTGAACTTGAGACCGCAGACGCGTAATTTGAGGTGAGTGGCACTTCTGCTGTCTTTGTCCATAGCTGGGGCAAACGGGCGACGCGTTGGGTCCCTTAGTTCGGACGTGATTTCCTCGACCCTCGCCACCATCATGCATGACTACTTCAAGACGACTGAAAGGACTGTCTTTTGGGACGAGAATTTGAGGGTCAATGTGGACCCCTTCTCGCAGATGGAAAATGGCTTCTTTGCGGCATCTTGGGACTTCAAGGTGCGTCTCCAGCGCGCCCGTCCGCCACACTAGGCTCATTCACGCATGTTTCACGTGTCTAGCTCAAGATCATGAGGCAGCTCGTCGAGCTACAACTTTGCCACAGCGCAGAAATCAAAGCCATCATAGACCGTGCGTGGGGCGTCATCCACAATAAACACAAGAAGGCAGAGACTACGCCTGCTCCGCCGCCCGCCAATGACCCCCAAAGCCAGGAGAACTTGCAGCTACAACCTCTAGGCCAGGATAAGGACCGCAAACGCTACTGGGCTGTAGATGGTCCGTGCACGATTTCCTCGCCTTCTGCACGAGTTTCGCTATTTGCTTGTATTTGCGCCATACGGCGGGACAGTGTGTCTCTCCTTTCGGCATTTTGCGGCTTCATTATATTGCTTCGTTTGACCTAGCGGTTGCTCATTGTTCCGGTTGCGGTGCGCAGATTCACCACGGTTATACATCTCAACGAATCCATGGAAGATCACCGCAACGTTCCAAACAATCTCTTCCACACGAGACGAATACATGGCAATAGTGGAGAAAGTCCAAGAAGTTGCACCTCCTGAACCTAAGGCTGGCGAGCGGAAATCAAAATTAGATACGGCGCACATTGCTTTGGTCAAAGCCTTACAGGGAAGGATAGAGGCTATTGACGCAGAGCTGGCGGTGAGTTCATATTCTCTCTCATGTCTTTGCGAAGTCCTGTCTGGCCTATCCGACGAATCCTCAATCGCCACGATTTCCCAATTTTGCGGCCAATGACCATCATCTCCACGTGACTAACCCGCTATCTCTTGCATACAGAGAATACAGCGTGCGCGGAGGAAAATAGAACAGCGGAATCTATTGATTGCACAGGCAGAAGTACGAGAGACGCGAACGCGGCGGAGGACCACTCGTCCCGACTATGCTTACATGAACGATCCTGCGAGCGATGTACGTACCAAATTTTTAAAGCCCTAAGATGGCCGACGTTGATCACCCAAGGCGGCATAGGACGATCAAGATGATTATACCTATCAAGAGCAAGAAGACGAGGAGTACGAGGATCAGGGCGAGTTCGATGACATGACAACCTTTCGAGGAGAACCGTCAAATCGTCGTGAACCTCCATCCATGGGAAGGCGGAGATCAACGCGGGCTTCCAACGCGGCCAACAACGGGAAGAGGGGCGGTTCCAATGACGACTGGAATGATTGGCGTGAAAAGCGGCGCTCTACACGCCTCGGTGTTCCAGCAGAGCCACAGCCGGACATGCCTCCACTCAAACGGGCGCGGACGGATGATAGTATCATCAGCGCGCATTCCACTGACGGCCAAAGGCAGTCGCCGACTCAAAATGGCAATGGCCCGAAGATCAAGATCTCCGGCGCAGCAGCAATAAAGCCTACTGAGACCGCGGTGGAGGCTCTTGCAGGGAAGAAGAAGAGCAAGTATTGGTTCTACGCCATTGAGCCCATCCCCGCTCCACAGCACGAAACTGTACCTGCAGCTTACGCATCCTCAACGAACGGCTCAGAAGTTCCCATGTCTAGCGAGGCGCATGAGACACAGTCCGAAGGGTCCTATGCTAACGGTATTTCCGATGACCACGAGAGGAGCATGGAAGGCAGCCTATCTCCCGCGTCTCCTATGGATGAATCGTGAACTTGCTTTCTGTTTAGTCGTTGCTGTCGTGCAGCGTTCATTTTCATGCATATTGATTCTGCGTCGTATCGCAATAACATCCCACGTAATCTTTGTTCCGTTGTGAGCAGCGTACAGTAAATTGGATACCTGGACCCAAGCCTGAATCATGCAGTACAGGTGTGAGCGGATTGTGTTGCATGAGTGATTGGATGACGAAGCTTTATGAGGAGTTGAATTTGAGAGTGATATGAAACCGATCCGCTCGCCGTAGCCAACCACGGAGCGAGAGTTTGACTTTGGGGACGATGCATCTTGGCTCGATCACGATCGCGATTCCCGGCATCTTGCGACACCCAGATCTGGCCCAATTGAGAACTAGCACTGAGCGCATCACTTTGACTTCGACGTTCACCTCAGGTTCATGCTCGCAAAGGCCGCGCAGAATGCGCTCGCAAAGCAGGCCAAGTCTCTCTTCAGATTTAAGGGTTGCCTCAATATCAAGCGCAATGCCCCCCATATCATCAGTCGGCCTGCCACCGCGACTGCAGCGCTCCCATTACCTGCCTCACGCGACGATGTGGACATAGTAGCTCTCTTTGATCAGCCACAAGCGGCCCAGCGCTCAGCCTCTACCTCCTACACAGGACTCTTTGGGCACCCCATACTCACTACTCCAGCCGCCTTCAATGCACTCGCTGACTCTACTCTGCGACGTGCACAACTGCTTACCGAGCGTGTACTCCGGGCCCGGGAGTCGCGGGAAGAGCTCTTCAGGGTCGTCAAAAACCTTGACAGGCTCAGCGACCTACTTTGCGGTGTTATCGACCTCGCGGAGTTGATCCGAAACGCGCATCCCGACAACGCATGGGTCCAGAGCGCTGACGAAGTTTACGAGAAGTTATGCGAATTCATGAATATCTTGAATACCCATGTTGGACTATACGAGGTACGTGGTACTACTCCGGCTATCTTGAAATGCTGACCCTTCCCGCTGTAGGTTCTACATGCAGTCCTTTCTGATCCCGAGGTGGTCAGGTCTCTCAGTCCCGAAGCACACCAGACGGCGCTCATATTCTGGCGAGACTTTGAAAAGTCTGGGATAGACCTGCCTCCAGAGCAGCGAAATCGCTTTGTTTCTCTGTCGACGGAGATTTCACTCCTCGGGCGGCAGTTTCTTAATGAGACGGCGAGCGCCCGACCACCAGCTGTCATCAAGCCAGCAGAGCTGCAGGGGCTGAAAGATTTGGGTATGGGCGCTCGTTTGAGGCTCCAAGCGCAGGTCACCAACCGAGACCTCCTTGTGTATCCTGGCTCCCTGCAGGCCCAGATGATCATGCGCTCAGCGCCGGCCGAGGAGCCTCGAAGGAAGGTGTACATTGCAGCAAACGCCAGCACGCCGGAGCAAATTCAGACACTCGAGAGACTATTGCGTGCTCGCGGAGAACTTGCACGACTGGTAGGCAAGCCCAGCTTCGCCCACATGACTCTCTCCGATAAGATGGCGAAATCACCAGGTGTGTAACTATTTTCTTGTATTATGTTTAGACGGTGACACCTTGAACCATGATACGCTAGAGAATGTGCAGCATTTTCTTGACGCGCTCATGGATCATACACATCCGTATGCCCGACGAGCTCTCCGCACGCTCAGCATGCGAAAGCAAGGACATCTGAACACTGAATCATTCCCGACCATCCAGGCCTGGGACAGAGACTACTACTGTCCTCCAGAGCCACCAGCGCCACCCGTCTCGCTACCACCCCTGACGCTTGGCACGGTGTTCATGGGCCTCTCACGATTGTTCCAGAACCTCTACGGCATCTCTCTTCGACTTGCGGGAGTAGCACCCGGTGAGGTGTGGCATACTAATGTCCGGAAGCTCGAGGTCATCGATGAGCAGACCGGAGTCCTCGGCTGGATTTACGCGGACCTCTTTGCGCGTCGAGGCAAGCCGAGTGGCGCTGCGCACTACACAGTGCGCTGTTCGCGGCGGGTGGACGATGACGATGTGGAAGGGGACTTCCGCTATGCCGACGAGCGCGACCGGACAATCGTGCAAATGTCCCAGAACTTCGAGGATGCGCACCGTCGACAGTTCCCCGGGCAGGAAGGCACCTTCCAACTTCCGGTAGTAGTCCTGCTGTGCGAGTTTGCAAGACCTTCAATTAGCCGAGGGCCTACCGTCCTTGAATGGCACGAGGTGATGACCTTGTTCCACGAAATGGGACATGCCATGCACTGTAAGTAGCTCTCACCTGTATCGTTCGCTTTGACGTTGATTTGTCGTTAGCCATGATAGGACGGACCGAGTATCAAAATGTCTCTGGAACACGTTGCGCGACAGACTTCGTGGAGTTACCCTCTATCCTTATGGAGCACTTTTTAAGCTCGCCCGCTGTCCTCTCCCTCTTTGACCTCGACGACTCATTCTCAATACGTCAAGCGGGCAACCATCACGAGGACCCATGCCGCTCAATAGATACACACACTCAGATCCTTCTCGCTGCGCTTGACCAGATTTATCACTCCTCAGCAGCCCTTGAGGATGACTTCGATTCGACGACAACTCTTGCGGGACTGTACGAGGTGCGAGGGCTTATTCCGTATGTCCCGGGCACCTCCTGGCAGACCCAATTCGGGCACCTCTTCGGATATGGTGGAACTTACTATTCTTACTTGTTCGATCGTGCCATTGCCTCGCGAGTGTGGCAGAAGCTCTTCTCGCACAACCCGCTCACTCGCACAACGGGCGAGAAGTTCAAGCGGGACGTCCTGAGTCACGGAGGAGGTAAAGATCCATGGATGATGGTGAGCAAATTGCTCGGTGCCCCGGAACTAGGTAGCGGCAATGCAGAGGCGATGGCGGAAGTGGGAAGGTGGAAGATCGAGGATGAGGTCTCCGTGCCAGGTCGACACTGAGACTAGAACCAAATGCGCATGTATATAGCTGTCACCAAGAGCGATGTACACCCCCTGTACACTTTCGTCCAACGGGTCTCGTACTCGGACCACGGGACGCTGTAATCCCGCTGGCCTGCAGGATGTACTGGGGCGCACAGTCGGGCAGACTCTATTGTCCGAGCGCGCAACGGGATGTATGTAGCGGTACGGGTGTGAGACATAAACTACAGGACACAACTTGCGAGGTCGGAGGCGTATCGTATAACACCCTGTCCGGCCTGCATCAGGCTGCGACTCGGGACACCTTGTCCGTCCGAAGGCAAAGACGCTATATCATATCATTGCACGCCGAGCCCACATTTAGGAGCTATCGGACAGTGATTATGGGGTACAAACCTGCGGAACCTGGATAAATACAAAAGGGGCGTGTCCTATATAAACTATGACGTAATACGTCCGAATCGGGGCAGGTTTTGCGGTGGGAGAGGCATGGCCTTTGTGGTCTCGTGCCCAGACCCACCGTATCCGCACCCCACCACCGCGAAAAGGGGGTCTGGGGCAGGCTCCTATTACCAGCCTCACTATCGCGTTCTCGCTCCTACATCCTAGAGGCCAATTTCGTGGTTTTTTTTTCCGAAATGTAATCACGTGGTATATCCTAATACAGTAAGACATGATTAGCCGACTAAGAGGAGGAGAACACTATAGAGAGGCTGGCGCAACTGGTATGGCCGCCATCACCGAGGTGATTGGCACAAGAGGTTCTCAGCGCCAATGCAGTAAAGTATTGGTTTAACCCCGTACTAGGGTTTCATTTACTGAGTTTTGCAAACCGTCCGATGTGTTGGTATCACACTCACTCCAGCTTCCCGCCGCTCGGCACTGGTGGCGCGATGCTGGTACATTTCCCGGGACTATTCAGTGCCCCATCCTGTTGCTCTTTGATAATTTTATAGTATGTATTAACTTCCAATAAAGCTTCGAGGACATATCAGACAGTATTAAATGTGTACCAGTACTGAAACAGCCTGTTTGCAATGTTTGCAATGAAATCAGTAAATAAAACCCTAGTACGGGGTTAAACCAATACTTTACTGCATTGGCGCTGAGAACCTCTTGTGCCAATCACCTCGGTGATGGCGGCCATACCAGTTGCGCCAGCCTCTCTATAGTGTTCTCCTCCTCTTAGTCGGCTAATCATGTCTTACTGTATTAGGATATACCACGTGATTACATTTCGGAAAAAAAAACCACGAAATTGGCCTCTAGGATGTAGGAGCGAGAACGCGATAGTGAGGCTGGTAATAGGAGCCTGGGTCTGGGGCAGTTCAGTAGGCGCACCCCCCCTTCCATTTAGCGCCCACGTAGCACCCATGTAACGGTCACAGATCTTGATACCCCATCTGAAACATTTATCTTTCCGTTCTATTCCTTGTATTACTAGCGCCCATACTGGCGCCTGTCTCAGCGCTCACCCGCAGGTTGAACATTATGTAGCTTACATAATGGGGTCCGTGCGCACTTCGTGCCTGGTATCGTACCACTACGTTTCTTTCTTTACTAACACGACCACATAGACACAATGGTCCGTGCGCAGTCGGTACTTGTATAAGTAGTTGTACCATTAGTCGGTCGAACTCTAAGTTCGACCTGGTTATTCATTCAAGTCTCTGCTCCTCTTCGCTTGGGGTAGTGGTCATTCTCGACTTCCTTGCTCGATCTTCAGGACGACGCACTGTCCATAAGTCCTCGCTCGTCGTCTACGAGTCAGGCATCGATATAGGAGTATAGACTGTTGTATCAAAAGGTCGAACTTTCTAAGCTACGTTCCTAGTTTCACCTAGTCGAACAACTCATCCACCATCACGTCGAACAACGCAGTAAACCCGGTTCCCTTGGGACTACCAGCCCTCGCAGGATCTCCCCTTCTCCAGTACGACCAAGCAGACCGTTGCTTCGTCACCACCACAAGAAGGACTCCCATCTATCCTCGAGGCGGCTCCTGGGTTCATGCAGAAGGTTCCAACCCACAGATCATCGCCCATCAACAGCTTGTCAGTTATTACCAGAGACACCCTCCCGCTCACCCAGAAGACGTATTCGCCACCCTACGAATCAACGTTGAGCCAGCACAAATAACAGAGAACCTACAGTCACCTGTTAACGAACAATCATTCGAACTCCCGGACGTTCAGTACGTTCCCATCGAGGCTCCAGACACCGAACCACCACCTGTTTCATTCGCACCAACCAACGCACCAGTTGAACCTCCAATGACGACGTTTACTCAAGCAGACATCGATCAGCACATCGCGGCTGCTCTCGATACATACCGACTTCAACAATCAACCGCCAATCGACCCCTCCGCCTCGACATCCCCGCTCCGGAACCCTTCAGCGGAAAGGCAGAGGATCTTAGACGCTTCCTTCAATGCGTCCTTTCCTACTTCGTCGCCACCAACAACACCAGACTTAGCGATGAAGCAAAGATCGCCTTCACGGTAGCATTGATGAGGAAGGACCTAGGGAAGACGAGGGCGGACGCATACTACGAGAAGTCGGCAGGGGGAGTCCAGGTCTATCCTGATTGGGCAGCCTTCGCCACCGCCCTTGAGGAAGCGTTTCCTGAGCACGGAACGCGAATCAAGGTGCACCAAATCCTGATGAAGCTGCCCGAACGACAGAAGAACAAGAAGACGGCACTCTCCCTTGGAAACTACGTCACCCGCTTCGAGCAGCTAGCGTCGAAAGCCCAGCTCAAGGATGCCGAAGTCAATGGCGTCAACCGCACCGAGAACGACTACCACACTCTCCATGCCAACTTCGTCAAGGGACTTCCGAAGGAGCTCTATGTCTCTCTCGCAACCAGAGTCGCTAGAGACCGACCCAACACCATGAAAGCCTGGTACGACGAAGTCCGAAACGCCGACGCCGCCGAACAAGGGGCCCTCACCATCACAGACACCAGGGACTACGGCGAGCCAATGGATATCGACGCCGCTGCAGTCGCGGCAACCTTTGCCCCCACGTCGGGAGGAAGGAAGTGGGAACTAGGAGCAGTTCTCAACGAGGCCGACCGAAAGCTCCACAGGGACGGGAACCTGTGCTTCTACTGCCACATCAAGGGCCACAGTGCCAAGGATTGCCGCAAGAAAGCGGCCGCACGACAAGGGGGTGGGAGGCCGAACCAGGGAGGATCTGGGAAGGACGACTTCCGCGCCAGAATCAAGACACTCTCAGCTGACGAGAAGCGGGAGCTGTACGAAGAACTGACGATGGAGGATTTTTGAAGGGGCAGGGTGAGCTGACGCAACCACTGCCCGTATCCGTTTCACTGTCCCGTGTAATTCTAGTAGTCCAAAATGAACACGCTCTGCACATTTTGATTACTGTGGGACGAAAAGACGTCGACGCGTGCGCTTTCATCGATAGTGGCGCAACAGGAATCTTCATCAGCCCGAGATTCGTCCGAGAACATCGACTTCGGACAGAACCCCTTCCCCGACCCATCCCCGTCTTCAACGTGGATGGAACCCCGAACAAAGAAGCACTCATTACGCGAAGAGCTCTCTTATCCTACAAGATAAGCGGAGAACCCCGATTTGTCAAAGCCTACGTCGCCAGCATCGGCAAGGAAGACATCATCTTCGGCCACACTTGGCTCAAACTCAAAAACCCCAAGATAGACTGGAAGACCGGACGAGTGAAGCTGAACCACCGGTGGACAAAAGACGAGACCAGGGCCTGGAAGATGGACCTGTACCAGAGGCGAGTGGCTCGGCTAGAACTAAAGAAGGCCGTAACTACCCCGCTCCCAGAACCAACGGAGGACGAATTCATCGTCATCCCCACCTCAGAGCACGCAACCCTTCCTGAACGGAAGACTAGTGGCGCAGCAGGATACGATATCTCTGCTGCGCATCACCTCATCATCCCCACCCGACGACGAGGCCTGGTTGGCACTGACCTTATCATGACTATTCCCAAGGGACACTATGGAAGAATCGCACCTCGGTCCGGTCTAGCACTAAAAGAAATTGACGTCGCTGCAGGAGTAATCGACTCTGATTACCGAGGCAAAGTCTCAGTCCTGCTGGTCAATAACTCTGACCTCCCATTCACCGTCAAAGCCGGCGACCGAGTTGCCCAGCTCATCCTTGAAAGGATAAGCACTCCACCAGTAACGCTAACCGACTGCATCAACGAAACTGAACGCGGGGAGGATGGGTTTGGGTCAACGGGTATTGCGTCCATCGAGGAACAAGCGGAGGACATCGACGATGATGAGTTCATCATTTCCTACTTATCGGGAGCACCAATGATCACCAAGTACGAGAAACAGGAACCCCTGGCAGTGAGGGACGTTCCGCTCAAGGAGCGACTCCCTGAACCCTCATCTGGCTACAAACGACTTCACAACGGCATGATCTGGAAGGTCCACCACGACATTAGGCGCATCACCACTTCCACCGAACTTGCAGCCTCGAACGCCCAAGGCAAGACAGAAAGAACGCTACCACAGATGGTACCATCCTACCTACACGATCTCCTCCCCGTCTTCGACAAAGCCACGGCTGCGCGACTTCCAGACCACACCGAATATGACCACGAAATCAACCTCAAGGAGGGCTTCGCGGACATGAAGCAACAGGTCTATCCGCTCAACCCGCAGCAACGAAAGGAACTCGACAAGTTCCTCGAGGAGAACCTGAGTAAAGGGTACATTCGCCCTTCGAAATCCCCATTGGCGAGTCCATTCTTCTTTGTTGGTAAAAAGGACGGCTCACTACGCCCCTGTCAAGACTACCGGCTGCTCAATGAGAACACGGTCAAGGATCGATACCCACTCCCGCTTATATCGGACCTCCTCGACAAGTTGAAGCACGCCAAGGTGTTCACGAAGATGGACCTCCGTGCTGGATACAACAATGTCCGAATCAAAAAAGGAGACAAATGGAAGGCAGCATTCATCATACCCGGAACTGATGGCAAACCGCCGCAGCTGTACAAACCAACGGTGATGTTCTTTGGGCTGTGTAATTCTCCCGCTACGTTCCAGCGGATGATGAACACTATATTCGCAGACATGCTTCAAGAAGGCTGGCTTTGCATCTACATGGACGACATCCTGATCTTTTCCCAGGACAAGGCAGAACATGAGGAACAAACATGACGTGTTATCGAACAACTTCGACAACATGACCTCTATCTCAAACCGGAGAAATGTGCCTTCGACGTCACCGAAGTCGAATTCCTCGGCATGATCATCCGCCCAGGAGAAATCGCAATGGACCCCGTCAAACTAGCTGGCATTGCAGATTGGCCGGTGCCGTCCAACCTCAGGCAAGTACGCGCCTTCGTTGGATTTGGAAACTTTTACCGCCGGTTTATCAAAGGCTTCTCGGACAAAGCGCAACCGCTGGTTGCTCTCACCCGGAAGGACGTCACCTGGACCTGGGGATCTGACCAACAGAAAGCCTTTGAGACCCTCAAAAAGGCATTCCTAGAAGAACCGGTACTACGTATGCCGGATCCTGACCGACCCTTCGCCATCGAAACCAACGCCTCAAAGTTTGCCACCGGAGCGGTGCTACGCCAACGTGATGACAATGGCGATTGGCATCCTTGCGGATACCTCTCCCAGAGCTTCAATGCAGCTGAACGAAACTACGACATCTACGACAGGGAATTATATGCGGTCATCTGCGCACTAGATGAGTGGAGGCACTACCTCATTGGCAGCCCATACCCAGTAACGATTCTCAGCGACCACAAGAATCTCACATACTGGAAGCAGGCCAAAGACATGAACCGACGACAAGCACGCTGGGCGAGTAAACTGACCAAGTTTGACTTCCGCCTGGTACACGTTCCTGGTACCCAAATGGTGCAGAGCGACGCTCTCTCCCGCCGACCCGACCATGACGACGGCTCTAATGACAACACCGACGTCGTTATGCTCCCACCGGACGTATGGGTCGCTGCAATCGACATCAACACCCGCGACACCATTCTTTCTTTTCAGGATGACCCAATAATGAAGGAAGGCCTCACTGCGGCGCGCACCGGAGGAACATCACACACTGGAACAGACTGGTCCATCGATGATGACCTCCTCTTATACCAGGATCGGGTCTATGTACCCCCAGATGAGTCTCTTCACAAACGTCTCGTCTCCCACTATCACGACCTCCCCTCCGCAGGACACCCCGGTGTTCAGAAAACCCTCCTCGGCTTGCGCCGTGACTACTGGTGGCCGAGCATGGCCCAGTTTGTTGCTCGCTATGTTAATGGCTGTGGCATCTGCCAGCAAATGAAGGTTAACACCCATCCAGCCCGACCGCCCATCACCCCCATTCGACCCCGCACAAATGCCAAGCCCTTCAGCACATTCTCGTGCGATTACATCACCGACTTGCCACCGTCCAACGGCTTTGATTCCATTTTGGTCGTAGTGGACCACGACCTTACGAAGGGGGTAATTTTCATCCCATGCAACAAAACAATTGATGCTCTTGGAACGGCAGATGCAATGTACCGAGAGGTCTACAAGTGGTTTGGACTCCCAGACAAAATCATCAGTGACCGAGGACCGCAATTTGCGTCCAAAGTCTTCCAGGAACTTTGCAAAATGACTGGGGTCCAATCAGCCATGAGTACAGCATTCCATCCGCAAACCGACAGCGAGACAGAACGAGTGAACCAAGAGCTGGAGATCTACCTCCGCTGCTTCACTGCCAATGACCCGGATAAGTGGGCTGACCATCTTCACACCGCGCAATTTGCTCACAACTCCCGCGAGCACTCCACGACGAAGGCGTCCCCGTTCAAACTCATGATGGGATACGAACCTCGTGGAATACCCACCGCGCACCCCGAATCAAACACGCCCCAAGCAGCTTATCGCCTCAAGGACTTGCAAAACATCCGCGAAGAAGCACATGCGGCAATGGAGATGGCCCAGAACGTCCTGGCCAAGAGAGTAAAAAGGAAGGGGGGTTCCTTCCGTAAAGGTCAGCTGGTATGGCTAGACTCCCGGAACTTGAAGCTGCCGTACCCATCCAGGAAACTAGCCCCGAGGCGAGAAGGGCTGTTCAAAGTCCTAGACAAGATCGGAACAGTCACGTACAAGCTAGACCTCCCTAGCACCTGGCGAGTCCACCCCATTTTCCACGAATGGCTTCTATCTCCCTACTCAGAGACGGAGATCCATGGTCCGAACTACATGAGGCCACCCCCTGACCTTATCGAAGGCGAAGATAACTACGAAGTCGAAGCCATCATCGGACATCGAGAGAACAAGAGGATGCGGCGCCGCGAATATCGCGTCAGGTGGAAGGGTTACTCAACAGCCGATGACTCATGGGAGCCCGAAGCGAACCTGACTGGGACGGCTGACGAAGTGTTGGCAGAATATAAGAACAGGAAGGACTTGAGCTAAGTCGTCAGCAGCTCTACCCAGTCGCTACATTCCCACTCGCACCAACATGTCTTCCACCCTCCCGTTCCTCGACCAGTTCAACGCCCCCTCGACCGAAGGCGGGAAAAGGCTCTCAATCTACACCCCTAAGCACACCCACGTCGGTGACAGCACCTTGCTGACGCTTCTCCTCAGTAATCCCACCGACGTCTTCAACAAGCTCAAAGCCCACAACCCCGAGGCAACCAATGCCACCGACCGTGCTGCACTAGAAGCGTATCTCTCTGCCCGTCGCGACTACGACGAGGCTGTCAAGGCAGCCGATGAGGCCATCGACCACCACAAGCGGCTCCTACGCCAACAGGACGACCGCGTCCTCACCGAGCTCATCCGGCTCGACAATCTGAAAGTTGCCCATCGCTTTCAACCGCTCTTACCGCGCAGCATCTGGGCGCGACACAACAAATTCATCCCGCGCGCCATCCCCAACACGTACTTACCCCTACCCGCACCCCTACCGACGTCTGCCTTCAGGCGCCCCCCGATTCCATCCCCTTTCCTCCAAGCAATGCCGTGGAGCACTACCATCCCGGCTGACTGGCAACCCAACCCTGGTTGGACCCCGAAGGGAAGCTGCAGGCGATGCAGATCGTCTCGACACTGGGTACGGGACTGTCCGGACGTACAATGCGCAGGATGCGGAAAAGAAGCCCCTGGACACCTGGAGCAAGAGTGCGGAACCAGGCCGATGAAGCGACACGTATCCGCACCACCTGAAGAACCTGCGCGACGCGTGGGGGTGGTCGTCGACAACGTGTTCCTCGAAGGAATCATCAATGAGGCGAAGGAGAGGAAGGAGAGAGAAAGGCAGACGAAAGCGATACCCATCCCTCCACCACGTAGCGCTAACCCCGAACCCCCGGCCAGTCCCGTTGCGGGACCCTCGCGCCCCCGCCCCGACACACCCGTCGTCTTTCGCAAAGTCGATCCCAACTGGACACCCGACTCTACTCAATGGACGTGGGACAGCTCCTGGCCGCATCAGAAGCACCTCTCTGGCGAAGAATGGATGAACGTGGGGAGAAACGCGCGCAAGGAATGGTTTGACGAAGAAGAGGACGACAGCGTAGATTGGGAGTTGTATGGAGATGGTGAGCAGTAAGTAGTCGAATGGGACTTCGACTCTGGTAGGGGGGTAATGAAACATTTGTCTTTCCATTCTATTCCTTGTATTACTAGCGCCCATACTGGCGCCTGTCTCAGCGCTCACCCGCAGGTTGAACATTATGTAGCTTACATAATGGGGTCCGTGCGCACTTCGTGCCTGGTATCGTACCACTATGTTTCTTTCTTTACTAACACGACCACATAGACACAATGGTCCGTGCGCAGTCGGTACTTGTATAAGTAGTTGTACCATTAGTCAGTCGAACTCTAAGTTCGACCTGGTTATTCATTCAAGTCTCTGCTCCTCTTTGCTTGGGGTAGTGGTCATTCTCGACTTCCTTGCTCGATCTTCAGGACGACGTACTGTCCATAAGTCCTCACTCGCCGTCTATGAGTCAGGCATCGATATAGGAGTGTAGACCATTGTATCACTGAGGGTGAGTACTTCCATACCCTTATGATATTTGCCCTGTAGCTCATTGATATGTTAGAATATGTCCATACACTACAGGTATGCATTTAGTCTTGCACGCACCCGCTCACACGCCGTACTGAGGAATACATCCGTACGCTACAGGCATAGGACAATGTTCATGCGCTCGCTCTTACATGAGCAATGCATTTCACCTCTGCAAATGTGGCCTTGGGGTACTCGCAATAGTAATACTAGCACCAATCCCAATGGACTTAACTAATTCTTGAGGTTAGAAGTATTTCTGGTCTTTGCGGGCATTCCGAGAACAGTAATGATTTGCGGCTCTTTTGGGTGCCTAAGCATAAGGACATTTATTTATGGCTCAACTAATTCTTTGACTACAAATCCTGTATCATAAACATGTGCAACGATAAGAATAGAGTCAATTGGTGATTTTTCGGCATGTTTCCGGATTATTTGGGGGTTCCGCCAAATATTTGGCCCTCAAAACACAAATTTCACTTTTTTGGGAAATCCACTTGTGCAAAATAATTCTTCTCAGTCTATACATGATCTAACTAGGGTTTACAATTGTTTGCGGAAGACTCACAAGGCCCAGAAAATTCGGCCGAAAAATTGGATGACTTTGGTTGTCCACAACTGTAGTTGCCTTTGAATAGGCTTGGGGAATCAACGGAATGATGGGGTATCAAGATCTGTGACCGTTACATGGGCGCTACATGGGCGCTAAACGGAAGGGGGGGTGCACCTACACAGCCAGACGTTGAAATAGACTGAGGTTGGCACATTTCCTTCAGATCAGAACCTAAATAATTTTTTGTGCGAGACTCCACCTCGATCTCAACTCAGTCTATACTACCATCAATGAATCTCGCTCCACCTGACACTCCACCCCTGTTGAACATGCCCTTCCATCTGCCCCGGGCTGAGATTTTCAAGGTCATGTGATGCATGCCAATTTGAGCTACACTCCGCCCATGTCCAATCTCAGTCCATATTGATATCAATGAGCCTCACTCCGCCTCGGAGTCCACCCCGGCCGAACCCACCTTGCCATCCACCCTGGGCTAAGTCTAGCACGGTCATGTGATCCGCGTTTAAGTCTGTCACAATGCTCCCGCGTGCTGCTTTCCGTTGCAGCGATTCAGACGCCCCTATGGACCAAAGTGACGGTGGGTGCCGTATCAGCCTCACATACCACCTGGCGCACTAATTTAACTCAGAATGGGAACCCATGGGCTCTGACGCTCATGGGCGTGAGTTATGGTGCTGCAAGATCTGCCGAGATGGCAGACCATGCCTGAAATGGCTTCTTCAGTGCCATGAGGAAACCTTGATTCATCAAGCCAATCTCGCGCGCATCCAGCGAACATCCACGACACATGTTGCTCAGCGCCCAGATCCCCCTCCACTCACTCCTGAGCAAGAACCCGCTCTTGCGCTCATTGATACTGGCTTGCGCACGCCCCTACGCTCATTCATGATGCCTGCCTCTCGCGATGATGAGCATTACTTCGAAACACCCTCCCACCATCATGCACCATCCCCCTCGCCCGCCTTTGACTGGGGATTATCGGCCAACCTGGGCACCACGGACCTGCCACCATCTACGACTGAACAGCACCTGTCTGAACTCTCTAGCGCCCTATTGGATTGTCTTGATATGCTCAGCCTCGACTCTGACGAAGACCTCTGTGAGCACTCCGAGGACAATGAGTCTCTCCTCCACGATGATGCTTGCTTTGACATCCCCCATGGTACGTCCATTTTTCCTGCTCGAAACACTCATTCTCACACCCTTCATGTGAACAAGACAGTAGCACTTCTGCAGATGTGCCAGGTCTCAAGCGCGCGTGCCCTCGAGACCCTGCAGCAACAGCACAGCATTGGTTTCCTTGGTCTGACCACGTGGTATGCTCTGTCCATCTGCCCTTTTCTCGTGCCTCTGACCATCACGTAGACATGCACCTTGGACATTCTGATATACCTGCCGCATTCAGTATTTTTCCAGCGGCAACTAGACCTGTTCCTGTGGTTGCTGAAGGTGAACAGTGTTGATGATGTCCCCTCGGTGCGGTTGAATGCACTTGATCGAAAGGACTTAGTGACCAAGAGTGGAGGGGCACAAATAAGAACAAACAAACATGATCAACAGAGTGGTGACAGGTGCTCTGTTGTCATTTTTCTCTCCTCCATGATCATTTTGTGTTTGTGACACCTGTTGCCTGGCGGTTTGTGCCAGTATCTCGCCCTTCTGTTAGCGAAACTTGTTGGCGCTGTGGTATCATGCTGCTTTCGAGGCGATTGTGCTCATTTGCGACTTGTGTCACCTGGCGGTCCTGTGCCAGTACCTCGTGCTTATGTGAGAGCCTGTCTGCATATTTCTTAACAGCTATACTAACTGATCTTGTCACACAGGTACTGTTTGAATGTGCAGCAGCCCATTTGGAGGGCAGCGCGGTGGTGCTGAGTGTCATGAGATAAATTGTGTGAGCACTGGTGAGTTCTACATGATTATTGCATATAGAATCTTGTCGCTAATGTGCTAGTACTACTACAGGAGCAGCGAATGCATGCACAGGTTGCGAGTGACAGGGATTTAACCACGGCTGTCAGTGCAGGGTGCGGGCGGTGGTGGTGATGGTTGGCGAGTGGGGTGGGAGGCTGTATGCATTTAGTGCATACTTGTTGTACGTATTAATGAAGGGCATCCTGGTATATGCTGCATGTATTGATACAACGGCCTATACTCCTATATTGAGGCCTGACTCGTAAACAATGAGCGAGGACTTATGGACAGTACGTCGTCCTGAAGATCGAGCAAGGAAGTCGAGAATGACCACTACCCCAAGCGAGGAGGAGCAGAGACTTGAATGAATAACCAGGTTGAACTTAGGGTTCGACCGACTAATGGTACAACTATTTATACAAGTACCGGCTACGCACGGACCACTGTATCTGTGTGGTTGTGTTAGTAAAGAAAGAAATGTAGTGGTACGATACCCGGTACGAAGTGCGCACGGACCCCATTATGTAAGCTACATAATGTTCAACCTGCGGGTGAGCGCTAAGACAGGCGCCAGTATGGGCGCTAGTAGTACAAGAAATAGAATGGAAAGATAAATGTTTCATGTATGGCTGGAGGCCTTGTAGGGCAAATTCATGAATTGTTTTAATTATGCATGATGAACGATAATTAGGACCATATAAAGTAATTAATTATATTATATGGAGAGCCAGCACCTGACTGTTGTGCGGGGGCGGAGATGTGCGCTGATGGGCTCAAGTCCGCCCGTACCTTTTCCGCCCAGACTCATCGATTATTAACCTGGGGTGGAGTGACGGAAAGTCCGCCCGTGTTGAGTACCGTGACCTCCCTGTGTACTGAACTGCCCCAGACCCCCTTTTCGCGGTGGTGGGGTGCGGATACGGTGGGTCTGGGCACGAGACCAGGCCTTTGTGGCATTAACGGACGCTTACTGACGCCTGCCGGTTAATACGCCGGTGGATTTCCCTTGGGGATCCAATGAGAAGATAGTAAATGGCATGCAGCGGGGAACACTCAAAGTGGTCAAGGATACATTGATTTTGCTACGCACTAGGGCTATGCTAACATCTACTACTATTACATGAAATAGGGACAAGTCAATGATACGTCTTGCAGCCAGCGGTCGTGTCCAGTTCTTCATGCTCAATGGTGAGTAAGACCGTCGGTGCAGATAGGATGCAGGCAAGGGTTCTCAACACCGCTAACTTCAGTGATTGGCCGCAAACAAATGTATAAGTCGACGCCGTTGTTTCGCGGGAAGCACCATTACAAACGCAGCCATTCAGGGGTTTTAATGACGAACAACATAGCAGCGATAAATAACAATAACGATATACACAACAAGAGCGACATGCAGCAGCAGAGCAATATAGAAAGCAGTAGTAGATCGACAACCTCGTACAAGAGAATCCACGAGAAGAACGACAATGAAAATTGAGCACGATGGGGAGGGTGAGGGGAAAACGTCGGGAAATACAATTGCACTCAGCTGAATGAAGTGAAAACGGCTTCAGGACAAAGTCCATGCGAAACGCTATGCAAAACTCACCGGCCCAAGCTCATACAAAGGGAAGCCCAGTCAACAAGTCGTGAGGCAAATCGAAATTAGGTGTTCCAAGCTCGTCATAGACACTGCTTATTTCGGATATCCAGCCTGTCACGATCGACGTCGTGCGTGAGACAGATTTCTCCAGCGGTGCGAGGATTGGTGATGTCGGTGGCGTCGAAAGAGACAGCGGCAGGGAAGGAGGCGTGATAGGTCCCTCGAAGTCGGATGACGAGCTTGAATTGGAAGAAACCGATCGGATGGAGCTGTTTGACGACATCCTTGACAGTGAATGTGAGTACGAGGATGCTGTATATGCAGAGGAGCCATGTGCGGTTTCCACCGCTGTACCCCCCGACGGGATGCGCGTGAGGATAGCGGCTGTTTTCTTCCGCGCAGATGACAGTCGGCGAGGATAAGGTGTGAAGTGGACGGAAGAGGAATGTGGTGAGGTGACAAGGGGGGTGGGGACGACATTTGGAGGAATTTCGGACCGGAAGTCAGCTGCAGCGGGTATGGCTGGATGTGATGAGGCAGGACAACGTATGCAGCCATTGTAAGATGGCGACCGAAATGACTCGGTTCGAGAGTTTAGTGCTGTCGATGCAACACCATCGGAGACGGCGAAAAGAACAGCAGGCTCTACTTGTGCAGGCTTCGGGATCTTGCGCTTTTTTCTCCCCTCACGGTATTTGTTCCTGTGTGACAAGGACATCGTGGCCGAAAAGGGAGCACATACATCAAAAGCGAGTGAAGATGCCCGACAAGCTGCTGACAGCATCGGACGGACGAGCGCGGGCAAGGGCGCACGCGGTGGTATACTAGTGAAACAGGAGGCTGAGCTGAGAGCCCACGGCGAGGGATAGCTATGTTCCTTCGGCGATTCAGAATGGCCTACGGTTTCTAGTTCGCCATCCAAGCACACCTGGGATAACATGACTGTCAGTTCAGTAACATCAACGTCACTGCGCCGGGGTGTCTGCGAGCGGAAGGTACGTCGCCAGGAAGTGGTGAAGACGCGGTCCTCTTTGCGGAGTGGGAACGGATTGTAAGAGCAGGATGGCGGATACGAAGATGGGAATGCATGAGAAGGGCGCTCGAGGTTGAAGGAAGGTCCCGGAGTGAGCATGGTCTGATGCACAGCCGGAACACAGGGGTTATGTGAGAGATGAGAACTCTGGTTCATGAACAGAATTGAAAGTACATACGTTGTCTTCCTTACGCTCACCATAAGAGTCCGCTTGCGACGGCAGGACTTCAGACAACATTGTCGATAGCAGTTGGTCAAAACTGGCCGGAAATAAACTAGAGGCACCAGTTGATTGTGACTTAGGACAATCCATCTTACTGCGGCGGCGTCGATTTTGGAACTACAGTAGAGATGAACGCCTGCCGCTGTCATGTGAAGGCCAGGCAACATACCCAAACATTGATTTGCCTGTATTCCATGTTGGTCTTTGAAGCCAGGGCAGACTTCTCTTCGCGAGACGGTCTTGAATTGGTTTCGAAAAATTGCTCTAGCATCGGTACGGCATTCTGTCGCGATCATGATGAAACCATAATCCAGACAAGCCATCGCGGGCGTACCTGATTGAAAGCACAACGGCTGGCTTTGCGCGCACCCCATGCTGAACAGTTTTGCAGTTCTCGCAGTTCAAATATGCGTCGCTCAAATCTGGCCACAATGTTGTCAGACCAATTCTTCAGCATTGTCGTGAATTGCGACATGTAAACGTTTTGAAGCAAGGCCTGAGACTTCGTTGGATCGTAGAAGCATTCACCTTGCCCAATGCGTAGATACGCTTGGGTGGTACGTCGATACTGAGCGTGACAATCGTCGCGCAGACGTGTGCTGATATCGATGTAGAGAGCGGACGCTTGTTCGGCAATACGTCGAGAAAGCCCCAAGGCCAGTAAACGGTCTGTTATTGGTCGAGGTGCGGGGAAGGCACAAGACTCCACCGGAGGGCCTGAGACTGGAAGCGACCGCGGCCGACGGTCAGGAATTTTCGGTTTGGTTGCAGCAATTCTTTGCAGGATGTCGATGTCATGCCGGTGCAGCATCCTTGAGAGATGAAGGGAAACGTAGGGAAGGTTGGGATAAGCAGCCTTTAGATCGGCCAGTTGCATATTTATTATGTTGGGCGCTGTCAATGACCTCGTGACTCGTGAGACTCGACGAGCTTGGGCCCATTGTCACTCGGCAATGTCCGGGCATCCTTGACCATTGTGCTCGATAGGACAAATACCGCGACTATCGGTAGGAGGTTCGCTATTCATACCCTGCTAGTTACTAGCTGCCTCTATGGCATCTATTCACGAACGACTGCTCACAACCGAGGAGGCTTTACTTTTGGCGGCGATCGATGGCACAAGTGCTCTCGATGCTTTCAGTGAAACATTGCAAGTCCTGTTCGAAGATATTGAACAGGCCGATGGTCTTTCCAAAGAGACAACCGAGCTGGCGTACGCAGTTGCATCACGTGTCGCAATCTATGCTGAGACATTCCATGATTTGTATCTCGACAACGAGTCAATATCATCGGGCATGATGAACGAGGTGGAAGACATACTGGCGCATCTCAGCGTCGCAGACGAGCTTTCTATGTCTAGTATACCTTCGCTCGCCTGTATTCAAACAGACCAATCCTCAAACAAAACAGGTACGTCGTCAGACTCGTCCCGTAATGCAAGGCACCGTGATGCTCAACTTCGGTTTTTGTAGAAAAATTGGCTGTTGCACCACTTGTGCTTTTAACCGAGTTGCAAGAATCTGGCCCCAAATCTGATCGGCGCGTAGAACCTACATGTCGGCGTAGCATATCCCCCGTGCCTTCTCTTGTGTCGTGTTCGTCGTCCGAAGAAAGCGAGGACGATGAACTGCCTTCCAATCACGCACCAGGTCAATGGCACGCGCATGCCTCCTTGGTCGGACCGGTGAGGTCTGATCCTTTAACGACCGATTGTCAGAGAGCACGCAAACGCTTGCGGTACGTTATGGCGGCTTTCACTCATCATATATATACTGATACTTAAGCACAGAGTTGATGATGAAAATTTCATTGAGCTGCTTCCTAGATCGCCGTCTCCGATACTGCGGCATAAGCAACCCTCTCTCCGTCAGGATACTACTCCTCGCGTCGATCCCGTGCCTGAAGCCTGCTCGGATAGAGGGGCGGAAACCGGCGTTTTGGCTGCGAGACCAATCAATCCAGGGACCTTACATCCGCAACGCAAGCGGCGTCTTTCAGACGCAGATGCGGGCGCTTCACCTAAACGTCCTCGGGGTTCTACACCTCGCTGCATGCATACCGTCTCGGACCCATTTCCGAAATCTGCCTCGCTCGAAGAGCAAACATACATAATTGATGACTGGTTCAATGCTTGCAATTTCGACGTCCCGACTGAGGTATCACTGGCGCCACCTGATGCAGCTCTTCCACTTGAGATTGATGTCTTTGATGGCTGGGCTGGATTGGGACTAGGGACCGCATCTATGGATAGTGGTATGTCTCCGGTCATCATTCGTAGCCTCCTATTGATAACCAACCTCTGTAGAACGGGGTGTATCTATACCGTTATCCATGGCGGCAAACAGCCTCACCGGTTGCATATCTGGTGCTTCCATCCCCTCAAATGATCAACCCGAAGCTGGCGGCCCTGCTACTTCAACCGCTACCGTTTATTCTCGACCGCCGTCCGTTGAAGGTGCAAAATACTCACAGTCGTCTGTCGATGCCGCGCTAAACACAATTCCCGTATCGGATGTCTCTGTGCTAGCTGGTCTGGATACACTAGTGAAGCCCCTCGACCAAAGATTGGATGCACACGTCCAGGGGTGCCTACCATACGCAACGTCACCCGCATTTTCCCTTGTTCAAACTGCGCCATGTGCATCCCAGAATGTCGTGGCCTACTACGACGAGTTGTACCCTGCATGTGCCGCCGCGGATCCTTCTCTTCTCGTCGCAGATGAAACTGGCTCCACCAGCCCACCGCCGCCATTCACGGATATCATTGCGTTCCATACGCCAGGTGCTCAGCCACCGCGCTATACACTAATCGATCAGTTCCCAGAGTCGAGGCCTATCACTCCTCCGCCCCCATATATCCATTCGTCTCAACCGATCGCCCGCTCAAAACATCAGGAGGTGCCAGCACAGGAGAAAACGCGACACGCTGTCGTGCGATCGATATATCGGTGGAATCGTCCTTTCCAATGTCAGGGCGTTACTAGCGTCGTACCATCGCGATCCCAATGGTAACGGTGCGTCCCCATGGTCTGCACCTGATTTTGTGTTACACGGAGTTTGGACTGTGTCATGAATCTCGGTATCGTCACTTAGCTCCTCCTATCATTATCTGGCTTATATATGTACTCGTACCATGTTGATCGTCCTACTATTTTGCTGTCGATGCTCTGTCGCAATTTTGTTGTCTACCCATCTGCTTTGCGTAATTGTTTACCTCGTCTGTCACGTTTTCTTAGCTCTCGTACTGCTTTCGTCGCCTTATACCCCAGCATGTATTGCTAGATACCAAGCAACCTATTTTGACGCTATCTGTTTCGTAGCTTGTATCTTACACGTCAACTACTGCCAACTGGCTGTACTAAGAATCTGGACAGTCAGTCTCAATTGCTCTTGCTACAATCGCGCGCCATAATAGTCATTGAGTAGCTTCCACTCATCACGCCTCTAAACCGACTAGAGACAGCTATTTAGCACGGCAAGTAAGGTGCAAGGGAATATCATGAATTCAACAGGGTAAACACATGGGTAACTCAATATCTTTCACGCAATCACGTTGGTACACGGCTCGTGCTTTTCGTCAACTGTCTTTATTACAAAAACTTGGATGCCTGACAAAAGGCAGTGTCAGAGGTAGGGCATGCCGTGACGAGAGTATGGCGCTCACCAAACCCATGAGGCTACTCAAGCCACCGCTGTTACTGCCCCCCGTAGTTCCGCCACTAAATTTCGACTGCACGAGCATTTTCATAACCATCATTGCAGCGCTGTTGACCGCTTCCTGCTTTCCGCCAGACGCCGCACCGCCAGACGAGTCAAACAGCTTAGATGCCTCAGACATCGCAATGCTGATGAGGTCGGACGAGGAGCCCGAGCCGCCACCACCACCGCCCGAGGTGAACATCTTCATTGCCTGTATATTATGGGAAGTGTCAAACGCCGAACGCTGTGCACGGCATGGACACGAGAAAGTCTGACCTGCAGCGCCGCAGCGCCGCCCATGGAGCTGGCACTGAGGTTGCTCGCGTTGCCCTCTTGGTACGCCGCCTTGTGAGCGTCCTGGACGTGCTGCTCGTCGATCGGCTGGCTGTGCTCGCTCTATAACGCCGCAAAAGATTATCAGAACGTGCTAGCCATACGTTTCGAACGACTGACCGGGTGCTGTTGGACGTGCTGCAAAGCAGACGAGAAGAGGGACGGGTCACCACCACTCTGCTGGCTGGCGGTGTTCGCCACCTGCTCGTGGTTGACTGTCAAACAACAAGATCAGCGACTTTCTATTCCTCGCCCTTGGGTGCAGGACGTACGCTGCGGGTGTCCCTGGCCTTGCGGCTGACCCCCCGCGCCCACATGAGAAGGAGAGTTGTACTGCTGCCCGCCAGTCTGCGAGTACTGGTTGCCACCGCTTGGGTATGCAGGTGCGCCGCCCGGATGTTGGCTCGGGCCCCCATACTGGTTGCCGCCTCCAGGGTGCGGAACACCACCGCCGGAGTGCGGGGGACTGGCTTGCGGACGATCGCCAGCATAGTAATCCCCCGCCGCGCCCCGGTGGGGAGGGGCGCCGTACTGGTCGCCGGAGCTCGCGTACGGCGGCTCTCCCTCGGGGCGGCGTTGAGGTGCGCCATATTGGTCACCGCTAGCGTACGCGGAGTCACCCTCAGGGCGGCGGTGAGGCGCGCCGTACTGCTCTGCACCGCCATATTGTGGAGCCCCCTCAGGGCGGCTATGTGGAGCACCGTACTGGTCGCCAGCGCTAGTGTTCGACGGAACAGCCTCAGGCCGGCGTTGAGGGGCACCGTACTGGTCGCCACCGCCATATCGCGGCTCCCCCTCAGGGATGCGATGAGGGGCGCCGTACTCTCCACCCTCATTTTGGGGCCTGCGGCCTTCGCCGGAATACTGCGGCGCATCATATTGCGCGCGACCGCCCTCGTACGGCGGCCTGCGGCCTTCACCCTCATACTGAGGGGCGTCGTACTCAGCACGACCGCCTTCGTATGGCGGTCGCCCACCACTGTGAGGCGGCTCTCCGTACTCTGCGCGAGCGCCCTCGTGGGGTGGGCGGGCACCGCCATACGAAGGGGCGTCGTACTCCTGGCGACCGCCCTCATAAGGCGGACGTCCCCCGGCTTGGGGATACGGCGGCGCACCACCACCTCGACCCTCATATTCCTGCCCCTCAGCATGGTGATGGTGGTGGTGGGGCGGAGGAGCGCCATATTCGCCGCCGCCGCCCTCGTACGGGGGCCGGCCCTCTGCAGAGTACTCCGAGCCGCCGTATTCTTGACGGCGGCCCTCATAGTATTCTCCAGCTTCTCCCCGGCGACGAGGAGTGCCGGACTCTTCGTTGGCTTGAAGAGGGGATGTGAGCGGGGAGATCGATGGTGATCGGAATAGAAGAGGTTAATACGGCGTTAGACTTACACATGGTGTTAATGAAGTCCTGGATGCAATGGATCAGCTGCCATGATAATGCAGGCGAGGAGCGGGGAGATACATACCATGTTGTGGGCGTGCTGTTTGCTGTGTGGATGGTAGTTGGAAGGAGAAAGGATTTGATCTGGTAGCCGACGATACAGGTGATGGGAGAGTGTTTGGCACTGCCGCGCGTGGCTGCGGGGTTGCCCTGATATGGGCGTCTATCATGCTCCGAGATCTAAGGAAGCAGCCGTCCCAGAACGGCAAGTGCCGTTACTCATATTCAATGACTTGCATGGCTACCACATTGCAGAGGGCGGGTGCCGCGCTCTGCCGGGCGTCGGGCCCGGACTCGGCATGGACCCACTCTGCATTCAACGGGCCTGAGCCACTCTGACTTCCGTTTTCTGACACACATGTCCCTCTTATAAAAAGCCCCGCCGCACAGTATGGTGTGTGTGTTCCCCTCCTTTCCTCTCACATACACATGGCGTCCGCTACACCTGCTGATGCAGCTACTCTTCAACCGTTAGCCTCGTCAGTGTCAGAGCCTGCGTCCGAAGTCCTGGAAAAGTCGGTGAGAGTGCAGGATGAGGAGATTATCGACGCTCAACAGACTGTCATCGACACACGCTCCCTTCCATCCGAGAAGCAACCCGACGTAATAATAGTTGACTGGGATGGCCCTGATGATCCAGAGAACCCCCGCAAGTGCGTCAAACTGCTGCAATATTATGTAGAATGTGTGAGACTGAGACCTCATATGGTAGTTGGATATCGAAGAAGAAGTGGGCTGCAGCCATGACCGTTTCTGCTTTCGCCTTCATATCTCCAGTGTCTTCCTCCATGGTCGCTCCCGCTGCAGCACAAATAGCGGAAGAATTCAACATCACAAACAGTACGGAGATTGCGCTCACGATCTCGGTTTTCGTACTCGGATACGGTAAATCCCCCCTCACGTAACATGAAATACTAGGTGTATTGATTCGACGTATCTCCTCACAGCTTTCGGACCCCTGTTCCTTGGTCCACTCAGTGAGATCTACGGTCGCGCACCAATTTTACGAGGGGCCAACTTATGGTACACTTGTAAGTTTTTCCGTTGACACCCTCGATGGCGACTAATTTCTTTTACGTACAGTGTGGAATCTGGTGTGCGGCTTCGCAACGAATCGGGGCGAGTTGATTGCTTTCCGATTTTTGTCTGGGCTGGGTGGCAGCGCGGCTCTGGCCGTAAGTCCCGCCGTCCTCGCTGTCTTACCAAAACTGGCTGATCCGTATAAATTTAGACCGGCGGCGCTGTCCTCAGTGACATGTGGACGCCAGAGCAACGTGGTGAAGCCATCGCCATATACTCCCTCGCGCCCCTCTTGGGGCCGGCTATTGGTCCTGTAGCTGGTGGCTGGATTTCCCAGCTGTCGACTTGGCGATGGGTGTTCCGATCGACGAGCATTGCTGCATTCGTCATCCAGCTTTTCGGCATCGTGTATCTTCAAGAGAGTATGTCGTTAATCGCCGAGTCTCCTGCAGTCCATGCTGATTGTAGCCTCGTGTACAGCACTTGCCCCCGCTCTCTTGCAGAAGAAGGCAAAGGCAGTTCGGAAGCAATTGGACGAGGAAGGAGGCAGGTCATGTGAAGTGCGCATAGCGAATCAAACGAATAAATCGTAAGACAGGCGGCTCCAGATTCAGTGACTCATGTTGACAAGTCGGATCACAGGTGGGGTGAGATTATGCAGAAAGCCCTTGTCCGCCCATTCGTGCTTTTCGCCCAGGAGCCCATCATACAGCTGTTTGGACTCTACCTCGCTTTCGTTTATGGTACAATATACTGTAGGTCCATTATACGCAGTTGCCTTGCAATGCTCTGACGGGTCCTTATCACAGTGGTCTTCACCACACTCCCGGATATCTTCGCATACGTTTATCACGAGAAGGTCGGTATCGCTAGCTTGCACTATATTTCTTTGGGAATAGGTAGGTGTACACTGTCCTTGTATCTGGAACAACTGCTGACTTTGTGTGTGTAGGGTTGTATTCCGCGTCACAGATAAATGCACGTCTGCTTGACCGCGTCTATATCTATTTTAAGAATCGCAATGGTGGCATTGGAGAGCCGGAGTTCCGCCTGCGTGAGTTGTCATGGATGCTTTAGTCTGGTCGGCTCTTCTCTGACACATAGACCCAGCCACTGTCTTTCCAGGAACCCTTTTAGTACCCATCGGGTTGCTCATCTCAGGGTGGGCAGCGCAGGAGCACGTACACTGGATCGTTGTCGACATTGTATGTGATTTTGCACCTATTTCCGCGTCAGGCACCGATCTTGTGACCTTTGCAGGGCCTTGCGATCATCGGCGCCGGCATGATCTTGACATTCCAAGGCATGCAGACATACGTTATAGACGCATTTACAGTCTATGCGGCGTCAGGTCAGTCGCCTTTTACATGCCTGCGGGTGTGCTCTTATTGATATCCCGGCGCACACAGCTCTGGCGGCAGTGTCGTGCTTCCGCTCACTTGCCGGCTTCGGCTTTCCTCTTTTTGCTCCCGTCATGTACAACGCATTAGGGTACGGCAAAGGCAACACCATCCTTGCCGCCGTCTTCTTCGCCATCGGGCCTCCCTCGTGCGTTTATATCTTGCCTGCTAGTCGGAGGCTGCAGTTCGCTGACTGGACGACGTTAAAGCGTATTCTTATTCTGGAAATACGGCGCAAGGATTCGAGCGATGAGTCAGCGGGCAAAGAAAATGCAAATGCAGCTGCCTACCCAAGTACCTGGTGAAAAGCGCTAGGTTACTCTGCGCTGCATTACAAGCGACACCTCACTCGCTGGAATCACACCTCGCCTCATCGCCTTTTGGACACCTCATCATTTCTCGCTCAATACTATTACTTATAATATCGGAGTCTCGACATGATGTTCGCCATTTAACATGCCGCTTGGATGATATTACGAACACGATTACGATACCTCGCATACAAACTATCTTCTACCACACAGTTAATAAACTACATTGACCAGCTTGCGGGATGCACGCACATATATGACATAGTGCATTGGAGTGCAATTCTGAGTTGCGTTACACGATATAAAGAGGTTCTGGAATGAGCTCTCCATCACACAGTCGCGTCAAGCGCCGATATTGATGATGATGATGAATTCAAAGTTTATATGCCGCAACAAGTGAACGCTCTGGTGCTAAGCGCCGATATTGTGCAGCATTTGCAGCCGCGATCGGGTGACCGATCGCGTTTCGGCGTTTCGACTCTCAGTCTATCCCGCAACCAGCATTTAGAGCTACGTACTCATATTGCGCTCCAGCCGGTGCCATTTGCTTCACGATGCCCGCGTCGGATGGGTCGGAAAGTCTGGATACGCTTCCCGCGGAGCTTCTGCTCGACATCATCGAGTATTTCGGCGAGCAAGAGCACCTCCCGAAACGCGATCGCGTGGCCTTTGTGCTCTCGCTTGTCAACAGACGTCTACGTGCACTTACACTTCCCATCCTTGCACGCGAGATCTCCGTCCGCAGGAGCGAGGAGCTTGCTGATATCGCTCACTATTTTCTAGGACGCGGGAAGGAACGTGCGGCCTGTGTTCGGTCAGTGCATTTAATATCCTGGTCTCTTACGGCTACAGACGACTGAGCGAATCACTACATCAGGCGTATAAGAATAGGTAGTATCGACGGCGAGTGGCTGTATGAATTTCCCGTCGAGAGCTTCAAACCCATTGGCACTCGACTGCCATTCCCCCTACTTCGATCCTTCTCGTGTAGGGAGAATGTGTTCCGTCTGCAGGACATGGCCCTTCTCGAGGGACTCACGCATCTGAAGGAGCTTGCACTCGCGTGGTTTATCGAAGAGCGGCTCCCGGACCTCGCGCCCTTCCCAGAACTCGAGACTCTCCGCCTCTACATCCGCTGTCCGGCCGCGCACAACCTCAGCGTGATCTACTACTCCCCGGAATGCACCGTCTACAGGAACCTCACGACCCTGCACATACGCGACAACGACTTCGCCGACTGGCTAAGGTGCCGTCTGGACAGATTCGTGTTCCCCGCGCTGCGCGTACTCCATCTGCAGAACACCGCCACCCCAGTCTCCTGGATCTACGCGTTCATCCACAGGCACCCGACGCTACGATATGTGAACTTCTCCCTCCATCCAGACGTACACGAGCTCTTGTCGCTGGACGCGCTCATAAAGCTCATTGATGGAACAGGAACCTGGGGCCAGCTCGTGCAAGGTGAGGACGCGGGCGAGCGGGACCACGGCTTGCCAGACGAGTTGAATGTTAAGGGCCATGTAGACAAGGTGTTCCTCGACTGGAGGTCTGAGGCCCGCCGAGGCTATCCACTCATCATCTTCACAGCATTCGCCTTCTCGCGCGTCCCCCTTTCCCCGGACGCCACCAAGTGGGATCAGCCCGTCGGTTCTCCCGAGCCGCGTTATGCAGCCACGGAGATTGCACTGCCTATCCTCGACAGTGTTAGTTTCGACTTTCTTTTCCACGTCATCACCATCCAGCAATTCTTGGAGAGCATGCCGGAGAGATTTCCCCTCCTGGAAACGCTGCGCCTTCACCGCACTGGTGAAGACCTGGAGTTTCATTTTAATATCACGATGGTATGTGTACACCAATTTGCTTTCATTCAGCGCGAGGTTAAATATAGTGATCCTTGCGGTACCCAGGGAGACTGTGCGGAGGCGCTCAAGAAATGGAAGGCGCTGCGCCGGCTCTCCCTCCGCTGGGATCTCTCTCACCAAGACCAGTGGAGTCCAGACAAATGGGAAAATCCCGGACGTGCCGTACTCCTCGATATCGTCGAGCCGCCTGTGCACCGCTACGACGACGAAATGACCGTCGACTGGGAGCGCATGCCGCGGTTCGGCGTGCCGCACTGCTACGACGAGCTGCTCTCAAAATACCCAGGCATATTGGATCTCATCACGGACCAGATCCCGCCTGCGCTCCGGGAGACGTTCGGCGACGACTTCGACTTGGAGGCGAACGCGCAAGACCGGCGTGTCTTGATGAACGCGTGGGAGAGTCGCCACTCACAGCGGGTCGCCGCGGGGATGCGTCACCTGGCGAGCTCCTGCCCTATGCTGGAGCAGATCGAGTGGTACCCCGTCGGCAGCGCTCCGAATTATGACTGGGAGCAACCCGTACGGTGGTTGTGGGAGGTGCACCGCGAAAAGGAGAGCCAGGAGGTGAGGTCGGTGACGGGTGAGCTCACGTTCACAGGCTGTATGCAGGGCGACCCGCCTCCGTTCTACATCCTGGTTGGGGAGGAACTGAAGCGCGCTCTATCAGAGTGGCAGCGGGGTGTCTGGGGTTGAGATTTGCTAGTCATTTAGCATGGGTTCTTCTCGGTTGTCCTGGACTTGGACTACGCTCACGACTCACTAAACAAAGTGCAGCGGAATTTCGGAGTTAATATCCACTCTATCTCATGCTGTTGGATCTCACGTTGGCAAGTATCTCAGCACATGTAGCTTGGGTCATTAATGATTTGGCAGGTACAGTACATGCTATGATACAGCCTAGTCATACATATGGCTCCTCGAGGAATCTAGCTCAGCAATTGTATAGTATTAGACCTCGCCGACCTTGGTATTCTGGCCCGTGGTCGTTGCGGGGTATGGGTTGCCGACAACTTGGCTACCTGACTCGAATGGCGCAGTAGACGCGGGGACTTCGCTGGGTCTCGACGACGCAGCACTGTCATTCCAAGTAGCTGTACCACTCAGCATGGTCTTCGCCTTGTCGATATGCGGCTGGGCAACAGTCTGCGCGGATGCCAAGTACTCCTTGCCGGTTTGCAGGGCTGACGACGCAGTGGACTGAACGGTAGATGAGACGTTGCCTGCAGTCGTGTTATCGGAGGTTTGTGAACCGTTGAACAACGACTGCACAAGGCGAAGGCTCAGCAGTGTAGCGGCATTCGACAAGCTTGCACATACCTGAGCTGTTTGGTAAGCGCTGTTGGCCATTGACCGTGCCTGCTCGACTGCGCTTGAGGCCGTCGCCTTCGCGGACTCGACGTCGAACATGCCCTGCGTGGTAGCCTGGTCCATCTGTTGGCTGACGGCGCGTCCGGCTTCAAGCTCATTCACTGCGGACACGACTTGAGGCTCGGTTTGCTGCGACGGAGAATCACGATCAACCAGGATATCCACGCACAAATGTCGAAAGAACTGACTTGAGCTTCGGAGGCAGCCTGGCCAGCTGCGGTCTGGAGCTGCGAGGCGTTGCGGTTGACCTCGTTAGAAAGGGTATTAGTGGAAGCCTCTGCAGCGGCCCAGGCGGCGCTGGTTTCGAAACGGGCATCGCTCCTACAGGACTCTGGTCAGCATGATCAGCTTCATGATTTTGAACCATGCGACCTACCGGCCGGCGGGGGCTGGGGGGGTTGGAACGGCGGAGGAGTCTGTGCGGGTGGACATGGTAATTTCGATCAAAGGGTGTTTAAGATGGTATGTGGTGTTGAGGCAGAATCGGTTGAAGGACAAAGGGCAGTCGAACCCGTTATATAATGCGCGGCGCCGAGCAGGATTGGCGCGGATGGCGTCGGTGGGATCCTGTTGGTGGGGCGGGTTTGTGCGACGTCATCCCGTGTCAAGCCATGACGTCACGCGTCAAATTCGTGTCAACTGCGCAATCTATGCATGGTATATTCCACGCTGCAGCTATATCTTATGCCATCGTCCGTTGCTACATACAACACCGCGCACCAGCGAGCACATATAATCAAAGAATAGATAACCCGAATGAAAACAGCCGCGAGCGGGTATGAAGACATGCTGTGTGCCAACGCCAGGTATCTTGGAAAGCTAGAAGCTGTACGTATGCGTGTGGAAGGCAGAGATCATGGCCGGACGACAATTGGAAGGAAGTAGAGACATAGAAGCTCCAGGGAGTGATTCAGTCAAAAAGGGACGTACATGCTTTTGGGTGAGAGAAAAGGAAACGGAGATATACATACGAAAGATAAAAAGCTCAAAACTTCCCATATAGCTATTCAGTGGAAGCGGGAGCGCTATTGCTCTGGCTGCACCTGCCTGCGCTCGTCCTCCTCGAATGAGCCCATCCGCAGGAAGCGCGCAAGCACTTCCTCAGAGTCACGTTTGAACACGTCAACGCCCCGCGCAGGGTCCCACACACGTCCACCTCTGCGCACGATGCCCATGAGAGGCGTGCTCTCCGGCGTGATTTTCGGTGTAGCGAGAGGTCCCTGGGTCGACGGCGACGAAGTGAGCGCAGTATCGTTCGAGGACGAGCGAGCGAGGGGCGGCGAGAACGGAGACGAAAGCCTGGAGAGCTTCGGCGACGGCGTGCTCTGCGGCGGCGTCGAGAAGAGCCCGGTCACGGGGGACGCGGGCTTGCTCGGTGGTGTGCCGAGTGGCGACGTTTTGCGCGGCGAGCCGAACTGCTGAGATGCGATTGAGAGCCTGCGCGGCGTCGACCCCTTCGGAGGGGATGTTGCCTTGGGTGGTGTGTCCATTTTCGGAGGAGAGGGCGATTTGGTCGCAACAGAGATTCTCGGAGGCGCAGAAGCCCTGGCAGGACTCATTATGTGCGGAGGGGACGAGACCTTTGGAGGGGTCGTCACCTTCGGCGGAGAGTAGGTACGCGGGGAACCGAGCACCTGGGGCGAGCGCAGACCAGTCGGAGAACCGGAAGGGGGGAAGGGGAAATGTTGCTTTAAGGCATGGGACACGACAGGCGTCGCGACGCCCATTTGGTCGGCGGCGTCCATCCTGTACTCGCGCACAGGTGCGGGCGGGAGCGCGGACGGGAGCAGCATCGTTGGCATGGAAGGGCTCGACGCCGCGTCGCGGCGCACCACAAGCCCTCCGCCACCCTTCGCGGGCTTCGAGTCCTTCGCCTTCGCCGCCCCCGCATCCAGCTGCACGAAGGTGTTCACCTGCACGCCCTGGCTGCGCGTCTCGACAATGATTGTCTGCACACCCCGTGCGCGGTACTTCTTCCCCTTCCCGGCGCTCCCGGCGGACCCCGCACTCCCCGCACGCGACCGCTTCGGCGTGCTCCCGCTCCCACTCGCACTCGTGCTCGCACTGCCCCGTGTCCCGCTTCCTTCTTCGCGCTTGTCCAGCCCGTCCAAACTATCATCGTCGTCGCCCTCGTCCTCGTCATCCCCATCCATACTGCTCGCGTCCTGCTTCGCGCGCACCGCCGCCTCGCGCTCGCGCTCCCAGCGCTTCCACCCCTCGTCGTCGTTCCACGGCGCACGGCGCCCTGGCGATGCCGCGCTCCCAGAACTGTGCGGGTGGTGCGGGTGGTGTCCGTGGAAGAACGGAAACTGGTGCTGGTGCGGCCGCACGAGGCGCGACGCGTACCGCTGGATGCTGGGCACTGTGTCCCACGCGTTCGCGTAGGCCAGGTTGCCCGGCAAGCCGAGGGGTGGGGCGGCCGTGTGCATATGCAGCACGGAACTGCTGCCGAAGGGCGCGTCCGACATGTCGGTATTGTCTGCCTGTTGCTCTTGCTCCTGCCCTGGAGGTGGGGTCGCGGGCTTCGGCACTTCATCCTCGATGTACTTGACTACAGGCGGGGGCGAGTCGGACGCGGGGAACACGCGCCTCGGGACATGCCTCGGCTTCTCCTCCCACGGAAACACTGCGTGCACTTTACTCCTGTCCGGCGTCGGCTGTTCAGGCGGCGTGCCGCGCCCGCCGTGTTGCGGAAGGTGCCCGATGACATTCGCGTATTGGCCTTGGCGCACGAGGTGTTCCGGTATATGCGTGGGCGGAGGGGGGTTAAAGAACGCGTCCGAGTGCGGGGCGGGTACGTGCAACGGGTGAGGCGGGAAGGACTGGTGCGTCGCGTCATGGTACTGCGAGGGTGCCTGGTCCCACACGTTCGGGAAGTAGGTGTCTGTGGGGAAGGCAAAGGCAGAAGGGGGGTTGTTCGGTGGCGGCTCGATCGCAGGGTTCCAGGAGAGCTTGGGCGGAGATGGGGGGCGAGGGGGCGAGTGATGGTGGTGATGGTGATGGTGATGGTGCTGCCGTTGAGGAGAGTGCGTGGAGGGGGAGTGAGAAGGAGAATGCTGTTGTGGTTGGCTAGACCGGTGCTGGCTATGCGAGTGGTCGGGGTGAGAGTGGGTGTGGTGTTGTTGCTGCTGTCCATGATGCGGTGGTGCATGCGACGGTGAATGCGGCGGTGAGCGTGATTCTCCTTGGGGGAACGCATGCTGTGACTGGTCGTGTTGATGATGCCGGTGGTGCTGACCAGGATCATGGTACGGCTGCCCTTGCTGCTGTTGATCATGATAGCTGGATTGAGCGGGCGCTTGCGGAGGGAAATATGGTGTCGGTGGCAATGATAGACCACGGTGGTATGGCGCGGGCGGGAGCTCATTTGGCCCAGGCGTCGGCAGCGTCTCCATTCTCCATTCGCCCTTCTCCAGCGGCTTATACTCCTCCTGCCTAGGTGTCAAGTCCCGATCGCCCTCATGGCTGTGGTCGCCCCCCGTCTCCGACTCTTGTGTCTCAGGCTCATGTGGAGGCTCACGCTTGGGCCGCATCAAATCCACTCTGCCCTCCAGCGGCATCGAGTGGTACTCGCCCTCCTTCGGTCTTTGCTCCGTCTCGGACACGGACCCGCCGAAGCGGCTCATCCCCTCCACAGCAATGCGGCGCAGGTCCTCTAGGCCAAGCACGCCTCCGGGCGGTGCAACCGTCCCCGCTGCCTCGAGTGGTGGGAGCTCCGCTCCGAGGTCGCTGCCGCCATCCCACACCGACGCGTATCGCCGCACCTCAAACTCCGCGCGCGCAGTCGGCGCGTCTGAGCGGTAATGCCGATCATACACGTCGTACCAGCGGTCGACGAGCGAGTCAAAGTCGTACGCCTGTGTACGCGGCGCCTCGTCCTTGCCAAGAGCCAGCGCCGCGGAGGCGCCCGCGCCGGCGTTCTTGGTACCAGGCGCACGAAAAGGAATCGAGGACCACGGCTTGTGAGGCCCAATGAAGTGGATAGCCGATATTTGCGAGCCGAAGCGTTCATATGCCGGGGCGTAACTGAAGACCCGTACGTCAGTACCGGTACAGAGCGGTCAGCAGACGGTCAGGTGCCCGCTGCAGCGGGGGTCAATGGCTCACGTGTATGCAGCAGTTGGGGTTGTGTTATACGTAAAGCTGAGCCTGTGCCAGTCGCCGCCGCGCCACTCGTTGAGGAGGCCCTGGTCACCGCCGTCCCAAGTGCCCTTCGTGAGAAGGAGGCTCGTGAGGTCGCTAAACTTGTCCTGGCCGGGCGTCAGCACGAGCACGCCGGAGTTGAAAATATCAGGCCATCCAACGTCAGGTACGGCGGCAAATTCATGCGGAATAGTGAAGAGATGTGAAAGAGGGCGAATGGGCAGGACGTCTGCGTCGAGGAATATTATCTTGGTATACTGCGTCAACCGGAATACATGTAATTTTGTGAGGACGTGAGTAAGATCCGGACGGCCTGGCAAAAGGGTTTAAATGATCAGCACGTTATGATAAGAACATAGGCAGACAGGCAGGATCTGGGGGTCATTAGTTGCAACCATTGCTATCGCAATGAACGCGTCAAGGCTCGGTATGTACCTGGCCGGCGCATGGGGGAATAGATTACTCGCAAGGTCCGGGGGGTATTCTGAAGGGGGCGCACGTCGAATTGCTCATTCGGCGCCTTTATCCAATACAGTCTGCAATTTTTGACTGGGGACTCACCGAGCAGCTGCAGACCTTTCTCGTCCTCCTGCTCTATGAGCTCAACGCCGACGACAACGTCGAATGCCCTGCGAAGGAGTTTAATGGTTGAGACATCGACGGCCTCGGGCGTGACGATACAGAGGGTCTGGAAGTCGACCTCGGGAGGCGTCGGGGGTGTGGGGTGCAGGTCCTTGAGGGCGGCGGCGAGGGCGAGGGCGCCGGGAAGATAGTGGTCGGAGGTGACGAGGGAAACAAAGGCGTAAGGAGCGGGCATGGCGCTGCGAGCGCAGGCGTCGGGGGACGCGTCAGAAAGCGAACACGGAGGATCGAGGACAAGCGACGGGCGCCTACGCGTAGGTCCAGGAGATTGAGGAAGCGCCGGCGGGTTCTTTCCTTCCCCGCGTTCGACAGCGTCCTTACGTCTATTGCCTCCGCCATCTAGACGCCCTGCCCCAGTCTCTGCACGTGGGAGACTCTCTCTTTCCCCGCAACCCGGCGGTCCCGCTTGCTATGCGATGCGTTGCTGCTTGCTGTCGGGCAACGACCAACAGCGTTTTCACGGGACCGCTCCAGCTCCAGCTCCAGCGACCGCGCTACCGCCGCACCGTCATGGTGTCAATGCGCGCCTGGAGTCCGCGAATTACTGCATCAGGAAAGAGACGCGTACGGCGATCGTGACAATGTGAAATCAGAGTCGCAATTGGCACCCGGTGTATATCTAGACACAGAACGACGCAGACACACGCACACTATACGTAATACTCACGAAAATTTCCTTCCACCGAGAAATGGCTCTGTGATCTTCACAGATGGTGGCGTACATGAAAGAGTATTCCTAGTGCCTCCGAGGGAAGGCCGAGCAGCTTGTTGAAAATAGTCGAGTCGCGAATGGCGGTAAGGCGTAGTTGCAGGACCAATGGAGGACATTGCGCGGCAAAGCCGCGGCAGCCACTCAGCATCACATCACACCTTCTGATGACAAAACTACTTGATATATTTTGAATGCTCTGTGTGAACAGGAACATATGGGTGCCCAGTACCAACAAGCCCAGCCACTGCCAGAACGAAAGAGCTATCGCTAGCAAGTATGAGGAAAAGGCACCGTGCAAAGCTGCCGAGCGAGTCTAATAGGGACGGCGAATGTGAGGCCGGAGAAGGTGCCCACCGCAGATCCACCAAAGACGGTTTGTATATTGGCTACGCATATCGCGTTCTTGTGTTGTCAAGTTGCGCGAGTGCCAAGCGCCATGCAGAGACGATAGGACGTGTATCCATCACGGACGCCAGGCTGAACGTAACGCGCGTGGTCAAATTGGAGTGGAGATCACGTGGGACTGGCCGGCCGACGAATGACGACAGGCGGAGAACGAGTGTCTTGCATCGGCGTCCGCTGTGCTGAGCTCAGGATGCATCCTCGCTAGACCTAGACTCTCTTCTCCCCATGGCCCTCCGTCTCTCTGTCCTCCCGCTAGGCCTCAGACACGCCGTCTTCGCCTCCGCTCGCCCTCCCGGTTTCTCCCATTGGCATACTGCCTCCTCGCTTTCTCGTCTCGCTCTCCGCACACGGCCCGCGACGCGGCCATTCTCGACTCAATTCTTTACACGCGCCCCAGGTCCCATTCCGTTCCTCGGCAGAAACCTCTACTGGCTCGTTCCCGTCGCTGGCGGTCTTGCGTTCTACGCTTCGCCCGGCGCTCCCTCTCAGCTTCTCCCTGCCATCTTCGCTTCCCCGACCCTCATTCCATGTCCCGCGCCATGTCCCTCAACCGCAGACATCTCACCGACCATCCTCTCGCCCGCTGAGCCTGCCGACACCCGCATCATTGTGCGCATATGCGTGTTCTTGAACGACTATGTCTGGGAGCCCGTCCTTACCACCAGGCGATTCATCTATCTGGTCTGGCTCTTCTTTCCGGTGCTTTTCACTGCACCCATGCTGCTCGTTGGTAGGCCCGAGGACAGGCTGCATGGGGACAAGTGGGGCGCCGTCTGGTGGTACGGCTATTTGACGAGCCAGATGCAAAAAGCGGGGCCTACGTTTATCAAGGTGTGTGTGTCCTTTACCGCTTCAGGCGCTTAACCCCGTGCGTCGCGCACGAACGGCTCACAGATACGCCCATAGCTAGCCCAGTGGGCGGCGTCTCGTGCAGACCTATTCCCCTCCTTGCTGTGTGAACGCTTAGGCGCACTCCATTCGCGAGGCAGGCCTCATCCGTTTTCGCATACCAAGCGCCTCATCGAGCATGTCTTCCAAAGGCCCTTTGACGAGGTCTTTGAGGAATTCGACGACACGCCGATCGGCACCGGCGCAATAGCCCAGGTACGCATCTGTCGCCCGCGCTCCTCACGCAAGTCTGACCTGTACATATACAGGTCTACAAAGGCACGCTCAAGAAGGACCTCATCCCGCCCTCGCACCTCTTGCCAAAGCGCCCACGCAAGAACGTCCTTCCACCCTCGCTCACATCCGAGCCGCTCCCCTCCGTGCCCTCCGCAGCGGTGCCATCAAGGTGCTGCACCCGCACGTGTCGAAGCTGATCCGGCGCGACCTCGCGATCATGGACTTCTTTGCGCGTGCGCTGACGCTGCTGCCAGCATGGAATGGCTCTCGCTCCCCGAGGAGGTCGCGGTGTTTGGCCGCATGATGCACGAGCAGCTCGACCTGCGCGTGGAGGCGAGGAACCTGGAGGCGTTTGAGCAGAACTTTGCGGGGAGGAAGCTGCCCGTGACGTTCCCTCGCCCGCTGACGGTGTGGACGAGCAAGGAAATCCTGGTGGAAGAATACCAAAACGCGCTGTCGCTGGAGTTGTTTCTGAAGAATGGTGGTGGTCCGTACAATGACCTGTTGGCAGAGGTCGGGCTGGATACGTTCTTGGTGAGTATCGCTGCTGGAAGGGGAGAAGTCTTGCTGATGAATGATGCAGAACATGTTGCTACTGGACAACTTTGTTCACTCAGACTTGCACCCAGGCAATATCATGATCAAATTCACGAAACCTACCACACTGTCCCTTAGGAACACTGCAGCATCCGCGCTACACAGGCCCGCAGAGGCAATTCCTCCATCAGAGCGATCCTCTGACCACGTCGTCGACCACCTCCGCACACTCATTGACGACCCGCCAGCATGGCGCGCCGAGCTCACGTCCCTCGACGCCGCGGGCTACGTCCCCGAGATCGTCTTTGTCGACGCGGGGCTCGTGACGACGCTGAACGACAAGAACCGCACGAACTTCCTCGACCTGTTCCGCGCGGTCGCCGAGTTCGACGGGTACCGCGCGGGGACGCTGATGGTGGAGCGCTGCCGCACGCCGCAGCTCGCGGTGGACGCGGAGACGTTCGCGCTGCGCATGCAGCACATCGTGTTGAACGTGAAGCGCAAGACGTTCTCGCTCGGGCAGATCAAGATCTCGGACATCCTCACGGCGGTGCTGCGCGCGGTGCGCCAGCACCACGTCAAGATGGAGGCGGACTTTGTGAACACGGTGATTTCGATCCTGCTGCTGGAGGGCATCGGGCGCCAGCTGGACCCCGGGCTCGACCTGTTCAAGAGCGCGCTGCCGACGGCGTCGCATTGGGTGTTGCACTGATGGCTGATGGTGATCGTGTGCGTGTGCTCGCGCGCCTGCAGCTGATCGCTTGTTTTTCCAGACTGTGATGTTGGCCACGGTCTCGTGAGCGTGCACGAAGAGACCGAGTGGAATTGAGGAGATAGGGCAAGGGAAGGGGAATAGAGAGCAGTGGGGGGTGGGGAATAGAGGGCAGTGGGGGTGGGGAATAGAGGGCGGTGAGTAAGGGGGGTAATGGGACTTGGGGTAGCAGAGTCGTACAAGGTAGACCAATACTGTAGTTGCAACCAAATATATTTCAGTCTCACTGCCACATATACAGTCTCGTCCGGTAACGCCCCCGCTGCTCCACCCATCTCTCTCCTCGCCCGCAATCGTCCCGCCACCAGCAGAGTCCATCCCGCGTGCGTGCGCATCTCTGATGCACAGCGTCGTCGGGACACCCCGGTCAGCATGCTCCGCGCATCGCATAAGCACGCGCTGCCCCCAGTCAGCACAGAATGACCGAGTCCAGCGCTGCGCGTCGGGGCGAAGACGCTGCACCGCAACATCCCAGCCAGACCGGCTAGCAAGCGCGCAGGCGCCGCCACAGCGTATGCTGACCGGGCGCGCATTGCCACTGTGCGCGTTCGCGCTCGCGCTCATGCCTGCAAAGCCAGTCAGCATTCCACGCGTGAACACCCGCACGCTGTGCCTGGCCAGCTCGCCGCCTCCAACTGTCTCTGCGCGATTGCGCCCGCTCTGGCTTGCAGCCCGCCCAACGCGTCCAGCGAGCCACTTTTGTTCGCGTGCGCTTGTTAATTCACTTCTGTAGCCCGCCCGATGCTCTGTTCTCCGCTGCCACCTACGCCCCAAGGCCAGCGCTCAATCGTCAGTACGACCGCAAAAAAGTGATCCGAAACTTACTATAGCGCCCCAGCTGACAGCATAGCCACGCCGCCCGATCCTCCCATGTCCAATCGCTGCCAGCACCGCTGGTCACGACAATGGCCCGCATTTTGTGTGCCTGTCAATTGCCCGAGCGCACCCGGTCCCATAACTGGCCAAGGTAAGCCTGACCAAATCTCTCAGTATTTATCCTGCCGCACTCTGCGCTATTCCAATTCACCTTGCCGAACACGATATGGTCGATGCACTGCACTGCGCTCACGTTGTGTGCTGTCCGCTCTGACCACACAGTGCCCAGCTACCGCTGTACACACGTGACCCACTGTGAATGATCGTCAGCGCACCGGTCAGCAAATAGATGCAGAATGCACTTATCATGTAAATCAGCCCCTAGTGACATCCCGTGGTCACTGTCGAGCATCCTGCCGAAGCAGAAGCTGAACCCATCTCTGCCTGCAGCTGTATGCTTCATGCCATGTGCCCCGTTCACCAATGGCTGTAGACCGAGCACGCCAGGTCCCTGTCGGCATTGTGCCATCTGATGCCTGCACTGCAAGTGTTCGCGGCACGACCTCGTCACTGTCGCCCACTTGGAGGTCTGCGAGTGTGGTGCACTCCAGGTCTTGCCTCTTGCACCGAATGTTTGACCCAGGCAGAGCTGCAGATTGATGACAGTGGGCCAAGTGGCAATGTGAATATAGACTCCGTAACTGTCGTAAACAGTGCCCATCAGCGCCGCAGATGGCAAAACAAGACACTGTGCACTCACCGCGCACTCGAGAGTGATGGCGGGTCCGCCAAGGGCCTCTGCACTGTTCATCAATGTGAAGCTGAGCACCTCGCACACCCAGGTATGCTGTCATCCGAGTCTTTGCGGCTGCACACCCAGATGTTGCTCGTGATCGTGAGGGGCTCGCTGTGTGAGATTGCGCTGAGGTCCTGTCTCTCGTTGTGATTGTTTTGCTACCTAGGATGCTGACAGTGAGCATGTGTAGTGATCCATTTTGTTGCCCGTACACACCACTCTCGTGGCAAGCACTGACCTTTCAGGTGAGTAGTCTCGACGTGTTGACAGAAAGTTAACACAGTGGTAAAAGCGGAGTAACGGGAAAATCATCAAAATAACATCATGCATCAGTTATATATAGTCTCAGAAAAACAGCGCAGGTGGAAGCTCTGATGCCGCACCCATATCTGATTCTCATACGTAAGTTGATGCCCTTTCTGGGAACATAACTAT